TCTCTCTCTCTCTCTCTCTCTCTCTCTCTCTCTCTCTCTCTCTCTCTCTCTCTCTCTCTCTCTCTCTCTCTCTCTCTCTCTGATCTCTCTCTCTCTGCTCTCTCATTCATTTTATATTTTTTTCTGTTCCGATTTGATTGCGCGCTCTCTCGGCTGCACGTCCTCGCCGCGTTCATATCTCGGCTGCACGTCCTCGCGTAGCGGCCATCAGCAGCTTCATTGGTGTCTTTGCCTTGCATGAGATCGAGGGGGCGTTGTTGAACTCGATCAGGAAATTGCAAGCCTCGCGCTCCAGGCGACCATGGCGATGGCGGGCTTTGCAGGGGCACGGGTCACGGCCGTGCTGCTCTTGAGCCTGATCTGCGCTTTGGGCTTTGAGAGTGCCCGTGCCGCAAGCTGCCAAACTTATGACGAGGCCGGCGCTGTCAGGTGCCGTAGCCTCGAAAGCTACACCGAGACGCGAGACATGGTCACAGCAGAGCAGTGTCAGGCCTTGTGCGACAACACCAACGCATGCGTCATCGCTACCCTAATCACCACCACCATCGATGGCCAAACCCACAAGCGCTGCCTCGTTGGCCCCGATTGCGTCCTGCAAAGCGATGAAGCCGCCGTCTCCCGCCGCTGCACTGCCCGCTCCCTCGTCGGTAAGCCCCACTTCGGGCCCCAGGCCCCTTCCATGCTTTCTTGTTGGTTGCTGTTTTGCTCTGCCGTCCCCGCCCCTCTCAATCTTGCCCATCAGTGTAAAGCTTCTCAACGCCTTTCATGACCTTTGCCACCCATTTGCAATGCTTGTCTCGTCGCAACCGCACCCAAGGCGTTCCCATCAACTTTACGCATCCCCGCGCCGTGCTCATGCGTGGACCAGACGTTGCTGTTTACGATAACAAACGCGCCCCCTTCTCGACGGAACTCGTCGATGCGTTTGCCTCCAACCTCTTCAACTTCACCCTCGCTGGGCGCCTCAATAAAGTTTCGGCTCCCAGTGAACAGTATCAGAGCCAGGTACGTCAACAAAAACACCCGCCAAATGACCCCCGTGTCCCACCCTCGCACCATCCCTGACCTGACGCCTGCTTTTAGATCATCCTTGACCTGGGCAGTCAAACCAATGGTCTGGCGCTGGGCATCGACACCGACTTTGATGATCGTCGTGGGAAAGTAATCGCTGGTCTTTGCTTGGAAACCAAGTACATCGGCCCCGCTCTTCCCGTACCCGCCCTGAACCAGTGGTTCGACTTTTGGTTCACCGTCCGAGCCATCCCCACCTCCGTCCGAGGCACCGTGGATATTGAAATGAGTCTTCAACTCGACGATAAAATCGACTCAGTCCGCGTCCCGAGCCTGGCCTTCAAAGCTTGGTCCGACAGCAACAAGGGCGGCTTCAATAGCGGCTACCCATTTCACGCCAGCAGATCAGTTTGCCATTTTCATTCCACCAAGCTCCTCGACCTCTCCGACTCCACCGTCGTCGACCCAACAATAGGCCTCCAGCTTTTCCTGGATGACTATGTCCTCGCAGATCGCTCCAAGGACAATTCCCGTGCTGGTCAGTCCGCCCACACACACACACACACACACACACACACACACACACACCATGTGCTGCTATCCTGTCTATCCATGCCATTCCCTGTTTGCAATCTGGTACCCGGGAGGAAAGGAGGCAGGACGACGCGGCTTTTTTTTTTTTTTTTTTTTTTTTTTCCTGTCTGTTTGTTGGTTTGTTTCTGGGGTGTGAGGACCACGGACGTTTGTCGCCATTTTAGTGCACCAGTACAGCACTCATTCCAGCTTGGACTTTGCACTGTTGCCCCCAACTTGACTGCGCAGGCGTGTTCGCACGGCCTTTGCCAGTTAAACCACCCTTGAACACCATCCGGCCTTATGCCTCTGAGCTGGCCGCCGATGTTAGCGTTCGTGATGCATCTTGGACCATGGCCACTGCCGTGCGCCTTGCTTTCACTCGGGAAGAAACACCTTTGTTTGAATTCTGGAACAACGAGGAGATTATTCGAGTTGTCCTCTCCGGCAGCCAACTGCACATTGGGCCCAAAGGACGTGAGGAGACAGGCAATAAAATCCCAATTTCTTGGTCAGATGTACACGAGCGCCGCTCCGTGCCCATCATACTCGCCTGTACACGAGAGGGCTCTGCCGCTACCGAGCCCGCGCAACCTCTGGAACTTCGTGTCAGCAATGTGCGCTATGTTCTGAAGCAGGAGATGAAGTGTTCTTCTTTGAACCGCATGGGAATCCTTCTCCGCTACGTTGACCCTACATCCCCGTTGTATATGGAGGAAGAGGTTGGACTTCGCCTTTTTGCCTCCAAGATAGCCTCTCTTTTGCCGCAAGACAACACCCGTACGTTTTAGTACCCACGCCCTGCCCTCCTTCCCCTGCATCGCAGCCGGGTCCCCAAAGACTGCTCATTCTATCGCGACTCTCACAACTCTCGTCCAACCATGGTGACGTGGCTGACAGTGTGCTCCAATGATGGGCGTCGAGCGGTGGCCATGTCTGATGGCGAAACAGGCACCTGCAGCTGCCTCCCGGGCACATCCGGTCCCAATTGCGTTTATGGTGCATTTTCAGGCGCTGCTGCCTCGCCCGAAAATCTCGTCAACTCGACAAGTATGTCCCTTTTGCAGCGTGGTCGTGCTGGGTTTGCATCTGAGCCTGACTGGCTAGCGCCCTCGTGTCCGATTGTCTGCAAGACCAGCCGCATCAGTGATTGAATGGAAAATGCTTGCTGCTGTAGATGCCTTGGCCACGCTTGTGGCGCCATCCGACCTAGATGTTGTGGTGCCGGCGGGCCCGGTGGCCCTGGAGATTGAGCTGCCCTTTAATGATCTTCTGCACGATACGCGTGCTTTGCCTCTTTTTGCCATTCAAGATACGGTGTGTGCGCGCAGCAGTGTCCTTGTCGTGTGTTGCTACCTACCAAATTGCTCACCTGATGACTGTGGTCTTGCTTGGTTGCTACATAAATTTCCTCAGATTGGGCTTTATATTGACGGCGCATCTCGCCTCATGATTGATGTGTGTGGCAAAGACAGCCAATCCATTTCAGCCACATGTACGGCCTCCCCACCCTTGTGCTCGTGTTTCGTCTTTGGCGACATGCCTTGGCCCCATGCACTCCCCCTGCGCACCTTGCCACCAGCACCTCCATCTCTGCCTGTTCTCAAATTTGATATGTCCATTGTTCCATCGACTGTTTTGTTTGTTGAACTCAACGTCTGTCCGTGGCTGCGGCTCATGATGTGTCTTGCTCGCGGTGGACACCTTGATCTTGTCCCTCTCCTTGTAGATGCCGTTGATCTCATGGGAGCAGACTCGGCACACAATGCCCTTTTGCGTATCTCAATTTTGCCTCTGGACGTCGACACCAGCTACGGCAGTCGCTTGGTGGCCACCATCAATGGGGATGTGCGATTGGACGTGCCGGTTCCTGGCCGGTTCACCAGTGGTGGTACCCTGCGACAAATGAGCTTTGGAGGTGGTAGTGGTGGTACACCATTTTGTGGCAAACAGGAGCCCAAGGTCTTTGATGGCACCTTGCCGCTGTTCGGCACGTCCGTATTTGCGGGCACTTGGGCGAGCGCAGCCGCAGCCGGCGTGGGGGACCGCCCAGCGTGTTTTGCTCCTGCTGCACCAGTCGCTGGGGAGTGCAGTTGTCCAACAGCGCTGGCCGCCGATTACAACTCGTGCGAGTCGAACGGAAGTTGCTTTCCTTCGTTTTTGACTTGCGGGCCGGGCGAGTACCTAGCCTGCTCAAAGGGCAATTTCTCGTGTTCGGCCTGTCCAGACAACACGTATCGGAGCGAGGCACAGCATCGCTACACGTCATGCTTGCCCCAACCGGCATGTCTCCCAGGCAAGGAGCCAATGGCGTCGCCGTGCGAGGCCTGTGCCGAGCGGGTGTGCGAGGCCTGTGCTCGCGGCGAGGCCAGCCCGGGTGGTCGCGCTGCGTGCGCCGCCGTTCAGGCACCAGAAATGTGGTGTGACGTCAACGGCACGCTTCACATTGATTGCGCGCGGCTGGTGCTCAGTGATGTGGCCGTGGTAGACCACTTGGCGTTGCCCCCCCTGTCCGAAGTGCTTCATCAAACGTGGCCTGATACATTGAGTGTGGTTGCCACGGACGGTACGCTGATCTTGCAGGTGGCGGAGGTGTACTTGAACGGCGTACCCTTGCCCGTGGCGCTCCCCGAGCCCCGGGCTTCGGCCCATTGTCGGGTGTGGCAGGATGGGGCGGGCCGCCTTCAGTTGGAGGCCGATGACATCCTTGTAAACGGCCAGCCCCTCGTCACACTTCTCTCCTAACCAATCTTGTTCGTCTCTGTCTCGATCGTCTGGCCTAGCAAGAGGTTTGACCCCTTGCCTGAGTCGCGCGCGGCGCTGTGCGCCGACCTCGCCTTGTAAATTGAATGGCCCCCCATCCACTCGGTCTGGTCTTTTTGTCTTCTTTCAACACTTGGCACCCGGCTCTGCGGGTCGCTCGTCAGAGGTCAGCGTCTGCTGATCGCTCGCTCCCCCTAAGCAACACATGGAATTGGCGTTTGATCAAGATCACCAGGCCATCCTAACCTGGTTACACACACACACACACACACACACACACACACACACACACACACACACACACACACACACACACACACACACACACACATGGACATGCGAGATGAGAAAGATGACGACTTTTGTTCATGAAAGAGAGACTAATCATCAACAAAACACAAAACATAAAACACATGAACAACCACCAAAGCGGTTGACACGCACGTGTATGGAATTCGGCCATGTTAGTAATGGTGTTTGTCTGGAAGTGCGATTCGAAACGGCAGAGGGAGGGGGGGGCGGAGGAAGGGTAAGAGACGAGAAGGGTCAAGCTGCTTGATTCAGGGTAAAGCTGATCACATTGTAATTTTCCAACGGCGCGCGCACGGAGAACCGAGATCGAGCTTCGCCCCTCTTCAAGTCTTTGTGTTTTTTCATCTCTCTCTCTCACCAAACTCTCTCTCACCAAACTCTCTCTCACCAAACTCTCTCTCGCCAAACTCTCTCTCGCCAAACTCTCTCAAACTCAAACTCTCTCTCTCTCCTTCTATTTTAACCTCTCTTTACAACTCTCACTCGCACTCTCTCTGCAATTTTCCCCCGTCTCCCACCACTCTCTGAATCTCTTTCACAGACTCACACACTCTCTGCCGGAGCGCACACCATCGCACTTGTTCCTTTTTTTTTTTCTTCTTCTGGTTCCAACTTCTGGATCATCTTTCTGGTCGCGGCCCTTGGTTGGCACGACCTGCGTGCGTGCGTGCGAAGCAGCAGCAGCAGCAGTAGCGTACACCGGGCATTTGTTCGCCCGCTGCAAATCTCTACTCGCCACCCTATGCGTGTGAGGTACGACACACACCCTGAAACCATGACCTTTGTTTGCTGTTGGGTCCCTTCTCTTGACCGTTACTCAGCACCCCTGCACCTCACCGCTTCCCCCTGCTCGCCCCGCCGCCCCTCTAGCCCTGTGAAAAGAACCAGGTGATATGTTGCGGATTGGTCCCGTATCCGGAGCCTGGGGCCATCTGGCCAACTTTTGGTTCTTCCTGGCGGCCATCTTCAGCGACATTCTACTCATTCGTATCTGCCTGGTCGGAGGCTTCCTCTTCCTCATCATCAACGCCTTTACGGGTCTGCCCCTCGAACCCGATGTTTTCATCAGCACCAGCTGGCCCGATGGCACCATTTTCTTGGACCTGATCATCTGGTCGGTCGTCACGGGCAGCTTTCACGTCATTGCCATCTGGATTCACCTCCGCGATGAGCGCCAACTCAAGCTCGATGACAACGAGGAACCGATTTGGCGCTACTTTTACCGCCGCGCGGGCATGCCCCGCACGGAATTTCGCATGGCTTTTGAAAAGGGTGACTTTGTACGCTACAAGGCCGGTGACATTATTGTTGCAGAGAACGACTCCTTGCACCATCTCCACCTCCTCGTGGATGGTCTTGTCGAGTTCCAATCCGCTTACAATGATCGCGAGGGCGACGCTCGCACGCTCCACTCCGGTGACCTCTTTGACCTTGAGATTGCCAACCTTTTCGGTGTGCGCATCGGTTTCGAATCTGATGGTTTCCGTGCCCGTGCCGTGACCAACTGCCTGCTTGTTCGCTGGCCCTTTGAGGCCGTCCAAAGCATGGCGGCTGGTCCACCGGCCCTGGCCTCCTACTGGCGCAGCCTCGTGCTCTACCAGGTTGCTGCTGAGCTCAACCGCACTCACCTCGACGCCTCCGATCTGCCCAGCGACTCGCATGGCCATCTGGAAGACCCCGATATCTTGTCAGGCGGTCGCTCGCGTGATTTTACCGAGCCTCTGAAAGACCACGAGCTCCCTCCTCCAACCACCTTCAAATCCATCTTGCAATGGCTCTGGCGCTCCGCCAGCCCCTTCCCACCCCCGGGTCTGCGTCATAACACGCTCCCCACCTCTGGTCAGATGGCCTCGCAACGTCTGGTGGAAATGCGCACGCGACTGGCCGAGCTGGACAAGATGCATGCCAGCAACGAGCAACCCTTCACCTCCGTCTGGACCGGCGGGGCTCGTGAAAGCCAGAACGCAGCCCTCATGCGCCGCGTTACCAGCCGCCTCAAGCGCGCCCAATCAAAGAACAAACCGGAACACCCTGATGACGACGCTAAGGAAACGGGCCAGATTGTACATGACCTGGCGCTGGCCCTCTCTCGTAACAGCGAGACCCCGCCCGCAGACGCCAATGAAACCGTTCAGGAAACTTCCCTGAGCGCCAGCGAGCAGCCGGCCTCTACCAACCAGAAGAGTGTCAAGCGTAAGGTTTCCGTCAAATCGACCCGCCGCGTCTCGACGCAATCGGCAATCCTCTAAAAAGGTCGACGCCAGACATGGCCTCGCTGCACCGCAAGCGAAAGAGCTAGCGTCTTCGCCCCTTTCCAGTCCCTTTGACGTGAACGTGGCACGCCATCGTCGTCCCCCACCCCCACCCCATTAACAATGACTTGCTTGATCAACCACGCCATGCGCACTTCTGCCCATGAAAACTTCTTCAAGCATGCCAAGACCCCAGTCCTCTACATCCGAGTTGTGAGATGATGGGGTCTCTGGCACGTGTACTTTAAAGCAGCTCGAATTGCAAAAAAAATAACCCTTGTCTAACCTCCTCTCAACAGTGTCAAACGGTGTTGCCGGAAACGGCCTCCAGTGTGGTGCTACCGACTCACACACACACTTCAACATTGGTATTTTCATTGCCATTGTATGTGTCAACACTATCGCAGCGCTATGGCTGTGCTCAAGATCAAATCGCGGGTCGCAAAAAGATGGGATATGAATTCAGAAGCGCACGCGCCCAAGCGCCCACCCCATGTATACACACGTGGCATTGGTGTGCGACATAAATAGCTATTCATGGTGGGCAAGAAAAAGAGACAGATATAGCAACATAACAAACAGAATCACCGATAGACGAGTGCCGTTCAAAGAAACGGCGCCTAAAGACGATGAGGACAAACAAAAAGAATCTCGTCCTGCGTGCAAAACGACCCGCAGGCTCAAACCGGCACACTCTGAAAGCATTCAATCAGATTATCTAATCCTATCATTCATTCACATTGTGACGCGAACGCACAAAACAAAACGCAAGTTAATACGCGGCATGAAAAAATGCGTGGTCTTCAGCTCAGGGACGGAGGGCCAAGGCAACTGACCAAGAATGTAGCCGTCTTCGCGAGATCCACAATCAGGCTCCCATTGAACGCCATGATCCACGGGCTCGCCCGGGCTGAAATGAATAAAATCAAAGACAGAAATTGAGAATTAAAAAAGTCATTCTGATACGGCCCGTGACAGCGCATTGCGCCAAGTGGTCATCACGGGCCCACGCAGAGAGAAGCAAGACAAGAGCATACCGGTAACACGTCTTGGCAAAATCAATCATCCACGCTCCACCGGGCAGATTGCCGTCGTGTACAAAAAGCAACGAACTCCCAATAATCTGCGTATTAGATATACACGTGTGAGTAGGTTTGCAAGCTCGGGCAATCCTCGAGCATGACACGCTTTTCAGAGTGTCAGGCGGGCCAGACACTCGGTCGCTTGTCCTTCAGTGAGTTGTGTTGGTCGTGTCCGTACCTCGGTATGCCTGAACCAATCCGAGGCCAAGAGTGCAGCCCGCAGCTCACGCAGTCGACGGACGTAGCCTTCCCGTATCGCACCACAGCCCTGCACAAAGTAGCCAAGACGTTCCACAATGTCCTCGCGGTCCTTGAGGGTCTTGTAGTTGAACTAAATACAAATCCATGCAGTTCAAAGTGAGCAAGCTGTGAGCCACCAACAGCCAAGGCAGCATCCATCAATACAAATAGGGTTGATTGCAAACCTTGGTTTCTTCGGCCTCTCCGTGCCGGTGGATGCCCTCAATTCGAAAGCCGAGCGCAGCACTCGAGGAAAGCTGTTCACGAAACTGCATGTACCGCATCTTGGTGATACCAACTTGCTTTTCCTCCTCCGTTGGCTCTTCTGGATCAATGGCCACCAGTTTGTTGAGTAAATCAAGGCGAGGCTTGCTGCGCGCCACATCGGCTTCCAGAAATGTCCTGGTGAACGGCCGAGGTGCAAAGCCGCAGCGGCAAGGTGAGCGGTCAAGGCTGCATTGGATCACTCTTGCTGATGCAGCATGTCGTGGCATCGTGGCATCCCTTTTGCCGCCATCTCGATGCCTGAGTTGAATTGATGCGGATATGCAATTACACACCGAACGCCCATCTTCACGTCCATGATGTTGGCATGGGAACACCCCGCCACGAGATTTTGCAGCTTCAAGTAGCCCTTGCCGTTGGTCATGATCACGCCGTCGTAGGCTGGCACGAACAGCTGCAGACTCTTGTGATGACGCAGCTGCTCAAACACAACCTGAAGATGCCAGGAACGAGACATGAGAGCCGTGTGGCACCGGGCCCCCGTCCTAGGGTCGAATGCTATGAGGCGGTTCGCTTACCTGCTCGGTGGTATTGGCTTGCTTGAAGATCCATTGGCCGTCCACATCCACTTTAAAGCCGTCCGAGTGGCTGCGCATGGCATCAACAGCGAGGTGAGATATCAGTGGGGTTGGGACGTCGACAAGTCAACCTTCTACTCTGTCCACAATGAGCCTGCGTGTCGGGAATGTGTGGGGTCGACAAAACTCTCAACTGACCCTGCCAGCTGAACCCAAGGATAGGAGCTTCGTCGAAACACGCGCACGGCGGTGGTCATGTACCGCAAGGAGCGCCAGCGTTCTATGGCAAAGCGATGAGGAAAAGCGAGAGCTTTGGGTGAGGCATGCGCGCGAAAGATAAAGGCGAGTGCTGGGATGGAAAGTCCTTTGCACGAGCCATACCGCGAGCTGACGGGCTTTTGGACACGCGGCGTGGTTGAACAAAGCCAATTGCGCCAGAGCTGCAACCAGATGCCAAACTGTCGTCGCTAAAACATTCTTCATCAAAGTCGGCGCTCGAGCGTGGCGAAACAAATTCCGAGCCGTTCAAGTTGATGAGGGTTTGTATGTCGTTGCTGCCTGCTGTGGTGGCCGCTGAGGTGGGGCGCTCCATCTCCATGTCATCCAGCTCGCTGGAGGCGTCGTCCTGACGGGACTCATGAGAATCTTGCGTGCTACCTTCACTGGGAGACGACACATCTGACCGAGGTTGGATATTAGCCAAAAGATCAGTGGCGCTCCCGGTTCGGCTACCAGGGTTGCTCCCATCGCGGCTGCTGGCTGCACGATGACGGGCCATTATGGCACGGCGTGAGATGGGTGACGTGCTGCTGGAGGAGCCAGCTGATGATTTGTGAGAGGGTGCGGCAAGGTTGCGGGCTTGCGCAAGGGATTCCGAGGCCGCCATATCCGAGTCACGACCACTGGGTACAAGGGTGGAGGGATCATAGTGATCAAAGTCAGAAGCTCGCTCCTCCAGATGGGCGCGGCGCGCTCCGTGGCTACTGTGTGGAGATGAAGCCGTGGGCGAGCGCGGTGGCGGGCGGGGCTGAAGGGTTGAGCTCATGTCGGGCTGGTCCGTTTGGTCGTATGCGCGACGCTGGTAATACCGCCGCACATGACCCGGCGAGAGGCAACGGGTGAGTTGAACGCCGCAGGAGCCATTGTCCAGACAGACACTGTCAGCACCATCGTCGTCATCATACGCATCGATATCAGCATCCGTGTCTGCATTTGCACCCGCACCCGCGTCAGGAACGGAGGACAAAGTTGATCCATCATGGCGTGGAACGACTTGGGCACCAGGTACAGAAAAGGGGTCACCAAGCTGGCCTTCGAGCGGCACTCCGAGGCCGAGCTCGTGTTCGTCCGAGGTCGTGGCTGGTCCGGAGAAAGACAATGAGGGTGGGCGAAGGGTGCACTGGGAAGAGGTACTGTCCATGCTGGGGCGGGGTTCCAATGGTACACCAGTGCCCAGGCCAATGGAACTGGTTGATCCGTGGGTGCGGGAATGGCGGCCAGCGCCAGGAGAGCGGCGGCTGCCGTTGGAGCTATCGGAGAAGCGTATGGCGGGCGGGTCGAGATTGCTGGGGGAGCCCAGGCTGGTGTCACCGGGGACTGGGGTGATGGACGACACCATTAGACTACCCCGTCGCCCGTCACTACCTTGTGGGGTGAGACAGGTGTCGCTGCCCAGACCCGAGGCCATAGAGGAGGCCTTGACGAGTTCTGCTAGCTGAAGCAAGTCCATGTCGGTGAGGGCGGTGTCACTGCTGCGCCGGCGATGGAAAGCATCGGAAAAATCAATGCCAAATCCATGTGAGCTCTGGAGCCAGTTGTCGGGGTGAGAGCCGCGGCGCAGCTTGCCCGTGCCGACAATGTCATCGTCCTCGGTTGAGGCGCAACTGTCGCGGCGCATCTGCCAGAACTGAAAACCATGGCTAGAGCGATGCCGAGGGCCCCCGGCGGGAGGGGTATACTCTTCAAACAGTTGATTCGCACGCGGGTGGCGTTCGTGTGCGGTCGACTCCGCCATGAGGACGTATGTGATTGGTCTAGAAGCGAAGGCCGGTTGGAGCGCCTCCTTCACCTCCACGCTAAGCGGCGTGGGAGAGATCCGCGAAGGGACGGGGCGCGGTGCTGTAGTCGAGCCGAGAAGCGATCCAACTGTTTCCAAGACTAAGAAAGGCCCCGAACGGCCGGATCAATGGTTCTGTTCCCACCGATCCGGGGCGCTCAACGGCCGCGGCTGGCGGCACCAGAACGCGAGGGGGCAATCAGGGACGCGCAAGTCGTTGGTTCTCCACCACCAAGCATCAATCAAAGACGCGCCAGACAATGATGGAAAAAAAATGACAGAGAAAAGAGAAGAGGCGGAGCAGGGATAGGGGATAGCCCGCAGGTATGATGGTGCGGTGATTGACCACCAGCAGACTAGGGCGTCGTCAGTCGCACACTTGAGGTCGCCCGGCGCGCGCGTGTTCCCCGAGGCAGCGGGCACCTTTTTTTTTTCTTTTTTTTCTCTTCTTTCCTCTTTTCAAGCCAAGTCAGGTTCCGTCCTGACCCCGTTCTACCTTGAAATGCAATCAGCAAACTGACTGCGCCCGATCCAGTGACCAGACCAAGACCGGACCAGGAGCAGTGCAGGCACACCCAAACAGCATCAGCACACCACACTGCCGTTTACACACCAACGAGACAGTCGTACGACACCACACACACACAAGCTAAAGCTCTCTTAGTGTGGAAGGGGCACTTGAAAAGAAAGACAGTTTTGCTCGTGCACACACACAACAGTCTCTCTCTCTCTCTGAATCTCTCTCTGAATCTCTCTCTGTCTCTCTCTCTGTCTCTCTCTCTCGCGAACTCTGTCTCTCTCTTTCTGTGTGTGTTCTCTCTCTCTCTTTGCACAACCACACGCTGTGCGGCTCTCTCTCTCTCTCTCTTTCTTCACGTCTCTTCTCTCTCTTCTCTCTCTCTGACAACACCAAACGCTTTTGTTTGTGGGAGGTTTCCTTTGTTGGTTCGACTGTTCTTTTGTTTGCTGAGTGTCGTGTGTCCAACATTGACGTCTCTCTCTCTCTCTGACTCCCTCTCTCTTCTCTCGCTTAGAATGTCATGCAATTCATCACACTCTCTCTCTCTCTGACGTGTTACAAGCGTTGTGTGTCGTACTGGTACAAAATCGCCCTAGCGGCCATAGGGCAGTCGATCCCTGCCCCTCCCCTTGGCCCTCCCCTTGGCCCTCCCCTTGACCCTCCCCTTGGCCAAGGTTTCAAACACCTCTTGTCAACGCCGCCGTGGTAGGCTTGAGGGTTGTGTGATGCGGCTCACCTGAGCAAAGACTGTTGGTGTTTGGACCATTCAGGAATGGCTCACAGTCCTCCTCTTGGTTCAAAGAACGTCTTGCAGCTGTCACAGTCAAAAGTACACGTAACGGCAAACCATTTCTTGAGGTGCCAAGCGCACAGCCTCGGCACCTTCTCGTGTGGGTTGATGGTGGATCCAGCAGAACCTGTCCGTCCTCAAAATGGCATCGATCATTCTGCCAACCTTGCGCACTGACACCAAGCTGCACCACCCAGCAGGTTGTTATCTTATAGTGAACCGCTTCGATTCCGTGATCTGTGTCAGAGTTTTCAGTGCGCTTGCGATCAGAAAAACATCATTCACGTGTCAATTCAACCCACCGACACCGACACCTCAATGGCTACACCTGAACGCGTCTCCGTTTACATCAGGAAGACAGGAAGACATGGATCAGGGCTCTATCGCGGATTCAATGGACGTAGCAGGTGTATTTATTGTTACAGGGGGGGTTCTGAGCGAAACTGTCGCATACAAGCAAAACGTGCGTAAAATGTGCGCGTTCAAAAACGCTTAAGAAGTTCTGATCCTATCAGTAACCAAACGGAATCGGTGCATTGACGCTCAAACACCTGCAGTACCTTACTGTCTGTCAATCGGCTCGCAACGAACGCCTGTGCCCCGACGCCTTCCCAGGCTGGATATGAGCCAGAGCTTTCAGTGACGCTCGCTGTACCTTTCCCTTGAAAACTCAAAAATTATGGAAAAATACATCAAAAATACACCAAAAATCACCCGAAAATATTCACAGCCAAAGTCTGTATACGGGAAGCGATGGAAATACAGGTCAAAGTAATTCACAAACCGGCTTGCAAGCGACTGGGGGACCAATGATCTGACATTTTCACATACGACCCCCTGGCACCCACGAGATGGCGACGACGACGACGACGGCGGCCATGGCGGCGATGCGAACGGCAGTGCAGGCAGCACGAAGCACCTGGGCTGCAAACTGGTCTCGGTCAGCCGTTCAAGCAATGAAGCAGGGTCCTGCCTGGGCTCGCACTGCCTCACGCTCCATGGCGCAGGCAGCTGCGGCTACCGAGCGCCCTCAACCCACGGCCCAGCCTCATCCCGCCACCCGGGTGACCATCGACGAGCTCTTTGATGCCCGGGTTCATCTTGGCCACAAGGTACGACTGGTCGGCTTGTGGGGTCACAGGCTCCTGGCGCGGGTCTGCCTCAAGTCTGGTAGCGTGGCGCGGGTCTGCTTGGAAGGCGCAAGGCCCCCACTCGTTTATCGTCGGGCCAAACCTTGTGCTGGCCCTTCTCGTTGTCGAGCTCGCACGGTACTCTAGCATCTGGTACTCACATCCTGTTGCCGGCCATCCATTGTTCTTTACCGCGTGCCTCAGCGTGGCATGTGGAACCCAAAGATGGAGCCCTACATCTACACCACCCTTGCCGACTCACACATTATTGACCTCAACGTGACCAAGGCGCATCTTGAGCATGCTCTAGAGCTGACCCGGTGCGAGGTCGCATCGCTGTCGCCAGCATTCATCCTTCTTGTTTTTTTTTTTTTTCTTTTTTCCCGTAACTGGCCTTGTGCCCTGTTATCCATGTTTTAAATTCGGTGTCCTCACGCATTTGGCCAAACTGCAGTCGTATCTCGGCAGATGGCGGTGTCGTGCTGTTTGTGGGTGGCCGCCCTCAATTCGAGGGCCTTATTCGTCACGAAGCGCGCCGTTGCGGAGAATACTTTGTGACTCGCAAATGGATTGGTGGCACCCTCACCAACAACACGGAGGTGAGCCAATTGCCTTAATATGGTACACTCTCTTCCTGCCTTTGCTGCTACAGGCACGCACTTCTCATCGATTGGTCCATGGGGTTCAGACGCTGGGTGGCCTGCGTATGCCCGACTTGATCCTCTTCTTTTGTGTTCCCGTGAGCAAAGTCGGCGTCAAGGTCAGAACTCGCCGTCTTGGGACATTTTCCTTGTCGGCTTTATGCACCCAATGCCCATTACCTCTTGGATGGATCGTGCCCGTACTCGAGGCAGATATCGGTAGACTCACGACAGTGGTGGCTCGTTTCGCTGCCGACGTCCATCTGTGATGCTTGTTGTATAGGAGGCCCTTGACTGTGATATTCCCAGCGTCGGCATTATTGACACGGATGGTGATCCCGACGGTGTCACCTATGTCGTACCCGGCAACGATGACACCACGCAAGCCATCGAGTTTTATGTGCGCAAGTTTGCCGATGCTGTCCTCGCCGGCAAGGAGGCCATTTCCGATGAACAGTGATGGCAGGGTTTTTAGAGAAGGAGCGCTGCGCCTTTTCCAACGTCCATAGAGACACGTCGCTCATGAGTCGCCTGTTGACATCAAGCGCTTTACATCGTGGGCTGGAAGTGAGGCGTGGCCTCGTGTTGGCTATCTGCTCACCCACCAGCCTTTGATCCAGAGTCTACGTTATCGCCATTTCTCCTGCTGCTTGCTTTGCCCTCTGTTTGCTGGGCGCCGCGCGCCGCTTGCAAACCAAATCAGGGCAGCTATTTCATCTTCATGTCGTTCTTTCTTCTTCCTTTTCCCTTGCTTTTTTTGTTTTTTTCGCGTGGTACCTTGTATCCTTTCCCCAACCCCTTTCGACTTTTGAAAAGAAATTGTATTGGTGCATCGAATTAAGCGGCTCCTGCATAGCGGCGAACCTCATGGGACCACGCCGTTGAATCAAGCGCATGAGCAGCGAGCAACTCTAAACGCAGATGCATGACACAACCAATCGTAGGAGGTTGGCTGTTGAAGCAGTCAAAGTGTAAACTCAGGCCTTGGTCAACATTGCAATCGCGGTGCGGCGCGTCTATCCACACACAGCAAATGGCGATGACCACCAGGAGGTCAAGCATGTTTCATAAGTTTTGGCGATCGACCAGTCGCGGACTCTGATGGGCTGCCTGTATGCCTGATTCACTGCTCCCTGAATGACATGCGCGATACAAACCGCCGAGGTCACGGGAATGTTGGTCCCAATTTGCAAGAGCTCCTTTCGAAGGTCCTTGTTACTCATCGACTCCAATTCTGCCACCGTCCACTTGCGCTAATGGCAGGCACCGGTGACGAGGATCAACGGAAGAAACGGGTGTGTGAGCGCCGGTGGTGAGGTCATGATTGGAAGGAAACAAAGTCGCTGGTTTACCTTCGCTGGGGCCCGCGCAGCAGGCAGCGATGGCGGAGCGTCAATGCTTTCATCCAGTTCTTCTTGCTCGGTTTCTTCATTATCTGAAAAGAGCTGATCTGAGCGTGTGGTTCTGGTGACCCGCGGCTGCGGCGCTGTAACGCGCCGGAGCCTCTGCCGAGTTTGGCTTTGATTGGCAGCACTGGTGTCCTCTTCGTCCTCTGAGAAGAGGTGGCCGGTAACAGGGGGAATAGCGGTGGCCACAGGGCGGCGGGGGTTGGAAGCGGGAATGCTGGGGGTGCTCATCTTCTCCGTGCCCTCATTGAAAAGGCGGCTATATTCGAGGTATTCTCGGTTTGTGATTGCCTCGTCGCCGTCCAGGTAGTCGAGAAACTTATCGGGGTGCCGTAAATTAGACTCAATGTGATGGCGGACACGGATCGGGCTGTCCAGAATCTCGTCGCGCAGGCGCTGCAGGCGCACGGCGGGGCCTTTGGCCCGCGTGGATGCTGGGGTGGCAAAGGAAGTCGGGCGCTGAGCACTTGGGGGTACTGATGAGGTGGTTTGGAAGTGAGGGGCCGGGCGAGTTGAAGCAGCGGGTGGAGAGGCGGGCGAGAATACGGGTGCCGGTGTATCGTCATGATCAGCAGTACTGTGAAAGTAGGTGACGATCAACAAGACGAGCACCACGGCCAAACCGAAGCCGCGGTCCTGGATGCCAGCCAGGATGAGGCAGCCGGCGATCATTTTGAAGGCGACGGCCAGGGTGGAACGGGTTTGGACGGACGGGGGTCCAAAGTAGTAGCTGATGATAAAGGAGAGGCCGACCACACCGTAAAAGACGTAGGACCATGCCTCTTCCGGGTAGGCAAAGGTAATCACCTCCCAGAGCATTTGCAACAGGTCGGCAGTGGAAGGCAGGTGGGTCATTTGAAGGCCAATGGCCCCGGCCACCATGGAGCCGAGACCAAAGATGGCTGCACCGATGGTGCTCACTCGGCGATTCAGCTCACGCGTGAGAAGGAACAAGGCGGCCACGAGGACCACTGCCACGCCCATGACCGTGGTACTGGCATAGTAAAAGAGCAGATTCCTGGACAGGCGCTCAGCCAAGAGCATCAGCACCACGCCCGTGACAAACATGAGAAACGAGGGCCGGTGAAAGTCTGCAAGCAAGCAAGCAGGGGTGGAGAGGGTCGAGGCGAGGTGTGAGTCATGATGGCTGGCGCACCCTCCCTCCGCCAGATGGTGGATCAGTTGGGCGACTGGCAACGGGAGGCGGACGCACGTTGTTGGACGTGGGCGTCGATGCTCGCAGGGTGCAGGGTGGTGTCAGTATGTTCGATGGCAAAGATGGGCGCGGCTCCAAAGGGGCTGTAGCTAAACTCAAAAAGGGGGGCGGTGCCCTCGAGTTGACCCACGGCTCGATAGCCCTTATCCTCGTCGGGAGTGACTGTAGCATTGAGGAGCCGTGTCACGTGAATGGGGATGGAGGCGTTGAGGACGACTTTGCGCACGTAAAAGAGATGGTGCATGTGGGCAATGAAGGAGATGGGGTTCTGAAGAATACTGGCAGAGGTCGGTGCCTGGACGAGCTGGGAGCCATGATTCTGCGTGACGGCACGATCACCGCGTTGTTTTATGCATTGCATGCAAAGGTGCGGTTGTCAGCGATGAGCAGCCGAGCCAGCGCTCGCCCAACGAGTGATATCAAGACACGAGCCCTCACCTTGAGCAAGAAGCTGGCTGGCAGCTCCAGCGGCTGTTCAGCGGCCTCGGGGCTATAAATTTCCACATCTCCAGCCAGTGAGGCGGCCAGCACCGCGGCCAACACCACCACACCCACTAGACCTTGTCCCCTCATGACGCTCGGTCTCACGCGGCCACCGCCAATTTTAAAATTGAAATTTCCCTCTCTCTCTCTCTTTTGAATTTTTCAATTTCGTCAAAAGCAGCGGACTGATGCTGAAGGAGGGTAAAAAACGATCGAGTTTTGATGATTGAGCTGCAAAGGCTTTCGGCTTTGTGCCGTTGGTCACGCTTGGTCACACTTTACCGCTTGCCAATTTCGCGTGTGGCTCAAAATTCTTGGTGAAATGGCGATCGCTTCAATGGCGGTCCCAGGGGGGGTGCTGTCGCGCTTCGGCTCCTCTCTGCCGCTGTGCTCCCCATCTCAAAGACCGTGGGCGCCATGCCGTCTTGACATGTTCGTGGCATTCTATCCAGAGGGACTGGTCCATGTCGATGCGATCACACCAACATGTCTGACCTGATTTGATTGCACAATCGCCGCTGATCGCTTGCTATGAGAGAATGGCTAGGAGCATCATGCAAGCGCATTTTGGGAGAAGGGGATCAGTGTCGAGTCGAGTCGATGCAGTTCAGGTCGGGTCGGGTCGCGTCACGCAGAGCAGAACAGAATAGAGCAGAGACGATCGGGGCAGAAGAGAGTAGAGCCAAAAAAAGAGCCGAGTCGAGCCGAGTCGACTTGAGTTGAATCGAGTCGAGCTCGGTCGAGCGTGTACGGGACCTTCCAAATGCAGTTGTGACTGCGAATCCTATGGGATGAAAGGGCGGTGGCTCACAGCAACGAGACGAGCCACTGCGGGCAGCGCAGCCTCCCTGGTGGCCGCGCGTCCGTTTGCCCCAACAAACGGCAGCGCTGCGCCCAACGCCCCTCGCTCCTCTTGTCCCCCCTCCCGGTTTTTCCCCAATTCTCAACAAGTTCATTGAGGCAGGCAGCATTGAAATCTCAATCACAGAACCCTCTGGTCCCAAACGTCGCTCGTGCACCCTCTCTCACACAAAGCGCATTCTGTATAGCGTTTTTGCCGTTTGGGTACACTCTTCCAACACACTCTCTGACATTACATCTCAAGCTGCCTCCATCTCTACAAAATTCAGAGAGAGAGAAAGAGAAAGAGATGAGAGAGAGAGAGAAAGAGAGATGAGAGAGAGAAAGAGAGAGAGGAGAGGGAGAGAGAGAGAAAGAGAGAAAGAGAGAAAAGAAAGAGAGAGAGAAAGAGAGAGAGAAAGAGAGAGAGAAAGAGAGAGAGAGAGAGAGAGAGAGAGAGAGAGAAAATCAAAGGGAGAAACAAAGAAAACACAAAGGGTGTGTTGGTGTGCAAGGTAAAAAGGTTAATAAGGTTGGAGAGCTCGAGGTACCAAGTGTTGCCGGCACCCCTCTCTGTTTCTCTGTGTGTGTGCCCGTTGGTCACCTCATCTCGGCGCTCTGCTACTCTGCTGCTCTGCCGTTTGTCGCCGTGTGTGTGCGTGTGTGCGGGGAGAACAAGAGGGTGCTCGGCTCGGCTTGAGCAGTTTTCATAAACCGCGATCGGTGCGTAGATTTGGTATTCATGCTGCTTTGGGTTGTGGCTGGCAAGGCTTTTCCATGTTGTTCGCGGGGTGTGCCTTCCCTTTGCTACTGTCATGTGGTCATGTGTGTGCGTGTGTGTGTGTGTGTTGTGGCCGCCGTTTTGTTGTGTGTGTGCGTACAGTGGCGCCGCCGTTGTGTGCAGGCAGGTGTGTGTGTGCGCGCGAGCGGACCTTTGCCTGCTCCGTGCTTGGTACCAGCTACGAAGCGGGTGGATGATCCCGATGGATTGCGTTGGATCTCCACCCGCTTCTGTTCAGAGGTTCCACTGGCGGTTGCCGTTTTTGATCTCGTGTTTCCTTCCTCCACACCGACATGACTGCCACACCCTCCTCGCGCAGAGCTCGTCATCTGACCTTGCCATCCATGCTATCCCGCTCCTCCGTACTCATGGTCTCATGCACTTTCAACAACACAACGACCCCAAACCAGTGCTTGCTCACCTGCCTCGTTTTACGTTGCCTCTGCCGTTTTCCACACCTCGTTCCCTACCTTGTGTTCTCTCTCTCTCTCTCTCTTTCTCTTTTTTTTTTAAATTTTTTTTTTTTTTTGGTTTCATCTCGAGGAGGGTGCACGAGCGCTTCCTTCCCTGCCAGGGCAGGGCTTGTAGCGGCGCCATCGTGGCTGAATGTTTTGTTCTTCAATGCTCTGTGTTTTCCATTGCGCTTGGTTTTGTGCCGCCCCAAGTTTTTGACCACTTGTAGCAGTGTTCCGTTGCCAAAGACGCAGTGGCTCACTGGTCTCATCGCACCCCATGTGCCTCTTGTCCACAGATTTGGTCCTCACCAACTCAAGGCTCTTCTTTTTGAAGGAGCTCTCTGCAGCGCCCTTCATCACTCCTCCTTCGCCTGCCCTTTTCCTCCACTCTTGTTTCCACCCGTGTGCCCCAACGGCCTCAAGATGGCGGTACGCTCGTCCCCCCTCCCTTTGAGCCCCTCAAATTTCAGTCCATTTTTTTTTTTTTTTGGGTTTAAAAGTTGGACCCTCTAGTGCTGGCAGAAGCTGAGCCGTGTCCTCGTTCTTTCAATCACAAAGATCAGCAAATCTAACGGCGCCATGACCCGATTGGCATGTGAATAGGAGAATCGGGAGAGCTCTTGGGCTTTGGCCCCGGCTCGGGACTTGCATGTCCTTGAGAAGGAGGACGTGCCGGACCACGTTCTTGACGGCGTGACTTTCCGACCAGACCTTGTCTCTAACCCGGAACTGCGCCAGAGGGCGCGCTCCTCGGGTTATGGTCGTGAGGCCGTAATGCAGACCAAGGTGGTGCTGGAGGACGATGAAATTCGCCCCTGGCATGAGGTCCCCACTTTCCGTCCTGAGCTTCCCGAGGATCCCAAGCGCAAGTCGGCTTCTGGCAGCGGTTACGGCAAGGTTCTGCCTGTCGTCACCCCCAAGACTCCGGAGCGCCCCTCCTTCAAGCCTGAGGTGAAGCGCACTCAGTCGGCGCAAAAAATGTTGCAACGCACCGCCTCCTCTGGTTACGGTCGCGTGACCGCTCAGTCTCCTCGCCCCAAGTCAGCCCCAGAGACACCCTCGTTCCGCCCGCGCTTGAGCAAAACCTCTCGCCTGCGCTCCGAGGTCAAGTCCTCCGGCTACGGCAAGGTGCTGCCGCCCCGCAAGGAGTCAATCGGCACCCCTGAGCCCAAGTCCCCCTACCTGCCACGTTACACCCTCCTCATGGATCGCCCCGAGCCCAAGGCTGCAGAGCCCGATGAGCGCGAGTCTGCCTTTGTCTTGGATGGTGTCGCCTCCTCCACTCAGAACCGCCTCTACACTCCTGTGGAGAAGCCCAAGCTCTCAGCCAAGCAGCGCGAGCTGCTGGACAAGGCTCCTTCAAGCGCCTACGGCATCAACTCACCACCCGTCACGCCGCGCCGCGAGCCGGCGCCTGCACCACGCTCCTTCAAGCTTGATCGCTCCAGCGTGCTTGACGAGCCCCTCGAACCCTTTGCCACCAAGACGCCGTTGGCCGACAAGGTGCGCTCCTCCAACTACCGCAACTACCGTCCCGAGGTCAAGCCCCGCCAAGAGCGACCTGCTTCCGAGTCCCAATGGGCCCTGGCGTCCAAGGGTGCCTGGAGCGATCAGGTCGAGCCCGTCCCCCGCAGTCATCTGAACGATCAAGTTCAGTCCCACGGCTATGGCTCGGTTTCCCCCGCCAAGGGCCCACGCTATGAGGTGGCCGCCAAGCCCTTGTGGCTGCCCAACAACAAAGCCCACAAGATGACACCTCCCGCGCCCATCCCTCGCTCCCGCCTCAACGACCAGGTATGACCACACGTCCGCACTCTTGGCGTCCAGCCAGTGTTTTTACATGAGGGAGCAGAGGCGTGCCCCCTGCCCATTGGCGCTCATTTGTCTTGCACGTGCGATGGCTCACCATGCTTTTGTGCTCTGCTTTTTGCGCGTGCGCGCCTGGCTTGTTCGTTGCAGGTGCAAAGCCATTATGGCAAGACCTATGATCCCTCAGCGCTGTATGCATTCAACGGCGACGAGGAGTTTGATGATGAGATTGCTCATGGCTCTCGCCGCATCAATGGTGCCAGCCACAACGCGAGCTACGAGAACGGTACAGGCGTGGATGAGGAGGAAGATGATATTGAAGCTTACTAAGCTCATCATCATTGGTTCTCGTTGTTGATGGCGCTTCGTCTCGATCTGCCATCTTATATCTTCCTGGGTTTCCTTTTTCTAGACCCATCCTTGTGTGATCACCATCAACCTTGTTTCTGTGCCTACAAATTCTCATGCTTTTTTTTTTCTCTTCTCGTCTGGAGTACATTGTGTGTTGCGACGTGTCCGTACCTCATTCCTTCCTCTTTGTTTGAATATTGTTTTCCTATCCTCCTCCCCATGCCACTCTGCGATCCCTTTCCCCTCTTTGGGAAGGATGTGCCTTGCCCTCACACATGTTGCGTTGCGTTTTCAATCGCGGCTTTTAGCGGCAATTATGAGTGTACTTGTCGGGCGCGCGCTTGCATTTGTACCGAGCGCAGTCAGGACGCTCGGGAATACTGTTTTCATCCGTTGTCGTGTGATGGAAATTTCCTTGCGTGTGCACACGGTGTCTCCTTGACCCGGCTCTTTTTTTTCTCCCAATTGAATAAGTGAAGAAAAGAGATTTGAGCGTCAGGTGGAGACGTGCCGCTTTTATCCTTTACTCTTTTCGCCGCTCACACCCTCGAGGCAGGATAAGTTGCTGCATGCCTACGCGAAACTTTCACAAACCCCCTTGCCTATTACATCCAATCGCCACAAATAAATTTTTTTTTTTTTTTTTTTGTTGACAGCTCTTCAGCGTGCCTGAACTGCTCACGTGTGTGTGTGTGTGTGTGTGTGTGTGTGTGTGTGTGTGTGTGTTTTCACATCTTTCGAATTGATAGATGTAAAATACTTTGTACATTTTTTGTTGTTGTTGTTGTTTGAAATTTTGTGGCAGCGGCCGGCGGATGCCATCACGTCTGGGGGGTTGGGCCAAGGGGGGTGGCGATCTGGTTGCTCCAGATCTTGAGCTGTTGATAGCATTTGTCTTGCTTCTGTCGAGGTCAAGAATCAGACCGCTGCCATGGGCGATGTGATTGTCGGGATTCTTGTGGTGGTGCTGGGCGGAACCCTCAGCGGCTTGTTTACGGCGCCCATGAGCTACAACAAGGGCTGGGCTTGGGAGAACGGCTGGTTGATCTACTCTATTTATGCCATGGTACGGTGGGCCTGTTGCCCTTTTTAAGCTGAACCATCCTCGATCTTGCTCTCGCTCTGTGCCAAACTCACGCCAACCGCCGCAACCATGTGGCTGGACGTGGCAGCTGCTCTGCCCTTGGATCTTTGCATTTTATGCGCTGGACGATCTGCCGCAAGTTTATCAGGAATCGCCCGCCGAAGCCATTGGTGCAGCTATTGTTGGTACCTTGTCCACCCGGATTCTTTTCTGCTGGCACCGTCCAAGGCCTCTCACTCCGGCTCGTCGGACGCACTGCAATAGGGCCTCGGGTGCTTGTGGGGCATTGGCTCCGTCTTATTCGGCCTCGGAGTCGATGCCGTGGGTCATGCTCTAGCTTTTGCCATCATTTTGGTGTGTGATGAAATTATTTGCCATGCCCACAGGCGGCCGTCACCCATCCCTCATTCCCAATGGGTTGCCTGCCTGCTTGCATGTTTGACTGGCCTAACCCAACGGCGTCCCGCGCGCTCGCGGACATTGATAGGGGTTGACCTCAGCCATTGGTGCTGCATTGCCCTTGGTGATTCTGCATCCGGATGATATCGGTTCCCGCACTGGCATCTTTACTTGGTCAGTGCAAAGCCACGACGACGAAACCGGGTATCAGGGGCCTTGATCACTCACTTGGTGCGGCTGCACGTTTGTCACGATAGGGTTGCTCTGGGTGTGGTCATCATCGGTCTAGTCGTGCTAGCCAAAGCGGGTGCTCGCCGCGAGCGGGAACAAAAGGTTGGGCCCAGCACGCTTGGTTTCTGCTCCCGGGACTAGACAACCCTCTCACTGCAACGGTGCCCCTCACCGTGCACGCCTCTCTTGAATAGGCTGGCGAGACAAAGCCCCTCCTACTGAACGATGAGATTGCCGTCTTGGACAGCATCTCTCACCAGCCGGGCCACGCCTCCTTTGCTCGTGGCTTGATTATCTGTCTCATCTCTGGCCTAGCGTCGCCATGCTTGAATTTAGGCATTACCTTTGGCGAGTACGTTTCACGTTTTCAGATCTCGTCATCGTCGTGTGCTCGATTCTTAGTCGGTGCAAGTCGAGTCGCCTCACCCGACCTCGATTCAACGTGTGCTGTCTTGAATTCCAGCGATGTGAGCAAGAAGGCCAAAGATCTCGGTAACTCAGCAACCTTTGCCGACAATGCTACCTGGTGCTTGATGTGGGCGGAGGAGCCATTCCCAACGTGCTCTACTGTCTCTATCTACTCACCAAAGTCAGTGTACCAACCACTCAGCACAAGCAGTGCTCCTGGCATTGCATCAAATGCCAGTCTTTGAGCACCTCTCATGTCCCATCTCAACGCTTCCTCGCCTGCCTGCTTGACGGCTGAACTTTGCAGAATGGTACTTGGCACAAGTTTGGTCAAGCAAATACACAGTGCGATCCGCTGCGCAACGCCGCCCGGAGTGCACTGGGTGGTGCGCTTTGGTTTGGTGGGAATACCATGTGAGCGCCATGATCCACATTAAATGGCCTGCTAGCTCATGTATGGTCTGGACTGTGACACTAACGCTTGCCATGAACTTGCCCTTGCGCCTTGATAGTTATACAGTGGGCGCCTCGATGATTGGTGACTTGGGCACAGGTATGGATTTCGTCAGCGGGCCTTGCTTTCTCGCTCCTTCGCTCCTCTTTCTCAATCTCGCATGGTGCTACGGGGTTGCCTTAGTTGTCGGTTGGCCAGTCATGATGATCAGTATGATCATGGCAAGCAACGTGTTTGGCCTGTTCCAAGGTCAGCCCGACCAAAGTTCACTCTGGCAGGGCACAGACAGGACACGACACGCAGGCACTCACAGGGCATGTTGCGGCCATTGATTGGTTCAACGCAGGCGAATGGAAGGGCACCTCTTTTGCAACGCGCGTCATGGGTGGCACTGGTTTGCTGATTCTATTTGGCGCAGTAGTCCTCGTGGCTTTGGGCTAGTATGCGAGGGCCAGGTCTCTCCCCAGTGTCCTTGTTTTTTTTACATTGGAGACAACGTTTGCCCTAGCTTCACGGCAGCAATCTGGATTAGCAAGTTTAGTGTCATGTCAATGAGAGAGAAAAGGCAACGAAACGTGGAAAAGAAAAAAAGAAAAAGAAAAAGAAATAAACAGGCCCACAAGCCACTTTGTTTTAGAATAGATGCCTGCTTCAAGGTCTCTTACATCTTGGAATTCATGCTCAAGACCGAAAACAACCAGTCGCATCCGATCCAACTGTTAGTTAGCAAGCAAACCTTGCGCTGAACATGTTTAGATTGCAACAGAACCTAGCATACGTGGTTGCAAAAGAGGGGTTGGTGTGGGCTGACAGTTCGCCCTGGCAGCGCCAGCACTCACAGCGGCCGCTCAAGACAATTGAGTGGAGTTGAGGGGCCGGACGTCACCATGACGATCGATGCCAAACTGAAGCGGCGCAGCTGAGGTGCGAAGCAATGATCGCGATGTTGCGTTCATGCGAGACACATCGTTACGGTATGAATCTAGCCAAAGCCGATGTTCGTTCACAAGGTTGCGACTGTAGTTGGTGCTTGCCGAGAGGGACGGCTGTGTTGGCAGTACTCGGCGATAGGGCGCAGAGGTCGAGGGCGGAATTAGCGTGCTCGTTCGAAGCGTCGGATCGACGCGAGGTGCCATGAAAGACGACCCCGCAATTCGCTCAGAGCGCAGAGTTGTGCGGTGTGGTATCGAGGCCAAGCTTTCGTTGCCATGAGGGCGTTGCTTCAGTGCTTGTCGGTGTTCGCGCGAAGCGCGCACTTCGTCCAAAATGCTGGTGATGCCACGGTCGATTGGGCCTCCAACAGCGGGCATGTAGGAGGCATCTGGTCGATAGGACCGTGCTGCGGAAAGGGAGGCCGCAGCACCAGCGCCCAACTCAGCTTGGGCATCCAAAAGTCGCGCACTCGCATCCAGAAGAGCCTCATGGTTTTGCAGGCTGGTCTCCTCAACGTCCACATAGCGCTGTGGCAACAAAAAGTATGGCCAACGAAAGAAGCTTGGGGTGAGGGGCGGCGTGTCACGTACGCACAGAGCAAGGGCAGGCTTATCTGACATACCTTCAGGCGACCTAGAATTTCATGTGCCGGGAGCTCATCCAGGCGATCCGTTGCCAGCGTCGAGCGAAGGTTGGTGAGATCAGCACTGCGCTCATGCAGGGCTTGTTGTTGATTAACAAGAAAACGTCGAGCGCGATCGAGCAGAGCTTCCTCCCGCACCGAAGTGTCGGCGGCCGTGTCATCCGCTTGAGCGCTTCTGCTGACAGCTGCACGAGGCGCGTTGTCCCCAGAGCCGGATTGGTTCAGATGCTGATTCAACGACGAAAGCAGGGCACTCATTCGCGCATCAACTTCAGCCATGTCCGACTTCTGAACATCAGGGGCGGTCGCTTTTACACTAGCCCCCGTGCCTGCGCTTGGTGCAGACACAGCGTTTGCAGCTGAAGCCGGTGCCTCGGCCGCTGCCCCGGGTGCGGGGGCAGCGGGGTCTTTGGGCGAGGGAACACTTTGCCTCGGTTGGGCCGGTTTAGCTGATGGGGGAGGGGCTGCGAGCTCGTCGCGTCGACGCTGTAGCTCGGCAGCAGCTTCTTCGCACTCTTGTCGTGTGTCCGCGAGCTGTTCCTGCAGCTTGATGACGTCCTGTTGCGCCTCATCCAGCTCGTTGTTGATCCGCTCGAGCTCTTCCCGCTTGTCCTCCAACTCTCCGTCCAGAGTGGATAGCTAGGGTTGCATCAGATCAGAGGCATACAGGCAGTCACTTGCCCAGGTGCATGTCAACTGGTGGTGGAGTATGCTTCGTACCTCTTCCTGCTCATTGGCTTGCAGATCACGTCGACGCTGCTGGGCTGCCTGCAGATCTTCCAGGCAAGCAGACTCCATATCCGAAATTTCGTTCTGCAGATGCTTGATGCGAGCCTCGCCCTCCTGACGAAGCTGCGGTGATTGCCGGCAGTCCCAAACAAGTTGAGTCGAATCGTGTGAGCACTCATCAAAAACGCAACGCCTCGTTCAGTTTCTAGACATGGTTGAATCATGAAAGCTTCAAAACATGGGCAAGGCGCACCTCTTGTTCGCGCTGTGTCAGCTCCGTCGCCATACGCTCCTCCAAAGCACTTCGCTCTGTCGTGTGCTTGGATTTGAGAGTTTTCAGCTCAGACTCTAGCTGAGTCTTGGCCTCGGCAATGTCTTGCTCCAGCTGGCGTGTCTCCTCGGCACGGCGCTGCTCAAACTCTTCACGCAGAGTGACCAATTCCTGTTCTTGCTCGGCTTGGCTGGCGGCGCGTCGTTCCTTGCGCTCTTGTTCGAGCTCTGTCTCCAGTTGCGCGAGAGCCTCCTCCTTGGCTTTGGCTATTTGTCGGAAGAGACGGCGTAGAGACTGTGAGAGTAGCCCGATTCATCAAGGCAAAGCACCAGATTCGAAACTGATTCCTGGCCCACGCAGCAGCGTACCGGCAGCAATCTCGTCTTCGATCTCCGTCCGCTCGGTGGCGTGCAGTTCTGAGAGCTGCTTACGCATCGCCTCCATAGCCTTGTCGTGCACCGACACGAGGCGGTCCCGCTCCTCACTCATACGCTGTGCGTGTTCCTTGGACAAGGTTTCCTATTATGTGTGTGAAGACGATCCATCATGAACACAATCACGGGTAGAATGGGCCATGTCACTCCAATCAAACCTTCGCGCGCATCTCCCCGTCTTGATGAAGCCACAACACAGGAAATAGGACAAAATAAAAAACAAAAACCAAAAAGCAAAACAAAACAAAACCAAGGGCAGCCGACCTTTTGAGTCTTGAGCTGGGCTTCGAGATCAGAGTTGGATGCCTCAACTTGTTCCTGAGATTCCAGGATAAGCAATGACCAACCCACAGTGAGCAAAAATGCAAAGCCATGTCTCCGGGACGGACAGTGGTCAAGAGCCATACCCGCAGGGCACTTTGCTGCTCGCGCAATAGAGCCAACTCCTTGTCATTGGCTGCCTTGAGATCTGCCAGTGCCTTTGCATGGTCTTCTCGAGTGGATTTGAGCTCGTCTTCGTGTTGTTTTCGAAGTTCATCGGCTTCCTGCTGCCATTTCGTTCTGCACGATCAGCAACAAGGTCAGGCGCCACGCGTCAACGTTGGAAAAGCAGGGCGATGGTAGCAACCATGTTGAGAAGGCCGACGCGGCCTGGTTGCGACGTACTTGTCTTGTTCAAGTTGGGCCTGGTCAGCCCGCAGCTGTTGGCGCGCATCATCCAAAAGAGCAGCTTGCTTCTCGTGCTCAGTGCGAAGTGCCTTGAGTTCATCATCCAGCTGTTGCCGCTGATTGCCCTGCAGTCGCGGGCATGTATTCAATACGACTGACGCGTCAGTGCGTGCAGCATGGCTCAGGTGGAGGCAAGACTCGATGGAAACGCACCACTTCTTTCAGGCGAGCCAGTTCTGCGTCGCTGTCTTGTTCAGCTTGACGCCGGGCTTCCTCAAGCTTGACGGCTAGCTCTTGCTTGAGCTTTGCGATAGTGGCGGCATGTGCGTCTGTTAGTTCTTGCCGCTGTTGTTGCTCCTCCGTTGCCAAGCGCCGCTTCAATTCATCCAGGCGCTGGCGCTGTTCCGCTGTTAGACAGCGAGTGAATGGCAGGCACACGGCCGTGAGGCGTGGTTGCCAAGCGCAAGGATGTGGTATGTGAGCTGATACAAAGCAAAACAAACTTTTGAGAACACGTAATTCTTGGTCAATGTTGAGGTTTTCCTCCTCGTTGGCGTCACGCGAGTCCGCCTGAGGAAGAATGCGGCAGGAGGTGAAGGCGGGTACTGGCGGAGTGGGGCATGCCTTTGGTGTCGCACGAAGGAAACTGCCAATGTTAGACTGTACCGAAAGGTCATCATTGAGGTCGGCATCCAGTGAGCCCGACACGTGGGGCACCTATTGAACGGGAGCATCCCCCCACCAACAGTTGATCAGGAGAGAAGGGCGTTGGGCCACTTGTTGAGAGTAGGCAAGTTGGGCAGGTCGGTTGATTGGAATGCAGGTGGCGCTGGTGAGAGGTGAGAGCCATTGCAGGTGTGACACACCCTCATTACGGGTTCCTCGACATCGTCGTCATCGTCATCGCGGCCGCCATGGCTGTCAAAGTCGAGGTCCTGATCGTCACGGCCAGAGCTTCGTCGACTGTCGCTCCGATTAAAGAGTTCATCATCTCCCTCGTCATCATCCGAGGACATGAGGTCAGCTAGCAAGAGGGCAAGAAGTGGGGGTGAACAGAACTGTGGCACCGCTGGCTTAGATCAAAGCTGGCAGCGAATGCATGAAGCATAGACGAACCGAAGTCTACCACCTTGCCGCCACCAAATTGTTTGCTGCTTCTGTATCCACACGATGTTTTGTTGACAAGGGTCAGGTGGGAGGGTGAGTTGTGAACAACAGTGAGAGGGAAACTGCAGTGGAGCGGGGCAGTTTTGCGAGAGTTGGGACGTACGCGCCCTGGGCGGTGGCTGCCGGTGGGGGTGCATCACGGCGGCTCGGGGACGATTTGGATCGTCCATCTGATGGCTTGCCTTTGGCCTTGGCTTTTTTTTCGCGTTCCGTCTTGGCCAGCTATTATCCGGGCCAGTGTGAGGTTACCCCGCCCTTTTTTTTTTAAAAAACTGAACGATGGGTAGCAGATGGGCCATGTGTTGCCTTGCTGCCTCTTCACTTTTTGCTCTCTCATAGTGACTGGGTCGCTTCTTCTCATTCAGCATGGCAAATATACCTCAATAAAGTGACCATCCATGGGGTGATCCCAGAGCGATTCGCCCGTTTTGAAATTGAAGTAGTAAATCTCCTTGCTGGCTGTGTCCTCACTAAGTTCGAGCGCATGGCAACATGGGTATGAGTCAGCTTGAAATTTACCGGGTAGCTGGACGATGAAGGGCAGGCACACGGGCAAGAGAGAGGCCCAGACAAGGCGCTTGGCTGACCAAGGCTTCCAGTTCTCTGGCAGAGGGGCCTTGAGAGCATCACGGGCGATCCATCGCAGGTCCTGGTCTTCGTCCCAGTCTAGGCCTAGCACCTGAAAGTAGTCTTGAATCTCTGTACACATGCATGCGATGCCGCAGTGATGAACATGCAGATACGAGACAGATGTCAGGACATGGCAGATATGTTTTGCGCACGATAGCTAAGGGCAAGGGTGAAGAAAAAAAGGGCCGATCATACACACCTTCGCTGGTGGGCTCATAGTCCTCATCGATAATCTCCTCGAGCTCAACCTGTTCGGCCATGGTGCTCTGTTCCAATGTCAAGCTGGGTCGTGTAGGCTCGGTATGGCGAGGCTGAAGCAGCACGCACGAGTCACAGCTGCTGGAATCTGCCTCCTTTCAGCGCACTGCCAACAGTTGCTTTGTCGCTGGGAGGTATCGGTGAATGAAGCGCGTGAAAGCAGCTCGACTGATCGTCCAGAGGCCTGTCAGATCGATACCACCCGACCAGACCAACCCTGTTCCTGAGCCGCCAACCGTGATGTGGTGATGCGTCAGTAGATGGTCAGCCCGCAGGGGCGAGTAACAGGGGCGCGTAGCAGAGCAGACCCGCGTCTCGTCCTTCTGAGCGCATCGGTCGGCGTGCACAGCCAAAAGGAGCGAAAATCAAGAGAATTCGGCGCCAATTTTTACGCCGTTTGCTCTTGTTGTTGTGACTGCAGAAGCCCCAAGAACTACAACATATGAATACAACTACTGTTGTAATGGGATGTTGTTGTGTTGTAACCGTTTTTTCTTTGTCTCTGGCGTGTTCTCCCTCTCGTTCTCTGCCTCTGGATCTGGCTCGAGCTTGGTCTCTTTCTCTGATTTACCGCCTTTCTCGGACTGACTCGTTCTCCGTCGCTGTCGCCATCTCTGACTTCGACTCTGACTCGTTCTTGTTCTCTGCCTCTGTCTTTGCCTGAATGTCTGTCTCTTCCTTGTGTCTCTCCCTCTCTCACACTTTAGTGTTTTTGGCGCCGGAGGGTGGTGGCGGTCTTCATCGCGGGGCTGGGCGAGGCAGGATAGAGGCCAGGAGGCCCGAGCTGGCTGGCCAGCATCATGTCTTCGAATAAGCAGGAGCCGCTGGAGGATCTGCTTCGAATTGGGCGCGACCTGCTCAAGACCAAGTCAGCCGAACATCATCAGCATGTGCAGGTATGGATGACCATCCTCGCCTCGTGACCACATGAGGATCACCGCCCATGCGCGCGTTGATCCTCTGACCAACCGACCCTGTTGAGAAACGCTAGGCCAAGCTGCAAGACAATCTCGAGTTGGTGCGCCAACGTGACCGCCTTCTTTATGGGAAGCGCCTGCGCATGCGCGCCAGCGGTGTCGACCTAAAAATCGCCAAGACCCCGCCCCCGTCATTCTCGGGCTCTGTCCGCAGTCGCGAGGTGAGGCGGAGGCGGCAAAGACCGTGCACGCTGCTCCGCTCAAACCTAGCAAGGACTGCGGCTCTGGCATCCGGCCCATGATCTCTGAGTCTGGTCTCACAACACCAACTGTTTCATGCCTCATCTGCCGATGGCTGAAACTCACGGCTGGGTGATCGGTGGCTCCGCTTGATAGAGCCATGCTCAGAGCTTGTTAACGGGGCAGGCTGATAGCGTGCCTCTACTGCTCATGACCAAGCAAACGGTCTTGCCGCGCTACTGTGCCTGGACGCCGATTCGGCGCAACCTTATGGTTCGAGCAAACGCAGCAGAGCCAGAGCCTCCCTAGCCGCTTGCTCTCGCCTTGCAGAGGACGCGTCGGTGCGCTCATCGATACAACCTCTTAACCTTGCGTAGATTGAAGACGACCGCATCCTCAGCCACATTCCTTACGTGGGTGACGAGGAGACCGATCAGTTTCTCAACGCCCTCTACGAAGCCTACGATGATAACCTAGTGGGTGGCTTTGCTGCTGGCTTGCACCACCGTCACTGAGCTTCGCAGACGCCATGGCATGACTTTTCAACGGTGCATCTGCCGCTTGCTGTTAGGTGGATGGGCGCAAGGAGGATTGTCCCGCCGTGATCAATGATGTTCTCATGACGACCCTTCAGCATTGGAGCGCCGTTCATCGCAATGGAGCTGCGGTAGGACCAGCGCTCCTGGGCTGATACTGATCGAGCTGCCTTCTACTGAGTCACCTCGGCTCAAATGTCTAATCTGCCCGTAGATGCCTCCTTCAGCCAAGGCAGCGCGGGTCTTGGGCCACCTTGTTGGGCGCTCGGGCGAGGAAATCAAGGAGCGCGTGCTCCAGATCATGGACAACTGCGCGCTTTCGTGAGTCGTCCAGCGGTGATTCCTTTGTTGTTCTAGCTTGTCGTTCCATCCAAAGCTCAACACGTCCTCACCGAGATTTGACCCATGATTTCTTAGACCCACGGGCCAGCGCGCCGAGTTTGGCATGGCACCGGATGCAGATACGCCCAACCTGAGTGTCACGGCAGCGGAGCTGGTGGATTCTTACCGCAATCTCTTTTGCCGGCGTTGTTACACCTATGATTGCCGCCAACACACGGACACAGAGCTCGAGTTTGAGCCGGGCTTGAGCCCGGACGCTCCCACTACGCCTTGCCGGCGCGAACCTTGTGGTGATCATTGCTACAAGCATTTCTTCCGGTCGCTGACTGAGCACAATGATCCAGCTCAGCTTGCTCTGGCAGAAAGAACCGCTTTTTGTCACAAATTAGCGCAAAGCCATGTGCTGGAGAAAGCCTCGGCTTGGCGGCCACCCCCGGTCTGCTCGTACGTTGTCGCATCGACTTGGACCCGTCTCATGCTTGCAATTTATTTACTGCAATTCTTGGGGTGCTGCACTCACTACTCGCGTACGTTTGCGGTTGGGAATGGTTTCCATACAGTTTTGGTTCAGAAATGAAGGCGGTCCATGTCCCCTCCAAAGCAACGTCTAGTTTCATGGAGAGTCTCAAGCAATGTCGAGCTTGCCAGCGACAGCAAATTGCTGATGGGTTCGAATGTGGCTGTTGCCAGGTTAGCTGGGATCGCCGATCGGCTTTTTTTGAATGTGACAATCATGGTGCTGTGGCCCTCCGAGTTTTCCGATGGGCACCTTGATCAGGTGCCCATGAACCTTTTTGATGGGCCGTGGGACGCTGATCATGGCATGCTACCGTCATCTTCAACTCCACAGGCATATTTGTGTCATGATTGTGGCCAGCGTTGCCCGCTAACGCTCTTGCAGGCGCGTATCCGCGGCAAACTGCTGCAGGAGGCGGCGCCGGACCTTCATGGCTTGGCCGAGGACGCTCTGGCACATGCATGCCTAGAAAGAAAAGAGTGTAGAGAGCCGGGCTCACCACCAGCGAAGCGGACCAAGTCCAATACCTCGGTAAGGGGTTTTTTTTCCGAACAGCAATGAAAAGGAACGCGGGACGGGGGCCTTGAAAGGTCTGCCCGTCCTCAAGCGTTATCTTGATGGCTGACTCGAACCAGCGTCGACCGTTATCTCATCGGTAGCTCAATATTGACAACTGCCAGGCATCTACACTCGACAAGTTGCGAGCTCTGCTTCAGCGCGAGAGCAAAGTCTTACAGAACCCGGCGAGCTTGGGGAAGGAGCTGGCCCCAATCCTTGAGCAGGTCTGTAGATGGAGTAGCTGGCTGGTGAGGCAGAGGTTTCTGATGGGACATTCGCTGACGACGCTTTTCGCCTTTTCTTTTAGATTTTGACCTTGCTTCAGCCCAAGAGCCAAGCATGGACGCAGGTAGGAACTTTGGGATAGCCGTCTTATTTTGCGCATTGGTGTTACTCCCAAAAATCGGTGCTGATGGCACATGGGGCGTGGTGGATGGATTTTGCGTAGAGAGACATGAGTTTGTTCGAGGTTGGGCAGTCGATATACGGTTATGACTATTGCGAGCTGAGTCGCTATATTGGAGGCGGAAAGACTTGCGCACAGGTCTTTTTACTAGCCGCCCACAAAGATGCCAGTACGGCGCTGCCTGCCAATTATGGTACCGAAGCAGGTACAATGACAAAGGACCCCGCATCCTCGACACTCCGGCTTTACCTTTCTATGCATGTATGGCTCGTCTTCACATATCGATCACAATGTGCTTGGCAGGGCCCGTGGCCGTGCGGCGGAAGCAAGCCAAAAACTCAAAGCTGAGGCAAGCTCGTTTGCTTCGGGCAGTGAGGGACCGACTTGCACTTTTTTTTGGTGAGAGTGCTGTTGACGCCCCCCGCAGTATAACTCATGAGCATGTTTGCAATGGTTTTGGTTGCGTGCTGCCTGTAGCAATCGAACCTCCAAGGCTCTGCGCAAGTTGGGGTCGCAGGCCAAGGGCAAGTCTTGCTTTGTACAACCAACGCAGTCTCCCAGGCCGTTACGTCGGAGGTCGAGTGAGGATTCAGTGTGCATCAGCACCACGTAACCTTTTTTTTTGGGTTGTTGTTGTTGTTGTTGTGCACGTAGGTACTGGGACACCCCAGCACTATACACCATGCTACCACCCAGGGCGACCCTGCGACCAGGACTGTCCATGTGTGCAGAGCCAGAACTTTTGTGAAAAGTACTGTCAATGTGATGCCTCTTGTACGTTCCGCCCGATGGGCTGACCTCTGCTCAAAGCCCTTGCTCTAGATTTTGCCCGTGCTGTTGACGGGCTGCATGTGCTTGCCGACAGGTCCTCGACGATGGCCCGGCTGTTCCTGCCGCGGCGACTGCATGACGAATCGCTGCGCATGCAAATGCGCCGATCGGGAGTGTGATCCTGACCTCTGCACAGTGCGTCTGCTCGGTCCGACGGTGCAGTCGAGAAGCTTGGACTTGATTCATCCGACTCACCTCGGGGCCGTGATTTAGAGTTGTGGGGCAGGATGCGAAACCCACTCGAGCTGCTTGAACGTGGCCATTCAGCGTGGGCAGCACGAGGTGGGTCATGCCTACCGCATGCTGTGTCGCGCGCACAATGTCGTTGCACCGCGCTCGTGATGCGATGCGTCTTGGCTCATAATGATCCTACTTCATTTTCTTTGCGCGAAATATGATGTGTTTTTTGGGTTAGCACTTGTTGTTGGGCCCATCCGATGTTGCAGGATGGGGCGTGTTTGCAAAAAACTCTATCGCCAAGGGCGGTTTCATCAGCGAGTACCGAGGCGAGGTGCGTTGGGCTGCATGCTGCATGCTGTGTGTGTGTGTGTGTGTGTGTGTGTGTGTGTGTGTGTGTGTGTGTGTGTGTGTGTGTGTGTGTGTGTGTGTGTGTGTGTGTGTGTGTGTGTGTGTGTGTGTGTGTGTGTGTGTGTGTGTGTGTGTGTGTGTGTGTGTGTGTGTGTGTGTGTGTGTGTGTGTGTGTGTGTGTGTGTGTGTGTGTGTGTGTGCCTTTTGGGGCTGCCCAAGCGCACAGCTTTGTTGAGTGCAGTATATACTTTCATCCTTTTCATTCTACATTGTCTCTCTGTGTAGATCATTTCGCAAGAGGAAGCCGACCGTCGCGGCAAGGTCTACGATCAACTAAAGTGCTCATTTCTCTTCAACTTGAACCAAGGTAGGTGGCTTGTTCATTTGTGTGATTTCGGCCAAGACCCTTGTACCCTTGTACCCTGAAGAAGGCCTCACGTTTTGTTGTCGGTCGGGCCGAATGATGATGGACACCCATGCGGTCAGAGTACGTGGTGGATGCCACGCGCAAGGGCAACAAGATTCGCTTCGCCAACCACGCCAATGACCCGAATTGCTGTGCGCGTGGTACGTGCAGCCATGCAGCAGCCTCGTTGGCTGCTTTGAATGTTTCATCCAGTTGACATGTGTTCGCGCGTTTTTAGTGATGATGGTTGCGGGCGAGCACCGCATTGGTATCTTTGCCGAGCGTGACATTCCAGCCGGCCGTGAGCTCTTTTTCAATTATCGGTACGTGGCTCAAGCAAGGATCGCACCACACGTGGGGGGTTTTCAATTTCACTTGTTGTTACGCTGTTTTGTTTGTCTAGATACGGTCCCACCGATGCGCTCAAGTACGTGAGTGTGGAGCGCGACCAAGAGGAGGAGCCGGTCGAGTAGGGAGGCGTGTGCGTAGTGGTGACTGCAATGTCACCTTTGAGGCCAAACTTGGAAATCGAATACTCTATAAATAACGGCATCGTCCCAAAATAGCGATGTCACGGTCTTTTCTGAGTTTGCGCTCTCTCTCATCCCACACACGCACGATGGATCGTCCTCACACCCACTGGCGCAGTCAAGCCATCCATGCGATCGATGCGATCGAGGCTGCCTGGGTGCAGCTTTCATTTTTCTCCTTCTCGTACAGCTAAAAGCTGGCTTGACATTGATTGGGTCCAACCCCTCTCCGATTTTACCGGCGTCACCATGGCGGTCGGCACGGCCGGAAAGCCGCAGGCGCGGCTGACGGCCACCATCTTGCGCCATCCCTTGCTCAAGCGCCGAGTGCAGGTGCGCGGGCAACTGCATCTCGCTGCTGGCCCGGTCGATCCAAAATTGCCGGAAGGGACCGTGCACTACATCCTGGTGCTGGATACTTCCGGTTCCATGGCAGGTCGCCCGATCAGGGAGATCAACACCGTGCTGCACGAGTTGCCGAAGCGCCTGGAGGGCAACGCCCGCGTGCACGTCGTGTCCTACAACAGCACGGCCAGTCTGTACCCGGATGCCCGGCTGGAGGATATGGAGCTCCGTGGCATGGGTCTCACCTCTTTCATGTCAGCCTTTCATGGTATGATCCGCCTTTTGGAGCAGCTCAAGCCCCAAGCCCAAGACAGCGTGCGCATCTGCTTCATGACGGACGGTGAGAACACGCGCGACTCGTACGATCTAGCCATGATCGAGCTGCGAGAAGCGCTGAACGCGCTCAATGTGCGTGCATGCGTTGTGGACGTGGTCGCCTTTGGTGTTACCCGGGTTCATCAGCTGCTCGAGACGCTCCGCGTCATGGGGCAGCAAGAGGGCGCCTACCTGTATGCCAAGGGCAGCGATGGACCGACGATCCTGCAAGAGATGATGACGCTCATCCTGGACTCGGCGGGCTTTGCTTCACGCTTTGAGAAGCGCATCTCCATTGATTGCCAGCCGCTGGGCCTGTCTGGCCTCACCGTCTCAGCGATTCAGCAAGAGCAAGCAGAAGCAAGCGGATCCAACCAGGAGCCGCGTGCACAAGCAAAGCACGATGGCAGGGAGACCGCGGACGACAACGACGGCAACGACAGCCTTTACGGCTTCTCATGCTGGGCCTATGAGCCGAAGCGTGAGGGATCTGATGCGGGCTGGGAGGCCATGTCTCATCCCGTGGATGTGATCCTGCCGGACGGGCTCGATGACGGGGCGGGCCAGCCGCTGCGGCTGTCTGCAGAGGCCACCATTCACACACTGACCGAAGCAGAGCGCCTCTACTACGATATCCTCCTGGACCAGGTGGACGCAGAGATTGACCGCCTGTGTTCCATCAAGGGTCAAGCCTTGGAACTAGACCAGCGGCGCGACGTCGAGGCCCTTCAACACAAGCTCAACGTTTGCGGCCGCGTGTATTCACGCCACGACTTGGGTCGCGTTCACCGCGCGGAGCTCCTGACGCGCCGCATGGAGGTGCAGAGTCGCTTGGATGAGCTGCATCAACTGATCATGTCTGCGGCGCGTGCTGCCAACTCGGACGAGGTCTTGTCGCAAATGTCCAACCTGCGCTTTGCGGGCAAGCTCAAGGCTCGGCGTCAACGCGTCCTGGCTCGTCGTGTGGCTGACAATAGTAGCGAACAAGACTTGACGGCTCAATTGCAGCAGCTGTATGTGCGTCTGCCCGCCAAATTGGATTTGGACCCGGCCATGGACAAGTACTTTAGCTGCCTCATGAGCCAGGCCACCCTGAGTGAGATTTTAAACGACACCGCGGATAATGTCCTGGGGTTTGGCTTGTCCATTCGCCGTCCGGAGGCCATGATCGATGCGCCGTCGCTGGTTCACGTGGATGAGGTTTGTAGCCCCCCTATCGCCGTTCTGGACCACCGCTCTGAGCACAGCTTACGCCTCACGCCCCTTGCGGCTTGCGTGCAACCCGAAAAAAAACACCTTTTTGTAGATCAGCCTCACGTTTTTGTCTCGCGAGTCCATGCTTGATGCGCTCAAGTACAAACTCTCCATCGCTGACCAGGTTTGTCCGACCTACCTTTCGGCTGCACTTTGGTTCTATGCTTTGGTTCCTGCGCAGACGGTCCGCCAAACCTCAGCTTGCCTTTTGCCTTTTGCTCATCGGCCTTGCCTCTTGCTTAGCTGGCGGCACACGGCGGCTTTGAGATGCGTTTGAGCACGCCGGCCGCCATGACGGTTGGCGCAGCTCGCGAGCCCATCAATGCGTGGCTGCCCCTCTACATCCATCCGCTGCACTGGGAGCGGGCCAAGCTCCTCCTCAAGCCGTCACTGGGCTACTTTTGCTGCTTGGACCCCTTGGCTTTTCACGAGTATCAGCTGGACGTGCCCTTGGTTGTACTGGCCACCATGCTGGTGCGTCTTTGCACGCAACCGGTGCAGCGCGGCGCCGAGCTCTTTGTTTCTTTTCGGCGCACCTGCCGCGCCTTGGCTGAGGACTTTGGCACGCTGGCCACTCTGCGCGAGAAGCTCAGTCTTTTTTGTACACAACCTGAGCACGTACGTTTTAGCACCCCAAAGCCGACCCCTTGTTTGCTCCATGCGCCCGAAACTGACACGCTCGCACGCTCACGGCTTCTGAATGTTTCACCCACCATCGGACATGTACATGCACAGCGTTTGAAGCACCACGTTACCAACCCGATGACGCTGTTGGGTGCTTACTTGATCTTGGACGCGGACGAGCGCGAGCATCTCGAGGCAAATCATTTCTCGCAAAAGATGGGTCTCGAGCTCCTACGCCGAGGCCTCCACGCCGCCTACGAGGTACACCACGTCCACTCCAGAGCCATTTCTGCTGCTTTGCCCTGCCTGTGTGCTGTTCCAGCTATGTTCCTTCTCTGGTCAACCGGTCCCTTGTACCAACTCATGCTCCATGTGGTCTGGTGCGGCTTGCTAGGCGGCGGGTCCGGGTACCCTGACAGACATGGCTGCACGCTTGGTGCTGGGCCATAAGGATCAACATTTCTTGTCGACAGAGGATGATGCCGTCGCGCAGCTGGTGACCCTGATGAGCCAGACCTCAGCTCATGACGACGACGACGATCAGGCGGACGGTGATAACCATGGCGACGGCCAAATGGCAGGGGACCAGGCCTTCAGCGAGGCTGGGCGCCAGGCTGGAGATGACACGTCAAGCAGTTCTGATGCGTGTGCAGCCACTTATCGATTGGACCAGACGGGTTTCAACGCTGAGGTGGAGGCGCATCCCCTTGTTCCCATGACCCTAGACAACGCCACACGCCGCGCGCTGACGGTGGTTGCACAGAGCTGCTACAACGCGGTGCCGGGGCCCAACATCCAGCAAAAGACCGATGCGGCGCGTGCTCGCGTCGAGGCCTGGTGGGCAGAGAACCAAGCGCTGGCCCGGGCGAGCCTCGGCAGCGAGGAGATGCAGGAGCTGCTCGCGCAGCGTGATTGCTTTTCAGACGTCAAGCTGGAGGCCCTCGCGCGCATTCTACGTCGCGGTCGCGCCCATCAATACCCCCAACCGGCCGACATTCTTGCCTTCAAGAATGTGGCCGCGCTTCTGGGTGATGACGACGACGATGACGCTGGTGATGGCAACCAAGCCTCGGGCGTGAGCCAGCTGGAGGTGCAGGCGGTGCGTGTTCGCGCAGCGCTGGAGAACTTGGCCCGTGAATCAACCTTGCGCGACGAGTTGCAGCTCTGGTCGGGCACCGTGCCGGTCACGGCCCACCAGTTGCGAGGCTTGGCCCTTGGAATCCTTCAAGTACATACCAACAAGTCGGCCCGAGCAGCTGTGGCTCGCGAGGGCTACAGGGATGTGGACGCTGTCGACTACGCCCAGCGGGTGATTGACGATCAGCTTTCACGGCTCAACGAGCGCGAGGAAGCCAACCTCGAGCAGCGGTGTCGACAGGCCTGTGTGCCGGCCGTTTTGGGGCACATGCTGCGAGCGGAGGATATGGATATATTTTTAGGCTTGCTGGTAACCCTATGCTCGGGTCGTGATCAGGCCTACCGTGAGCTCTGGGCATTGCTCCTCAGCGATCGCACCCAGCCCCGTGCGCTGACCGCCAAAGTACGCCTGGTTCTCACCGGCATGTATCGTGATGCGGCCGTCTTTGATCGAGGCAACCCGAACTTTCCCTCGGGCACTGCTGATGAACAGCTACGCAAGCGCCTAGGAGAGTATGACTACCTGGACGTTCGCAAGGCATGCTTGGCGCGGGTGCGCTATCATCAGTATCGTGAAAGCGGCATTGCCAATCGTCACGGCTCGAGCAACGAGCATCCCCACCTCTACTGGAAGTGTGCTCTGTGCCGGGCCAACAACCATCCGTTTGCACGCTTGGGTCTGGAGTAGGCCCCTCCTCTGTTTGCCCTTTTCTCGGGCGTGGGGTGCATGTTAATCATTGACCTTTTCCTTCGTGTCTAGCAACCTGATCTCGCTGTTGTCTCTGTACATGTCGTCGTGTAGTCGGATGTATGCGCATCTCTTGTCACCAGGTTGTTTGGGTTCGAGTGCTGGGCAGAGCCCAAATCGGTCGCTCAGTGAAATTCGGGGTTGGAAGGGGGTTTTTTTTTCTAGTCAATCTGTGAGTGTCTTGTCGCCGAGAACCTCAAGTTACATGCTTGCGTTTTCCCTCCTCCTCTCATCAATCGACCAACGAATGGCCATGGCGCAAAGACGAAAGACACACGCTTGGGTGGATGCACGAATATGTTGACACTGGTTCGATTTGATTTCTTTTCGACGCAGCTTTTCAATACCTCTAGTGCATGAATCTATCTTGACGCCATCTTTGCGCCAGAGAAAAAAGCAGAAAAATAAAAAAAAAAGACGTGCATGCCAAAGGCCGAGGGTGTAGGGGAATGGGGGAGAGCGCCACCGTGCATCATTTGTCAAAGCCTTGGTGCACCATGAGGCCGACTCCCCATTCGCCCCCGAAAGGCTGGGAAGTGCCTGCACGTTCAAACGGGTTGCTACTTAAACGGTCTTGAGCAGCTCTGCGCGTTCCTTTTCAATCAGGTCTTGCCAGTACCAGCTGTAGAGGCGTTCTCGATGAAATCCTCGGGCAAGGAGATCAGCGTGGGCGGCCAGCGCCTCCTCATATTTGAGATCTTCCCACTTGTCCACCATGTAGGCCGGCAAATCCTCAAACAAGGCATCCATGACGCCGGTGCGCTGGCCAATGATGGGCACCTCCAGGTACATGGCCTCCCAGTTGCGGTGAGCATCAGCTCCAAATCCACGGGGTGAAGCGACGTACAAGGACTCGCGCTGCTGCTGCCAAAACTCGGCGCGAGGCGTGTTCTCGCTGCAGTGGCGCACCTGAACGCCCTCGACCATGGCATCCAGAACGTTGCGCGCGTTGATGCGACTGTTGTGGGTTTTGCGAAAGCAGACGTAGATCAGTTTGTTATGCGTTACGGGCCGCGACACGGCCTTGCTGAGAGCCTCCCACTGTTCGATCCAGTGCATGGAGTCATGACCCTCATACGATCTCTTGGTCATGGCGCTGTGAAAGTTGAAGCCAAGGGGGATGGGCTTGAGCTTGGGGTGAGGGGCTTGGTCAATGTGCGAGGCCCAAACGCTGAGAACCTTGGGGTCAGGCAGCACCTTGCCGAGTTTGGGCTCGGGTGCCTCACCCGTGCACACCAGAATAGCGCCCTTGAAGCCAGGCTCATCGTGAATGCCGGCCAGGACCTGGCTGAAGACGTGCACCGTCTGGGGCTTGTAACCAAACGTGAGGATGGATCGGCCCTCCCGAATCAGCCGCTTCGCCGTGGCAATCTGTTGGCTGATGGAGGGGCGGTTGTAGTTCATGTCAATCTCAGATACATCGCAGAAAGCCCGCATGCATGAGGTCCAGACGGGCGCATTGCGACAGCCGTCCAACAGCGTCGACTGGTTGGCCTTTTTCTGCACCAAGATCGTAGGCGCGGTGCGCACGGGAACGGCCAAGTGCAGGAGAAGCACTGTCAGCACCGCGAGCAGCGCTGGGGCCAAGGCACCGTGAGCACCCATGTTTCGGGCTGTGACCGCACAGGACAAGGGCGCCTGCGTTATGCTTCTGGCGCTTCTGGCGCTTCTAACTCACCGCACGCTATTGGCAGCAAAATGAACCCCCAACGCGTGCACGCGGTCTCAAACCAGACAGGGCTAAAAAACAAACCCAAAAAACCAAAACCCCCCAACCCATACACCTCCACCGCGAGTACACAAGATCCAATCAGGAAATCACCGCCAAAGACCACCACCGCCCAATCGGTCCCAGGAGCTCGGACTCTGCTGCTTTCAAATTCACTTTGGAGAGCAATATTTTAGAATACACATTTCAACTTAACAACGACAACACACACACACACAACACACACACACACTTGGAACATGGCGGCGGAACGGCAGGCAGCCTCGTTAACAGGGGCCGCCATCAACTTTGATCGGCTGGAGCAGTCTCTGCAACGATCGGTGGAGAAGGAAGAACGCTATTGGCGTGAGAATGACGCGAAATTTCGCGCCATGGCACAAAAGGTGGCCACGTACGAGGAATTTGAGGATATTGTCAAGGCCTCACACATCAAACCCCTGACCGAAGACATCACTCAGCTGGACCTGAAGCGATCCAGTTGGACCACCTCGGGCCGGTGCGATACAATGAACACGTCGTCCCAGCATGCACACTCTTGCTCATTCAACTCACCACCGGTGGGGCATCGTCGTTGCATTGACTCGCTTGCATGCACAGGCAGCAAGAGCGGCATCGGCGGAAACTCGTTGGCGCCGACCCCGCGAGCTCACCCGACCTGGACAACACCACTGTTCCTGCCACCCCACAAGACTTTGTGCGGCGATGGCGATCCCGGAATGGACCCCAGCGCTACAGGTGCCTCATGTCCTCTTGGCTCATTCTTGGCTCCTCCCTGTGGCACACACGCCTCACGCGTTTGTCCAATTACTCACCTCGTTGCACACGGCGGGTTTGTATCGGACTGGCTGGCTAGCCTGCTGCTGCTCACAGGTGGCCAACAACTTTTGAAACTCTTCAAAGCAGACCTTGAGTATGTTCTCTGTCCCAACCGCCATCTTTGAGACTTGGTTGATTCCGTGCCATTGCTGACCCTTTGACTCATACCGGTCTCCTTAGCCTCGCCATCCTAGCCCAGGTTCTGACCGCACTGCATGAGGTAAGCCAAACCTTCCAACTTCAATCGCCTGGCAAGACTCATGCCAATGATTTGGCTGCAGAATTACCAGAGCACAGATCGCGAGGCTGTCTCGCTCCTCCTCCGCGCCTGCGGCAAGGCTCCTCGCTTTGCCCTCGCAACCGAGTTCTTCACTCCCGATGACTGTGATGTGGTGAGTGCTTGCTATGCGTCGCCTCGCCGCCAGTGTACAGCAGTTGGCACACGCTTTTGACTGGGCGCCCTTTATTTGAGGTGCCACTTTTTTTTTAATTTTTAATTTTTGTAATATCAACTAATCTGGCGCTTGCACTCCACGACAGGCCAAGCAGTTATGGCAGTGCGTGGCCCAAGATGCCGATGCTGCAGAAGTGGACAAGTTACGGCGTGGTTGGTCGCACATTATTGACGCAGATGTTATTATGGCGGCAAAGGCCGAGGACTCAAAACAAGCTTCTTCAAACGCTGACACAACAGAGGAAGTTGATCCAAACACTTGAATTGCACGAGAAGATTTCTACCGACCCCGTCAATAGACCAGGGCGCGTGCTTCGCTCGCATGCCGCTGGAACAATGCTCGGCATTCGTCCATTTACCGGCCCACTTTGCCAAGCCGTGAATCTGTTTTGGGATCAGCCGTAATGTTCTGTACTGCTACAATCAGCTCATTGACTTGGGTCTGCATGGCAAATGAGTTGCACGTTGCCAGCATCAGGTTGGCAAGAAACAGGGAAAGGAGAAGGAAGCAAAATGGCTTTGCCGATCGTGCATCGCCCCGTAAGCCAGGGCTTACCTGCAGGCCACGGAGTTCTGCCAGATGCAACAACCGCAGCACACTGGCCGCCTTGTCTACCGCAGGATCTACTCTCGGTAACCACGGAATCGAGACAAGCGCACGCAAAGGCACAGCCAAGACAGAAAAAAAAAAAAAAAAAAAAAAAAAAAAAAGTGAGGGCCACCGAAGATGCTTGTACATTTGCAAACAAAAGGCAGCAATTCGCATGATCAAGCAAGGCCATGCCGAACCATGTGTAGAGAAGCCAAGAGGAATACTCTCGAGGCTACGGGCCTCCGTCTGTAGGCCTTGAGCGCGCAGGGTGCGGGCTTCCGTGACGACGGACGGCTGGAAGCGATCACGAATTGTCTTGGCAACCGCCTGATGGAAATGCAGCATGTGAGTAGCCACCAGACACACATGTGTACGTACAAGGCAAAAAGGGGCAAGGCGCACCCGCCAGAGTAGATTCACGTCATCCATGGCGGGCAGGTGTAGGAGATCGGCCAGCTGGCGCAGGCGTGTGTGTGTTTCCGGAGTACCCACTGTCCCAAAGCCATACAAGCCATAGTGAGGAAGAAGAAGCGATGACAATCAGAGCCAGGGTCATCAAGTGGCAAGGCTTGTGGGCACTGATGTAGCACCAGGATCTGGTGACGCGAGCAGCTACTTACAGTCGATGGCCGCCACAACGTCGGCGGCTTGGGCAGCCTTGCCGCCAACGCCATTATATGTATCCTCTGCTCAGGACAAGGAGCGCGGATGTGAGCATAGACTGTTGAAAGCACAGTGATGAAAAGAGCTGTAGCAATCGGATTCTCACTCTTGTCGTGATATTCGAGGGAGATGGCGTAGCCCAACAGCCAGTCAACCAGGCGAAAGCGATCCTCCGGCGAACTTTGCCTGATAGCCGTCAACAAGAGCCTGCCGTGAGCTCGCGCCAGGGAGATTACACCTAAAGGCTTTTGAAGTCTGGATGATGGGCCTTTAAGTTTGCTCGGGTCGCCCAGGCGGATAACACACCACTGCAAGGCCGTGTGAGGACACTCAATATGCTCCAAGTACTGCGCAATAGTACGAAACAGGGAATGGGTAAGCTTGAGCAGCGCGAGGCAGCAGGTAGAGCAGAACAGAGAGGCGACATGCCGTCTGAAAGTGCTGAATCCAATCTGCATGGTTGACGTCGCGCAGCTTCGCGCGCTCTTCGATCTTGTAGCTGCGAATCTTGGTGTCTTCCAGCGTCACGACCAAGTTACGAAAGGCGCCATCCTCTGCCAACACAATAGCAAAAGCGACAGAGTCAAGCTCTCCGATGGTACACACGCGACAAGAAGATGTTCTCGCTCATCCCGTGCCGATGCCAAACACAACCACAACACCAATGGGCCAACCTTGAGGGTCAAAGGCATCCGGGTTGGGCAACTCCAACGCCAAGAACTTGCGCCGCAAAACATTGCCGTTCGCTGAGGCCATGACAGCGTTGCAACGCTTCTCTTCCAACTACACTTGCACAGAGACCGACCACCAAATGCACAGCCACAACTTGGTCAGAGCCCGACCTTTGCCACCTAGTCTACACCGTCCATTCACGGCCGCATACGCCCTCACCACAAAGCTCGATCACCTCACCGCTGCCACTTGTTGCGTCCAAAAGCGCGCGCGCGCGTGTGTGTGTGGGACAGTTCGTCTGACAAATTGAAAACTTATCTTCGCTATACATCACGTTATTGCAGATATCAGAGCGAAAGACATGTTATGCTGTACATATATCGTTGAAGCTTTCGAAGGAAATTTAAAGCTTTTTGTCGCTTTGGCTGACCACGTTTGTAGCTAATTTTTTTTTTTTTTTTTTTTTGGTGACGATCGACGACCTCGTGGCCACAGTCGAGACTACACGACCGGCGACCGCGGAGGGCGACACGGATAAGGACGCAGGCATAGAGAAACGGACGGATATGGACTCGCAGTGGTGCTGGTTGCTCGAGGTGGGCTTGGCCGTGGCGGTCATGGGCCACCTGGTGCTGCTGTACCTGCAGCGACTGCGTCAGCGTCAGCAGCTGGCGCAGATGACCTTGGATGAGCAGAAGCTCGCCTATCTGCTGCACACGACCGAGGCGGAGGCTGATCTACAGGATTTGGATCTAACCCACCTCCAACTGGCACAAATTCAGCCCCATCCGCGCCTGACTGCGGTTCGCACCTTGCGCGTGCAGTTGACTCCTAACCTGGCCATCCATCCCGACGCCCTCGAGCAGCTCGCCAATGTGGGCATGGTCGTGGCCGAAGGAGCGCATCTCACTGCCGCACTCTTTGCACAACTGGAAACGCTGCCTAAATTGCACACGCTGGATTTGTCACGCGCCCGTGCCGTTGTCGAACACGACAATAGCGTCGCTGTACGTCACGGCTCAACCACCCGCTCGTTCAAGACAAGACCTCTCCCCAAAGTCTCTCTTTTTTTTTTTATGGCTGACTGCCCCCCTTTTTCTGGCTGCTTGATGCGCATAGGGTTACTACACCGCCCGCGACCTGTACGAGCTCATGCTCAAGCGCGACAATCTGACTCTGCTCCTGCCCAGCCATGCCCGCGTGCCGATTGGAGAGGTGCGTCCCACCCGGCTCGGGGACATGAGCTTTGCCTTTTGATCGGCTTCCTCATGGCCCAATTCGGGTTCTAACGTCTGTGTGCCCGACGCCCGTGCGTGCTAATCCTTTGCATGGTGACTTGCTGCTGATCTAGGTGGTCAAGGTGTTCCCCAAGGCCGGTGTAGCCGTGCTGGGTCTCTACGATGCGCTCAAGATTGGCGACGTGATTCTGCAACAGCGCGCCAACCAGACTTTCGAGGGCGCGTGAGTTTTGGCATGGGCGCGCTGCCGCACCCATCATCTGCTTTGCGACGCCTCGCGCACGTGCCCCCCTCCCCCACTACACACACACACACACACACACACACACACACACACACACACACACACACACATCCCTCCTCTTTCCACTTTCCATGCTTATTATTCGGGATGGAACCGGTGTTTGCGTGCGCTTCTTCCTTTCAGCTCGAGTCATCGGTGGGCTAGCGCTGCCACCACCGTTGACAGCATTCGCACCGACGATCATGAACAGCTGCAAGTGGCAACTCCTCTTCCCGATGTGCCCATCACCGACGTTCGCAACCAGGTGCGCAGTTGCCGCCCTCGCTCGCGAACACAACGGCCCCCCGTACTGGCTGTCGATTCTTGGCATCTTCACCTCCCCTTTTTGTCTAGGTGGCCGTCAAGATGAGCGAGCTGGGTACCAAGGGCGACCAACTCATGTGGACTGGACATGTGCAAATGCGCTCCCTCAAGCTTCGCCCAAAGCCAGCCAGCAATTAGGATCTCCTTGGCCCATTGATTCAGCTTGCGCTTGCATTTCAGTCGACGTTTGCAATTCACTCACACTTGATCCAGGATCTGGTTTGATCTGATACCCGCCCCTTTCACATCCGACCAGTCACATTGAATCACAGCACAACATTGGCATAGCCACTTCGATTCACTTGCCTTGAGTTTTTTTTCTGAATGTTTTTTTTTTCTTTCGTTTTATGTTCTCGCTCTCTCTCCCTCTCGTCAGTTTCAAGTTCTTTGCTTCTCTTCCGTTCTCTGAATAATCCAATGTTTTTTATTGGGTGGGGTCTCGACGAGAGGCAAGGGCAGCCGGGGCAAGTGTCACTGTACTCGAGTCTCAGACTGTCAAGCCAGGTGATTTGAGGCTTGGGGTTTGAATGGCATGAGGCTGTACTGTACGGAAGCAACTTGGGCACCCTCGCACGGTACTAGGTCAACGTGCTGAACCGGGTGGCTTCAACCAGACAGTGAGAGCCTGGAGCCACTCAACAAACCGTCATGCCTGGGCTGCGCTGGACAAGTACGGCCATGATGGTGCTCACCGGGCTAGCGACCGTCTTTCTTCTACTCGCTCTCCGGCATACTGGTCATAGCAGCCCCCTTCAATGGCGTCCCAGGTGCGCATGGCTCGAGTTGATCCGAAGAGCCAGCCTAATTTTGCCCCTGCGTGGACACGGCGCTAGCAGTGCTCATGGCAACATTGTGCATACTGCATCGTCTTGTCCGCCGCAGCGCTGCCGGTGCCGCGCAGGCGAGCGATATCAACCAGGACCTACAAAGGTAGGGTCACTCACGTGCGATGAGAGGCTTGACAGAAGCAGCCCGACCATCTCACCTGCTTGGGCGTTCATGGAATCGTCTCAGCCTGGCTCAGGCCGAGGGCCATGATGAGCTACGTCACTACCGACTTGCCGTGCTTCGGCAATTTTTGCGAAGCCAATCCCTGGTGCGTCCACTTCAACGTTGCTCTTCTGCTCTGCGAGTCCTGCCTCGCATGCATGCATGGTCAAGACCAGGATGCCACTGAGCTCATTGGTTTGGCTGCCATCATGTTAGCGTCCTGGCTCCTTGGTATTGACGTTTGATGTGCACTTGGGTGGCTTGGCCTTGACCCTTGCCTCCATGTTACCCCGGCACGTTGTATTTGGTGTCGGGCAGGCCCATCGCCCTCTCGCCTCTGGGCAGGTCAGCCTTCCTTTCTTGCTTGCCTGCTTGCAACGGTGAAAAAAGTTTTTATGTACATCGGATGTATGTATGTGCGTGTGTATGTATTCTGTGCAGGTTGTCAACGCGCTGCGCGTGCATCAACGATTGCAGCGCGAAAACGATTTGAGCAACAACCCCATTTGCGCCACCAAGGTTTCAGCTGCGCAATTGGCGGCGTTGCGCATGGCACAGGTCGTCGTCGACCTCCAATTTCTGGTGGACCAAGCCTTGGCCGCCTTTGGGATATCTTCCTTTGCCGATCTACAACTCGTGCTCGAGTCTGCGGTAGCCCTGGCCACAACAACCATCCTTGAGTGGCCTGGCAAGGACACAGCCCTGGGGCGAGCGATCGACCCGTCTGGTTCAAAGTCAGCCAAACAGGTCTGTCTGAATGCTCCTTTGTCGATGCAGAATGAATGGATGGGTACTCAAACACCACAATCGCTGCTTGGCATTGTTGTACAGCTATTGGGCCTGGCGCTGCAGCACCTGCCTGAGGCTCGTGTTGACTCTCTGGCCAGCGTGCAGGGCATGCAGCTTTTTGTTATTCATAATGCTGCCGTGACCAAGGAAGGCCAAGCCCGCAGTTACGCCCTCTGCGATCGCCTCTTCAACCTCTTGCAGTGCAGCAACGACGTGGAGGCTGGCTGCTATGATCACATCCCTTCCCCAGCCGCACTCCGTCGCTCCGACGCTGCCGCCCCAGCCCCAGCCCCAGCCCCGGCTCCGGCCCCCGCCCCAGGGCCGAACAAGCGCGCGGGCATCCCACACTCGGCAGGGTCGGAACAGGCAGGCAAGAACGGCCAACAACGAGGTCTTCAACCGATTCCCAAAGACGTTTGCGGTACACAACGGGACCGGGTCGTAGAACTCATTCCAGATTGCGTAGATCGTGCTCGTTCGCGAGTGCTTTGGCGCTATGAAAATGATGGTTACTATAAATGTCGCAATGGAACTCATTGGTTGACCCCTTGCCTGCGGCTTTCCGGTGCTGATCATGAGCGTGATAAGTAGATCTTTGAGCCTTGGTGGTGACATGTTTGACCTTGCTTCGAGCCATATTTTAGGATAATGAATTAATTTTATGTAACAATTAGCATCAGATATTGCATGCTTGTCTCGCAGACAATGCACTCGCGCCCTCGGCGAGCGTCGCACGCGGCTTTGCGTCAAGCCATGGCTCTTTGCTTGAACTGGCCAGAGCTTTAGCACAACCGTTGTAATCTGCAGCGAGCAGGCAAGCAGAGAAGAGTAGATGCGGGAAAGACTTTCTTTTCGAGGCCAACATTGCCTGGGCCAACATCATGGCCATTGCAGCGTGCCCGCGCCCTATGACACCGGCTCGGGCTGACCCTGGATTGGCTACGCTCTATTGGAACCTTTATCGGCGAAAGACTTGTTTTAAAGTTTGAGGCGATTTTGGCGAGCAGAACCGGCGCGGTAGTAGTGTGGCCCATCCCCACCCCGCCGCCGCTGTGTATTTCTTGAAGCGGTGGCCTTGGCCTTGCCGTCGCTTTCAGTGCTGGTGCCAGAGAGAAACCTGTCCAGGATCTCAGAGCGACGCGGGGCTGGCTCACCATCAGCACACTCCAAGTCAAAAAGCGGGCCATACCCAAGCGGTTCGGCCCAAGGTTGAATCAACTGCCACACCCGGCAGACGAGGCGGGGCGTAAAAACACCCTGCAGATTCAGGTCCGATTCCTGCTTGACACGGCGCACCTGGCCGCTTGCGCTGCTTTCAAAGGCGCACTCAAGTCGACTTTCGTCCACCGCCGATTCGCCCACAACAAAGCTCACGAGCCGACGAAGTTCAGAGGCGCGCTCCGCCGAATTTACGAGGCGCTCGTATGACACCAACAGGGTGGTGCTATTGGGTAACTGACGCAAGCGCTCGTACTGGGCCCATGTGGCCACGCTCTCCTGTGTTCAGGAGGCAAAAAAGAAGGGGAAAGGAAAAATCAAGCGCCGTACGTGCAAATGGCGTTTGGAGCGCAATGATCAGGGCTTGGTCAAGTGCTCACCTTGGCCTTGCGCATGACATAGTCTTGCCAGATGAAGCGAAAGTCAGCATCCCAATCTTTCCACTGGAGGGTACTCACGTGGTGGTTGAGTGCGAGTCGCGGGTTGCTGGCCTAAACGCACCGAGACGGCCATGCATCAGTGTGTCGGCACGTTCAGAACTGGTAGATGAGCGGATTCATCCGTCACCTGTCCCCTCAAAAAAGCATTTGCCTTGGCTCCGAGCCTCATGTGCTTCTCACCTGCACGACTTCCACATAGCGACGCTGAAACTCGGCAAAGACGGCGTGATAAAAGTCGCGAATCACAATGGCAAAGGCGTCAAAGGGCCCACAGTTGCGACGCAAGGTTGGGGTTTGCCCAAGGAGGTCATCCACGCTGTGCATGTTGGGATGCGCCTTGACCACAGAGACGTGATTGCAATGACCTTCACCTGGCAACGAGTCGATGAGTGTGGCGTCCAAATCTGATATGTTGTCGCCAAAATGACATTCAAGGTGAGGTGACGGTTTCATTCGTGTACGTTCAAGGCCAAGTGCGAGGTGTAAGACAGAGATTGAGCACTGATACGCACATAAACTTCCCGAGTAGTAGCCCGTGGCAGCATCGAGAAGGGTGCGCACAAAAGTGTTTCCAGAGCCCGGGGCCGAGTATAAGACCGGAGGCTTGCGAGAGGCTTGGCTCGGAGGCCGACCGATCCGTCGAAAATCACAAATACGATCCGCCTGCTTGGTGAGTGGCGGTGATTGCTGTTGTTGTTGTTGCTGCAGTTCCCAGGCCTTCTCATGAAGGTTGCGAAAAAAGAAGCGGCCTTGCTGACTCGCCACATCGAGCCGACACTCGCATTCCCGCGTCCCAGAGCTATAGAATGCAGCCTCATCAGTCAGGCAGCCACGAGGAGCCTTTTGCAACGCTACGCCCTGGGGTCATACATACCGGCACAGGCTCTGTTGTAGAGATTGTGACAAAGGCAAAGGGGGCTGGGCGTCCGCATCACTACGCATTGGTCAACCATCGAAGCGAAGTGGCACATGGGTGGTGTCGTGAGATCCCACGCACGCAGGCTCCCACAAGTCCATGTCAACATGCAACGTACTCTTCAGCCCAGTGCCAGAGCTGGACACCGGGAAAGGAGCGAAGCATACACGCTTGTAGATCGGAAGTTGAGGTCCAGGCCTTGCCATGCTGCAGAAGTGGCATGCACACCTAGCGTAGCAGCATGGATGCCAGTTGCATCAGATGAGAGGACCAACAAGGGTGCGCAGAGCTGTGCTTGAAGTGGGCAGATGGCTGCGTTGGAAGCAGAGCGAGCGAGATTGATCGGCTCCCACGAACCTGGGACATGTGCCACGCTGCATCTTGTGAGAGGAGCATCCAATTGGTTCGTGGTGAGAACGCCAGGTCCGCCAACTTTGCCTCGGGTTCTAAGTGATGACCCAAGTCAATCATTCTCGTGCCATGCCACCATCTCGGCAGCAGGAATATCCACACAGATAAAACGGGGAAGACGGACCAGCAGTATTGCACAGGTCAAGCTCGGCGCAATAGTAGCGCGCAGGCAGTTCTTGCTGCAGCTGGGACCCCAGGCTGTGGCTCTGGAGATCTTCATTCGCGCTACTTCGACGGGATCCCGCAGGCAGGCGTGGGCGCACCAGCTGCTCACTTCGTGCATGTGGTCCATTCACGCCCAAATCCTACAATGTCCATTGGGTATGGGTGAGCAACACGGCTAGCTACAGAACCGGGCTTTGACAGCAGTGGTGTTTACGCACGATGAGAATGTGCTTGGCTTGGGGATCTTCCTGCGCCGCGGCTACGGCAATGCGAAGGGCCTGGTCCAACTGCTCGAGTTCATGCTGGCAAAGTGATGGGCCACGCCACGATGAGCGCACGCTCGTTTGACAATGGGTTTCAAGGCTAGACGCGAGCGAAGGGATGAGTCAAAGAGTACCATCTCGGAGTGATTTGTCTGGAATGGCAGGACGCGCACGGTGTCGGCGACTTTGGAGCGCCAGCCATTGCTCCACGTTGCCGTCACCACGGCCACCAGCAACCACGGCAACGCCATGGCGGTGGCTCTCGTAAGAAAAAGTGGTGGGGAGAAGAGATGACTCGGCGATGACGCGGCCAATTCCAGGCAATGGCCGCTGGTCGGAGCAAATGAGGGCCCGGATCAAATGAACCAAGGACACCTTTGCAGGTCCAACAGTCAAACAGCTGCCATGCCCGAGAAGACACCACCCACCCTTGAGTGCCCGACTGCGTCCGCTCCACAGCTCCAACCGTCGTCTCGTTCCCTTTGCCAGGTGCTTGCATGCATCCAACATGACAAGCAAAAAAAAAACAGAAAAAAACAGTTGTTGTGGTTTATTTGAGGTCTCGGGTTGACAACAAGAAGAGGTCAGCGAATGTGCTGCCCCTGCACCGACTTGAGCAGCAGGCGGCGACGGTAGTGCCGCCTTTTTGCGTCGCCGCTTGCGCTTGATGTGTGTGGTGTAAAGCTTGGAGTCAGCGCTGTTGATGTGATTGTCTTGTCCGGCGGGATGGAGTTGCCCCAGGTCGGCACGACGTGTGGACATCCAAACTGCACCCAGCTAGGTACGCGCGGCCTCTAAATCATGCACGGCCTCCTTTGGATCGGGGTGCATGGAGCTGGTGGGCTCAGGGCACGCTATTGACTTTTGCTCGGTGGGGTTGTTGTTGTCGGATCTTGCATAGACTTTTTGGCCTTTCGGTGCCACAAGTGCAATACGACATTCTGTGAGCCCCACTATCGGGCCGCTGACCATGCGTGCCTGCGACAAAACTTTGACGATGCGCGAAGCTACAAGTGCCCGCTTTGTCAACAACAGTTGGCTGTTGTGCGCGGAGAAGATCCCAACATGACCGTGGAGCGCCACCTTGCTTCCAATTGCCAAACTGGCGTGGTACGCCCATGTTTGGTTGCCTTGTTGGCTGAACGCACACCAATTTTGTTTCGACTGGAATGTGACTTGACAAAATTTGGCTCCAGGCACGCAGCGCCCCGCAGTCCAAGGGTTGCGCCGTACCAAAGTGCCGCAAGAAAGAGTTTATTGCCGTAACGGTATGAACTCTAGAACCCAGTCCCTGCCATCCCTGCATATCGCCGCGGGCATGTTTCGTTTCGACCTCATCCCGCCGCTTCATGGGGCACGGGCTACCGCCCGTACCCTTGTCTTCATCGTCTTTAGTGCCCCGATTGCAAGCGCAAGTTTTGCACGCAACATCGCTTCCCAGAGGACCACGCCTGTGTGGGGCAACGAGGGCGCACGGCGCAGGCTGCCTCGGCCCGTCAGCATGGCGCTTCGAGCGCAGCCACCAGGAACAACGCCCAGTTGACGGAGGATGAGCTCATGGCCATGGCTATCCAAGCTTCACTGGAAGACCAACAACGTCAGAACCCCACGGCCTCACGCAGCACTTCCTCGTCTAACAGCAACGTAAGCTGGCTGCGACCATCCCTTCGGCTCTTTCTTACGGCTGAATTGGGCCATTTTTTCAATTCTAAAAGTGGGCAATCCTACACCTGAAACAACACATTTTTGCTCACCGGCTGTTGCCACGATGGTCCCAATCACTAGTGTATTATCGCCTAGAGCTTGCTCGGGCAAGCTGGCCATAAATGTAGCAGTTCATCCTTGCGCCTTTGCTCCTCCTGGGTTAAATCAGGCTGTCCAGACTCGAGGCAAAGGATAGGTCGGCCCGATCGGTTGCGCGCTGGCTCAACCGAAGTTGTGAGTGGCCTAACTGTCCTAGCACTTGCTTGAGCTGGGCCAGACTGGCCTTGAGTGTGGCGATGCGCCGTCCACGATGGCGGAGCTGACGCTCGTGCTCTAGCACCGTATCGTCATGACGGAGTCGCCACTCCTGCACCTCTTTGCGAAGCGCCGCCATTTGCTCCTGCATCTGCGCCTCCTGGGATTGCCGCTCATGCTGGCTCTGCACGCTTTGCTGGTGCAGTGCCTGTTGCTGTGTCTCCAGGCGACGGACTTCCGCCTCCAGCTGAACGCAACGTTGCTGCCACCGTGCCGCCTACACGCCGAGCGCACCATTATATTAGATGAGATGAAACCGGGGATCACAACATTAACAGAAGACTGAATCAAAACATTTCAACAGCAAAAAACACCTCAAATCGATATGTGAAACTGGTGCGCGTTTGTGTCAGTGCCAACGACCCACAAATGGTACAAAAACAGAGAGCGATCGGCGGCACCGCTGACCTCGTCGGACTGCTGGCGCAAGGCCTGGGCAGTGTCGCGATGTCGTGCGTGGTCTTGCCATGATGTCTCGCGCTCGCGATCGCGAAGCCTGTCACGCAGACGTTGACACTCCGCTTCAAGAGCGTGAGCGCGCTGGTCCAAGTCTCGTGCACGCTCGTGCTCACGCTGCGCGGCAGCCTCGAGCTGCGCAAGCTGGCCCTCCAGTTCTCGCCCTCGTACGGCCCAGGCCTCCGCCTCATCCTCCAGCTCAGCAACACGCCGACGATGCGCCATGCGCTCCCGCTGCCCTTCCTCTTCGCGTGCTTGCAACTGGGCCCGTGCTGTCTGCCCTTGCACCGTGGCTTCATGGTATCGCTGCTCCAGCTGCTCGTAGTCTTCGGCAGCCGCCGACATGGCGCGCAGTGCCGCTTCCAGTCGCGCCTCCGTGTCGCTCAACTGAGCTGCTTGATTTCGCAGGCGTTGGGTATCTGCGGCTGCAGTAGCTTGCAACTCCGCTCGCTCCATCTCCCATTGCCCCCGCTCTTCTTCTCGCTCCTGTCGTAAGGCAGCTAATTCCACCTCAGCATGGTTGGTCGATTCATCAGTGACCGCGGGTTCGGCACTCGTTTGTGCCAGCTGCAAGCGCAGAGATAAGGCCGCTACTTCTTGCTCGGCCACCTCGAGGCGATCTCGATAGTCCTCGAGTTCGTCTGCGCTGGTTGCCAAATCGCGTCGAGCCTGTGTGCACGAGCTGCACGGCGCAGCGGCGCCTGCCCGCAAGCGCTGCAGCTCTTGCCCAAAAGCACGCTCCATGTCCTCAGCCGCCTTGAGCTGCGAGTTCATGAGGGCTTGCATGCCCTCAAGCCGCTGAGCCAAGCTGGTACCCTCACGCTCAGCTCGAGCAAGTTCCTCATGTGCCTGCAGTAGCTCATCTTGTAAACGACTGTGCTCTGCAGTTGCTGTATCGAGTTGACGTAGTAAAGCCACATGCTGCTGCTCCATGCGGCCTTCAGCCTGCTCGCGCAAGTCTGCCAATTCTTGCCGATGACGCACAGAGTCGGCATCCCGCTGTCGCTGCAGCTCGTGCAGATTGGCGGTCAACTCTGCCAGTGTGGCTTCGTGCCGCGACGCCTTGGGCGAGGATGTTCGAGGACCGCGGTGGGCCCCCGATGCGAGGGGTTCCTCGGCATGAGTGAGAGGTTGAGAGGGGGTGGTGGCAGGCACAGGCACAGGAGCTGATGCTGATAGTTGCTGGGTCTGCAAGGTCAATTTGATTCGACCGGCCTGGCTTACCAAAGCCCCGAGCCGCGTGGCCAGCTCCAGATCGGTGGGCGTGGGCTCAGTCTCGCTGAACGTGGGTGCTTCTTCCTCAAAGCCAGGGACCTGGGCGAGACGGCCCAGTTGGTGTAGGTGCTGCTCCAGCCGGACGAGCAAGGGACGCGCCACTTCGCCGTGTAGTCGAGCATCGTTGACCGGAACCGATGGTGACCTCTGGTCCAGCTCGGCTTGCAGCGCCGAGCAGCGCGCCTGCAGCCGCACAACCTCGGGGCAGTCGCGCAAGCCATATCGTTGCACGTGTCGAGTCAGGCGCAGAACGCTGTCCTCCAAGGCGAGCCGGTCTGCCGTGCCAGCATCCAACAGGCTACTTCCTGTAACGGTGTGTGCCAAACCAGCAAGCGCACCTTTGGCCACGGCCCGCTGGCCAGCGCCGCGGTTGGCTTCCGCCTGTAGACGCACAAGCTGTTGTTGAAGGTCTGTGGTGGTACGTCGAAGCTGCTCGTTTTCTTGCTGCAACCGGTGCACAGGTGCTGGGGCAGTTCCTTCGCCTTCCCCCGAACCGCTGAGGTGAAGCGAAGTCAACGAGGCTTGGCTGGTGCGGGAGGGCGCGAGGGGCCGCGGAGCCTCATCAGCGCTGTATAGCTGAAGGCGCAGCTGCTGCAACTCCTTTTCCATGGCATCAATAAGCAGAGCGTGTTCCTTCTGCGCTCGGTTCCACTGCTCCTGCCAGCGCAGCTCGTGTGCCTGAAGTTCGGCTTCGTGCCGTCGCTGTACCTCTGCCTGCACAGGCTCTTGTGTTTGTGGAATCGCCGGCATTGCCGCCGGCAGGGTCGTGGCATCGGTTGGCACGGTGTCAGTGGCAGTTGTACTCTGCGGGTCGGTCTGGGTGGCAGCGCTAACGGGGCGAATTGTTGGCGCTGTGGTCTTGGATGCGGAAGCCGATCGAGCCTGCTCCAGTTGCAGCCGCAGGTCCAAGGTGCCTTGTTGAAGCTGGCCGTTGCTCTTTTGAAGCTCCTGGATCTGACGCAAGGAGGCGGCTCGACTCTCCTCGGCGGCAGTGAGATCTTGCTCCAAATTTCGAACACGGTTGCGCAATTGCCGGGCTTCTTCCTCAAGCGAGGCGGCACGGCGCCGAAGAACGGTCTGCGATCCCAGCCAGCTGGCAGCCGCGTCTGTTTGTCCCGTTGTGGGCGCATCGTTGCCTTTGTCTGGTGTGGTGGGCGGTTTGGCCAAGGCCAGACTGGCACCTTCAGGTCCATCATTCTTGGTTTTGCTGGGGGCTGGCTGCGGCCGTGCGAGCACCACTAGCAGATTGCCAGAGAGCTGACGTAGCAGCTCGAAGATCTGCGGCGGGCTGTTATTAAGTACGACGACGCCGTTGATCGAGACAAGCACGTCACCTGCGCTCAGGATTCACAGGATCATGCGCAGCATAGGACATGCAACAGGCATGAGCAACCGGAGAGATCAGGGATGAGGCGTGCAGGCGGCGAGGCTCACCGGACAGGAGGCCACTATGATCAGCCAAACCGTCAGGGGTGATTTGGCCAACAACGCTCGTCACGAGAGTCTCCCCCTTTTGCCGTTCCACTTGCAGACGAAAGGGTAGCTCTGTATCAGATGATTGAGGCTCCAAAGCTTGGGTGCGCAGCGTGAGGCCCTGTTTGAGTGGGTGAGTCAATGGGGTCAGTGCGGAGCGATCAGGGCATGGGGGTGAGATCAGCTGAAGCGGGTCGACGAACCAGGCGCTGGGCACCCGAGCGCTGAATCAAGACAGAACGGGTATCACGGAGCCCATAGACCTCTAGGCCCACTGCAGGTCCACCCATGTGTGAGCGGAAGGCCCATGCAAGCAACCAACGAGCCAGATTAATTTGCCGCACACAGGATCAACAGGCAAAGGCTTTGAGGAGGGTGGGCGAGAGACTCGCCTACCAAGTTCGCGTAGTTGGGTGAGCAGTTCTGCATTGATGGCATGCAGGGCCGTTTCAGACGCCCGCGTTTTCTTGAGCTCGGCCTGCACCTGTGACAAGCACGGGCATTGGATATGATGGTGAATGTAGTCTTGCCTCACAAAACGACAGCCTCACTAACGTCTCAGTTCATCACCGCCCTCCTTGGCTCATGCATTGACGAAAAAAAAAAAAAAACGCAAGGTGGCCATACCTCTCCAAAGGCGACACCCAGATCGAGAAGCTGTGCCTCAAGAGCCACCGTCTTAGCCCGACCCGCCATGCTGCACAGTTGCACACGGCGTGGCGGAAAACCGCGTCTCGAAAGACAGCTTGTCTCCTGAATTTGGGCTCAGCGGCTGCGCCAACAATGGGCGCGCGCCCTACTCCATCGCCCTGCTACGGCCAGCCACCCACACATGAGCTCTCGATCCAAACCAGTCACCACAGATCAATCAGCCATCAACCCTGAGCAAACTCATACCTGGCAGCAACGCAGGCATCCCCCTCGTTTATGTACTGGCAGTTGTGGAAAACAAGACTTCCGAGGGCATCGCCGCGATGCAGCTGACACGGTTCCTGATGGTGGTGGTGGTGGTGGTGCTGGCGGCGGCTGATGATGACTGGGACACGGGTCGTATGGTTCAGATGTGGCAGCATGCGAGCGGCCTGCACCAGCGCGGGCAGATCGGTGATGCACTTGGGGTCAGTCGGGCGCCAAGTGTGCTGGTTTTGCGGCGTCTGGCAGCGCTCATGCTCGCTCTTTGTCTGCCGTGACCTGGTTAGGCGTATCGTGACTTTATCACGGCATATCCACGACAGATTCTGCCTGCATATACCAACATGGGCGCGCTGCTTATTCAGCAGGTAGGCGTTGAGGAGTTGCGCGCGCCGAGCACTGTTAATTTTGCCCGTAGCGCACCGGCCCTCATCTCGTCGTGCTTCGATGGCCGCCTGAACGCCTGCGCTGTGCAGGGGCAGTATGAGGAAGCGGAAAAGGTTTTTGTGAGTGGCATTCGTTATTTCCCTGATGAAGCCAGCCTGTACACCAATGCAGCCATTGCCGCCTCACAGCAGACAGACGCCAGTGCATGGCAGCGCGGCTTGGTTCATGGGCGGGAGGCTCTGCAGCGTCAGCCGGACGATAGCCGGACCCATCACGTTGTGGGGAATCTGCAGCAGCAGCTGGGCCGTGCCTCGCTAGCAGAACAACATTTTGCGCGGGCCGACAAAATCGCCTCTGGCCTGCCCCCGCGCCGCGCGGGACCCCCGCGCCCATCCTTTGACGCAGTGCTCGATGCAGCCGGGCCTGCCATGGAGGTGCACCTGCTTTCCCATGACCCATTCGTATTGGTTGTGGACAACTTTGTCAAGCCAGCCGAGGTAGCTTGGATTCGCAACAATGCAGCCCCAAAGCTGAGCGAATCCTTCACATATGCCGCGCACGATCAAAGCGTTCGTCAGAGCCAGACGGCTTGGCTCGGACCCCACGAGCATTCAACCCTGACTGCCTTGGAGAACCGATTGCTAGCCTTGCTCGGCCTACGCTTTGTTGATGTGGCGCATGCAGAGCTCCAAGTTGTCCAATACGAGCAGGGCGGCTACTATCGCTCCCACCTGGACACCTCGTCTTGGCACCCCCGTGACATTACCGCGCTCTATTATCTCACCACGGTACAGACTGGTGGGGGCACGGCCTTTCAGAACGTCTCAGCGGAGATGGGTGATCTATTGGATAGCACCCGCAAGCAACCCTGTTTCGACTCGACGCACCATGCCGAGGCCAGCGAGCCTCAAGACCACGGGGCCATCGTGCCTGCGGTGGCTGGCCGGGCCGTCATCTTTTACAATACACGCAAAGATGGGCAGATGGACACCGCTGCATATCATGCTGGGTGTCAGATCATCAAAGGCGAGAAATGGATCGCCAATCATTGGCTGACACTTCGGCATGCCTGAGGCGGTGTGGGCACGTTCGCGCCTTGTGCCATCCTTGTTCAAGCACACCCACGCGATCACAGGAGGTGGTTGCTCACCCGATATAGGATACAATTTTTTTAATTAATTGAGGCATGGAATTCTAAACTCTTGGCGCGTTCTGCTATACAGACGCCGTGGTGCGCGTTGTCTGTGTTTGTGGCAGGTACTGCTGAATGGTGTTAAAGAGGAGATCGCTGAAAAACTCTGGCTTTTCCATGATGGCAAAGTGGCTCATCCCCGGCAAGAGCTGCCATGACGTGCCAGTGTTTCAGGAGACACAAGTTGGCAAGGTGAGAGAAACCGACACGGCGTGCCTTGCCCATAGGGCTTCTTGAAGCGAGCGAGGTTGAAACTCCCCCAATCCCTCAAAAAAGGTTCCTGGCAGCAGCGCGAGCTTGCCTGAAGAGAGCCGTGTCGCAATTTTTGCACCGCTTCTGTGTAAAAGTCTTTGGTAGACTGGAAGACGGAGAGGCGGATGGGGTGATGCTCAGCCATGAAAATGTCCACTTTGGCCGTGATGTCAGGGAGATACTGCCACATGTCCTGATAGCCTGTTGGAGTGATATGGGTTGTGGGCCAGGCAGTGAGGAATCAGATTTGTTGTCAAAGGGTGGCCCAAAGGGCTCGGATACGAGCTCACCTCGATAGATATAGCCCTCAAACTCGGGGTGACAAGCCAGCCGCACTGTGCCATCAGGCATGTCCACAAAGCCCTCTAAGAGCAGGGCAGGCAAGGAGTCCACGGAAGGAGGGTCAGATGGGACTGGACAAAAAGCATCAAACGTAGAAACAGGGTCGAGGCTCTTGCACCATTTGACCATTGGGTATGTGCGCTTTCAATCGCACCTTGAAAGTATGCCGCTAGACAGTCGCGATCAAACCGACTAAAAGCCCGTCGTGTATGCAGGTATTTTTCTGCAGCCTCCCGATCTGCAAACTCCGACCTACCGATGCACCAAAGACGGCGACCACCGTTGTCACGGGAGGGCGATGGGTTCAGCGCTTGCGCACAGCTTTTGAGCCAGTATGGCTTCAAGTTTGAAGGCCATCGCTCTGGTAGTCCTCTTCTGCCCGATCTCCCTGTCTTGGCAGCCCTGCCCACAGGTGCGCCAGTGCGTACCGCCGGTTCCGGGTGAGTTTGTAAAGCGTGTTGAAAGAGCTGTTGTAGATGATACTGAGCAAAAAGCTGGGGCGTAGGATAATGGGCTCAACTAGCAGGAGCTGCAGCGGGTTGAGTACGATGTCTGTGAGGACGATGCACAGGCTGACACAGCACCGTCACTGCGCTGGGCTGTCCACACGCACGTACGTGATCAAAAAAATTGGGAAGCGTAGAGGCGGTCCGGCTGAGGACGGCACCACCCATGCTGTGCCCTAGACCAATGACAACATCAAAGTGCTGGCGCAGCTCCTGGGCCCAGGCCTCTGCATCGGCGGGGGTAGTGGCGCCGGACCCGTGCATCTGGCCGTGCAAGCCTTGCAGCTCACGCACAAGATCATCGTGGCCAAAATCAGGCCAGCGCATTGCGTCCTGTCAAGCCCAGTAGCATGAGATGATTCAGACGATTTGGAGGCCAATTTCAAGCGCCATGGGCGCAGCATTGAGGCTCAGCAGAGCGTTTTGTAGCTGGCACTCTAGAAACCCGCACGGTTACGGCAACGGCAACGGCAGTGGCGCGAGCACCCGCACCTGTGCCTTGAGGCTAAAGTCTGACTTGGAGCCATGGCCCAGAAAGTCGGGGGCCGCCACCACCAGCTCAACAGGCTCACCCAATGAGACGGTCGCCGAGCCTGCCGTTGCCGAGCCAGCGCCTGCTGGCACCTGCCGGATTCTCCAAAGCAACATGTGAGTGCAGCTGCGAGCGCACCGCGAGTTGCGGTCCGCACAGCTGGCAGCCAAAGACACATACACACCTGTGGCGTCGGATTGGCCAGTCGAGCCCTCAAACTCGCCAACGTGGGGTTGAAGGTCCCCCTTGAAAACCCAGCGGCATGGGTCGCCACCACCAACACCCGACGCGTCGCCATTCTGCTCTTGTCACTCGACATCAAGCAAATGAATTGCAACACCTGCTCTCTCTCTCTCTCTCTTTCTCTCTCTCTCTCTCTCTCTCTCTCTCTCTCTCTCTCTCTCTCTCTAGCTCTATCTCTCTGTTTGTGTGTATACGACAGAAAAAGAGGAAAAGTGGGCTTTAATGTCAGATTAAAAACAGGTGAGACCTTATCACACTTTGAGACGTGGAGGAGGATCTGAAAGACGAGAAAGGAAACGGCAGCGCGAAGACGACCTGGAGCCTGGACCTGTCTGGACCAGTGCGAGGGCTAGATCTCGTTGGCAGTAGTGGTTGGCGGCGATTGACTCACGTTCAGTCAGTCACGGTGTCGTCGCGCTTTCTGCTCCTCTGACTTGGGCCCGGGGCCGTCCGCGAGCTGGCATGTTGCTTGGGCAAAAGCTCATTCGTCTGTAACGATCTTGGAACGGGTTGACCCCGATACCACACCTGCTAGGAAACTGTGCGCGGAGCCGTCGTAGTGGACAGCAAAGATGGCTTGAACCACCAAGGCATCGTCATGTCCGTTGAAGGCTCGGTCAGGTATGTATTTTGCCATCCCAGGCCACAGCAGGCAGACAGTGACACAATTTGATCCCGACCAGCCGCTCCATGGCTCTGCCTATCCGTAGCTCTTGCTCATCTGCCATCTGCCATGCCTGCTCAATCTTCACGCTGCCAGCCTCCAGCTCAGTGCAAAGAACCAGGGTGTGTTTGAGGCGTTTTACAACTCGATCAAGCCCATTCCGGTGAGCACCCTTGTTTGCAATCCTTCGAATCAATGGCTCGCCGTCTACGACCTCAACTCAGCTCATCCGACACCGCTTCTGGCATCTCATTCCTAGCTTATCAACCTGCGTTTTGAGATGCAAGCCGCGCAAAAGCTCCCGGGCGGTACGCCCTTGCCAAAGCAACAATTTGTGATCCACTGGATTCTGCCCTCCCTTTGGACCAATCCTGCCTTTGTCCGCCTCACGCCACACGCACCGCGTGCCGCCCTAGGTCAAACACAACTGCCCTTTGAGATCCCGCTCAAGCCCAAGAATGGCCAAGAGCTCTATGAAACCTACCACGGTGTTTTTGTGAACATCCAGGTCGGTCCCAGCCGAGCTTTTGATCCTACAAAGTCCTTTCTCGTGGTGCTTCACACCCTCCGCCTCTCACCCTGACCTTCCTCTGCAGTACTCGCTGCGAGTCGATGTGAAGCGCTCCGCTTTTAGCAAGGATCTTTCCAAAGCCATCGAGTTTTTGGTCCAAGCCGATGTCCCCGAGGAACCCGCCCGCCCGGTATGCTTGGCTTCAAAAAAATAAAAATTTTCAGCCTCATGTTACAGGATAGACGCAAACCGGGCCTTGCCTCGGGCTGGCTCCACTCACCCATCGCCATGCTCGACTTTGGGCAGGTCAACTTCACCATCAGCCCGGCCTCGCTGGAAAACGTGGGCAACCGCTCCTCGGTCCCTGATTTTCTGATCGAAGGCCGCCTTGCCTCGACTGCCTTTCACATTGATCAGCCTCTGGCTGGAGAGGTTGGTCGCGCCCCAGCCAGCCCCGACAACAGGCGTTTGGCCTGTGCTGCCACTCATCACCAACCTTACCAACGCCCACTCTTAGCTGCGAGTTACACACTGCGCTGAGCCAATCAAATCCATCGAGCTGCAGTTGGTCCGCGTTGAGACCTGCGGCTGTCGTGAGGGCTATGCAAAAGACCGTACGTCCCTAGCCCTCTGTCCGCGTCAATTTCTCGAGGCGCCCACCTCTCACACTCCACTTGTTCATGAGTAGCTACGGAGATTCAGAACATCCAGATTGCCGAGGGTGACGTGCAGCGCGATGTCGCCATCCCCATTCACATGATCTTTCCACGCCTGTTCACCTGTCCCACCTTGATCACGGACAACTTCAAAGTCGGTACGTCAAATCAATCCAGTTTTTGTTTTTATTTTTAGCGTGCACAGTCGTCGTGCACAGCCTTTGCTCCGTGTTGCCCGCACAAGCAAAACGCATCTCGCGCCCTAGCCGTTGATTGTGTTTTCATTCGTTTTGCGTCCCGGTCTGCAGAGTTTGAGCTGAACGTAGTAACGGTCTTGCAACGAGGCGAGCTCATCACGGAAAACTTTCCCCTCAAGCTCCTGCGATGGCAACTGCCCGAAGCCGTCCTGGACTAGCTAGGCATCTTTCCTCCACCATCTTTTTCGTGCTCTGGCCCGAGTCTCGCTTGTTGTGCATGGAACAGGCCGCCTTTCTGGCCTTGGCGCTTGATAAGAAGTGATTGATTGATTAACTGTATCCAGCTAGGTCAAGTCGAGTCAAACAACAGCAACAGCAGGTCGCTCATCAACCAGTGGCTGCACCTGTCGGTGGCAATGGAAGTCGCTCAAAAGGAAAAAAAGAGAGAAAACAAGCGCGCGCATCCACACACACACATACACAAAAGAAGTGCCGCACGGCGGCCATTCTGAAACACAACCACGGAATCTACTCGGTTGATCCCGACAGCTGCAAGCCACCACAAGCAAGAAGAGCCCACTGTCAGAGCAACGAGTCTCAAGAAGCGGCAAGTTCACACCAGTTTTCTCCATGCCGCACGATAGAGGTTGAAACCGGAGAACATACCCCATTCTGCTCAGCCAGGTGATATGTGGCCTTGCGAAGCTGGCGCAAGCGCTCTTGTTCATGACGCAATTCAGCCTCAAGCTCCAAGCATCGCACTTGCGAGTCCATCTGCAGTCGCTTTGTCTGTGTCAAAGAGAGCTTCAGGTAATCTTGGGCTGCCGACGACAAGATGGGCCAGTGAGTTTAGGTGAATGCACAAAGTCCGTGGAGGGACGCCCTCAGTGTCACTCACCAGACTGTGCCTCCCGCGACTTGTGGCACGCCTCGCGCACGGCATCGATCAAGGCACGAGTCGCCACCTGCACTGATTTAGAATCATTCTCGAGTTCTGCCTTGTTGGGGCTGTCAAGGCGCGCTTTGACGCGGGAGGCCGACACCAACTGCGCCGTGCTTGCAGCAATCTCTTGGCCACAAACCATAATCTCCTCTGCAATCACACGCATTTGAGCCTGATCAGTGGGCCCAACCAGCAGCAGATTGGCGGCGGTGAACATGAAAATCCTCAAAAGCCTACCCAGTTTGGCATCGCCGTGTAGAGCCTTGTCTGAGGTATCAACAAGGAACGAGCTTGCACTGCCCACGGCACGAGCGGCTGAGATGAGGCCTTCGACCCATCGCGAGTTGCGCTTGTAAAACTGTGCCTTGGTTTCGGGTCGCTGTGTGGGTGATATTCACGAGCAAGTGAGAAATGACCCTTGTCACCAAGTCAACCAGGCGCGATCAACAGCCATCAAACACACCTTGCTCTTGCCCGTCTCGTCCTGCACAATTTCAATCTGTAAACGCGTCGCTGACCCAGAGAGAGCTAGAGTTTGAAGCATAGTCAGGATGAGTCTCTTGAGTACTGTTGTTCGAACACGCTTCATGACACGTGCATACTCCCTACCCGCCTGATAGTCACCACTCTGTGGTTGTTCACTACCCTCCTACCCCTGCTTTCGCCGAGGCACCGGCGCCACAAGGAAAACCCCGACCAGACGAGCAGGCCTGACCTTGAATGCTCTTGAGCAAGGTCTTGCTGTGATCCAAAATGCTTTCATGAACGTTGAGCTTGGCCTCGTCCAAGGTCGACTTGGCCTCGGCCAACAGGCGCTCAATCTTCTCGGCAGCCGCATCGATGGCCCGCGTGGCCAGACGCATCTGGTCTTCAAGACTGCCAGCTCGCGACAGAGCCAGGTCTTGAAGATGTTCCAGATATGCACGTAGGCCATCCACCTCTGCGACACATGAAACGCTGTGGACTTTGCGTTGCAGGGCATCGAGCGTCTGGGAAGTGATGGCTTTCATGTGGGTACGCGCAGCTTGGCGCTGGGCAGCGTCGGGAGCTACGGCCTCAAGGTCAGCCAGGTTGGAAAGCATGGGCCCAACCACCAAGAGCTCAAGGGCGCCGGTGAGTAGATCCGACGCTTTACCAGCTGCCAGGTGTCGGCCCATGCCAGAGAGCAAGTCATTGGCTTCTGGAAGGGATTCCTCCGTAACCTGGCGGTAGAGTGCGGCAAGGGCGGCTCGCAATTGATCCTCGCGTTGCGCCACCTGTTCCTCATGCTGCGTGGACAGGCGCTGCAGCTCGGCCAGCTGGTTGGCTTGCAGCGTTGCTTCGCTTTGACGCAAGCGCTCCACCTCAGCAGTACGTTCTTGGCGGAGCTGGCCCAGCTGTTCACGCAGTTCCTGTACCTCTGAACGACTGCTGTCATAGGAGGCGCGGGCGCGACGGCCCTCCTCTCGAGCCTCCTCCAGCTCGGACGTGAGCTGTTTACGAGCCGCATCCAGATCCGACTGTGCTTGCTGCAGCTGACTTTTGAGGTGAGCAAGCTCTGCGGCATGTTCTTCACCCAATTTCTCGGCGGCAGCTGCAGAAGCAGCACGCTCTTGCTCGTTCTGGCGCTCAAGGCTGCGCAGGCGATCGTTGAGCTTGTCGGTGGCCTCTTGGGCGCGACGGGCCTCTTGTTGGTGGCGCTGGTTGTCCTGCTCTAGTTGATTGATGCGGGTGCTGCGCTCCGCCAGTTCTGCCTGCAGAGTGGCTACTTGTTGCTGAAAGGTCTTGACCTCACTGGTCACGCGAGCATCCTGGTCCATGAGAGTGTTCACGCGCGCATTGGCCTCGGTCAGGTCACGTTGCAGCTGGTCATTGGCATGATTCAGCTGGAGCACCTTGGCACTATGCTGCTCTGTGCTCGTGAGTAGCTCCTGGCGCAAAGAGTCGAGCTAACGCCAAGTAGAACAACACCAAGCAGACAGGAAATGAGGGGATTGCGAACCAGCAATTGCAGTGCAAAATTGACACAGGTTTAAGTTTAAAGAGGACCGGGTCCGGTGCCTTACCTCGCGATTGAGCGCAGTGATCTCGTCGCATTTGCCATCAATTTCGCTGAGAAGACGTAGCTTCTCGCTGCGCACCTGCGACAGCTCGTTACTTCTTGTCATGTCCTGTTCCACGGCTGTGATGGCCTTTTGCGAGGCCTCGTCGAGCTGTATGAATCCAGCAAGCCAGAACATTGAGCGCCGACACCCAGGCGGAGGCTAGCAATAGGGGGCGATGACTTGCGCGCGCACACACACACACACACACACACACACACACACACACACACACACACACACACACACACACACACACACACACACACACACACACACACACACACACACACACACACACACATACCTTGGCTTGCATTTGATCAAGCTGCTGTGTGAGCTGGACGCGCTCCGCGTGACCCTTGGCAAGATCTGCCTGGGCTTCTTCCAGCTCCTTCTTGAGTTGATCACGATCGTGGGAGGTGGCAGTTTTTGCATCCATGAGACTACCCAGTTGCACGCGCAAACCCTCGAGCTCAGTGTTGAGCTCTGAAGCGCGGCGCTCTTGGGCAAGGGACGTTTCGCGTCGATCCGCCTCGAGGGCATTGAGTTGTTGTTGCAGCGCGTCGTTATGGTCACCAAGCTGTTTGCGTTGTGTGTCGCTGTCGGCGCGTAATTGATCGAGTTGCTGCTGGAGCTTGGCCAGCTCCGCGTCCTTGGCTTCGACCTGTTGCTCGAGGTCGAGCATGAGTGCGCGGATGGACTGCTGCTCGCGCTGCTGAAGATCCAGCTTCTCCTCGCGCTCGTTCAGATTGCTCTGCAGCTCGCGGAGCGAATGAAGGGCTTCATCGCGTGCGGCCATGGTAAGGATAACCTGCTCGTTCTTGTTGTCCAGCTCTTGCTGGAGGTGCTCGACCTGGTCCGAGAGTTCTGAGTTTTGCTGTGCGCTGGCTTCTTGCATTTCAGAGAGGGTGCGAGCATCCATGTTCTTGAGGCCATCGGTGAGTTCGGAGACGTAGGATTCGAGCGAGGCAATGACAGCCTTTTGATCCTCAACCTCTTGCCGCAAACGCTGTGCATCATCACCGGGGCCCAGGTGACTGGGCGTGGGGGTGCCGCCTCGGCGGCCTGCCTTGGGCGAGCTTCCGGGCGAGCCAATGCGGCCCGGGCTGAGGGTGCGACGCATACTGGAGCCAAAGCCGTCGTCGTCATCTTCAAATTTGGCAACCATTGCTCGCGAGGCCTCGTCGGGCTCGACTTGGACGACAGCCATGGGGATGCCGCTGAGCACGTCAGGTGGAGGCCCATCGAGATTGAGGGTGACGAGGCGGGCTGCGAGATAGGGAATGCGGCGCACGCGGTAGTAGATGGCGCGGAGCTTGGCGTGCTGGTCGTGAAATTGGCGAACAATGCCGAAAATATCTTGTTCGCGGTCGGCAAGAGCACAGAGGAGCTGTTGCAGAAGAATGTAGATGGCGACCGTTTGTTCGAGAACGCTGTACATGGGCCAGAGGAGGCACGCTTGCTCACGAAACTCCTTGGTTTTGAGCTTGCGAGGGGAGATGGTCGGGGCCTGACTCATGCACATGTCGAGGACGACGGTGGTGCACATGATCTGCACCTGCTGGAGTTCGGCGAGGCGACGGGGCAACTCTGGGCCGTACTTGGCGGCCAGATCAGCCGCATTGATTGGGGCGGCCAGGCTTGACTCAAACTCTTTGAAATCGCGGTGAAAGTCGAGCTTGGTCACCAGCAGCTGGGAGAGGAGGCTGGCCACCTTGCCGTACACCGTTTGCTCTTGCTCGTGCAGGCGCCCAAGATAGCGAATGGTTTCCTCAAATGACTGGATCATCGGGAGCACGACACGGCGCGGCAACGACAATGTCAATGCAGGGTTGATAGCATGTGCGGGGGCCGACAAGGGCGTTTTGCGGTGGCGGCCAAAGGGGGCGAAGGGGTTGGGAAAGGTGACTCACCTGATAGGCTTTGATGAGGAGAGTATGGTCAAGGACATGGATGAGACGGTGGGAGACACCCAGGGCTTTCCAGGCCACCTCGGCACTGGTGTTGAGATGGCTGAGTCGAGGGACGTGGCGGAAAAAGGGGGTCAAGTCTTGTTGGTCGAGCGTGCTGTCGATGATGGCGGCAATATGCGTCTCTTTGGGCGGGCGCTTTTCACTGTTCATGGCCTTGTTCATCAGGTGCTGCACCTGCTTTTCCGTCTGTCAACAACGAAGAGCGACGAGCACCGTCGCACGGGCATGTGAGGACAAGAAAGGCGGAAGAAGACCGAGCGAGTACTCAATGGTGGTGCTGCAGGATAAGGCTATTGATCGAGATACCTGGACGGTCATGGTGACGGTGATACCGCGTGGCAGGCGTTAATGCCGTGAATCACGCTGCAAAAGGCCCGCAGCTTGGTGGAGTTGTTGGACAAGGGGAGCAGAAGCACACGCACACAGAGAGCGGCTAGGATTGGAGCCCTGCAGTAGGAAGGCGCTTGATGAGATCGTGGCAGAAGAAAAAAAAAAGGTTGGATATAGATGAGGTGTAGATGAAGCCACGTTCATGCATATGGATGAGGCGCAATGTGCAGTGGCGGGAGGGGCAGGAAAAAATGATCTCGGGGTGCCTCAAGTTGCGGGGATGGGGCGAGACGGGGGAGGCCAAAAAAAAAAAAAAAAAAGGTTCTTGGCTCGTGAGGGAGGACTTTTGTTTTTGTGTGTAAGTTGAGGTCTGGATCATGAGTGAGGATGGTGAATCGGGTAGCACTGGCGGCGACGAACGCGAGTGGGTGGTGGGCCCGACATGAGCAAGCGCGGCAACGTGGAAACGGGTTTGGGGCAAAGGAGGCGGTCTCTGCGTCTGACTGCGTGGTCCGTGTGTGGTGATGAGATTGGGACGCGGGCATACCAGTTGTCAGCCGTTGCGCTGCAAAGCTCGCGCCACAGGGAGAGAGCGAGAGAGCGAGAGAGGGGGTGCGGGTGATGAAGAGCGAGCGAGCCGGAGAGAAATCGGTCCGAAGAAAAATAAGATGGGTAGGTCGCGCGTGCGAGGTCTTGTCTTGGAACCCCAGCGCTCGCGCAGTGAATTCCTTGCCTCCACGAAACGATCTGGGAGGGATACTGTCGCCAACAGCAGGTGTGTGAGCTGCGGGTGTGTGCACGGGCAACACACACAGACACACACACACACACGGAAGCTGATGGAAACGATGTCGTCATCTTGACCATGTCAACAACAACAACACACGCACTTCGTTTTGGACAGTAAGACGAATAAAGGGAGGTCAACAGTCAACAAGCGACCGGTTGGACTGTTGCCTTTCGTGTATCACTGGTGTGTTGGAGCAGCACAATGAGCATGTTCTTCCCCCTAAGGCAGTGGTGTTCTTTGTGTCCGGGTGCCGCTGCCCTTTCGCAGAGAAGGCCGGAGGGAACGGTGCCGCTGCCCTTTGGGGTTTGTCCGCAGTCCTGGTCTTTGAAAGGGCCATCACGCATGTGCACTAGTCTCATATTGTCCTGCACCAACTTTGCTTTATGGGGTCTTGAAAACAACGATAAGATCGATTTTATATGCGAAAACTCAGCTCGGGTGCATCTGCAAGCGGCATTTGGCACAGGTAGCGCCATATTTGTCAGACAAATGTTCCGGGGTCGGCGTCACTGCCTTCGTTCCAAGTCATTGAACATGGGGCGGCGACCAAAATGGACTCGGCAACTCGGATCAGATGGATAATTAGATCGGATGGATGATTGACATGATGTGAATTGATCATAGCATGGGAACTTGCAGCCCTCAGGCTTCAGAGGCGGACCTATCGGCCTCGGAAGCACTGGATCCTGAGCCACAGAGGCTTCGAGCTGCAGACGTGAGGACGCACCAGAACACGTAAAGGAGGCCAGGCACGTAAAAGACGAGGCCGGCAATGATGCAGTTCGAGGCAACGTAGACGCGCTTGTAGGTCCCCGCACAAATGTAGTACTCGCCGTCATCTGTCGGGGCGGGGCCTGTCTCCAAGTTGAATTTCTGCAGCTGCGTTAAGACCAGGATTGAAAAGGTCGCGACCAGGGCCCCGAGGATCAGGGCCAATAACGGAAAGAAGGCGCCGATCAGCCACGACCCCAGGCTGTGGTATGGTGAAGTGTTGTCTCCGGAGAGCACGGTCAAAGAAATGATCAAGGACACAATGCCAAAGACCGACAAGATGCTGGTCGTGGTGGTGTAATAGCTCGACTGCTTGGCCGTGTCCTGGTTAACTTTGCACATCCACGACTTGTAGCCCAGGGGATGCTTGCGCCGCTCGCTGGTGGAAAAAGAGCGACGCGCCCGTGTAGCGCCCGTGTTCTCCGAGGCACCGTTGTCCATGAGCCAAAAGTCTCGTCGCTCATCTTGGTCGGCCTCGTCGTCATCTGGAAGGGTAAAGCGCGCTTTGTGGCCCTGCTTACGATAGGCTTCGCAGTCACGCATAGGGTTGTTGAAGCCGCTGTAAACGCCCCATGCGTTGGAGAGAAGATAGAATTGACGCTCCATCAACCGCCAGTCGCCAGGGCGGTGATAACAGCTGTATCCGTTGGCCAGTGTGCCGTTGAGATCGAGGCTACTGGTACGCTCAAATTCGCGCGAGAAAAGGCCCACTGTCAGCAGAATGAGGGCCAAGATGGCAGCAAAGGCGAGAAAGAAGGCGCCGTTTTCCTTCAAACAAGATTCTTCACTGATCTCATCGGCAGTGGGTCCTTCTGTGGGTGAGACCACCAGCTGCTGGGGTGCAGGGGCAGGCGGCGGTGGTGGTGCAGGCGGTGCAGCAGATGCATACCCCGACCCGGGTGCAAGGAAGGCTTCGGGCGCGGGTGCAGCTAGGGGAGTCGGTGGCGCCTCGTATACCCCCGACCGCGAGCTTTCAAGCGAGGAATCCAGCAGCGCTGTATGCCCGCTCTCAGAAACTACATCCGCATATGCGGGGGGCGGCGGATCTTCCATGATGAAAGGTGATGCGCCGCACTACGATGTCGCTCGATGGAGGGGATGGCGCTGAGCAAAGATCTACATGGAGAAGTGATTGGCACACGAAGCATGAGAATGAAACGTGCTCGCAGGCCACGACATTCCTCTGAGCACAGACATCGACCTGGCACAAGGCACAACAATCAATCGAGAAGTGCAAGCTTCTCAACTGCTTCCTAACAACACACACACACGCATCCTTCACCCTCTGATGCACTGTCGTCCAAAGGCATTCCATCAACTGTTCGACCCTGTACGCGAGTCCCCGAACCTGGTAACCTTACCAGCACAATCAAGACGCAACAAGTGCCAAAAGCGAGAGAGCGAGAGAGCGAGAGGGAGAGGGAGGGGGAGGGAGAGTCAGGGCGAGGGAGGACACGATGATGAGTTGGGCTGTCACCAAAAAGCATACCCAACGCTGACAAATAAGCAAACAACGTGTGTGTGTGTGTGTGTGTGTGTGTGTGTGCTTGACAATAATATACTTTAGAGGGTGTGAATTGATTTTATGTCTAGAAGAAGCGCACAAGAGGCGCTGGTCTGCCCAGAAGAATGTCCCAGTCAACCATATCAGACACACGGGCACCCCAGACGTGACGAGCATGCGCAAACGCAACGGTAGAGACAGCACAGCACGAAAGAACACAAGAACAGTAGATGAAAAAAGTTGGGTCGAGACAGCGCCGCGGCTCGCCGGGCCTGCTCAAGGAGGCAATGAAGCTGGGTGGAATTTTTTTTATAAAACACAAGTGCCAAAAGCTTAAAAGAGACTTGTGTCTCAGACCTATGCCGAGGGTGGCGGGGGAATTCGTTGACCTTCAAGCTTCATAAAGTAGAACTTGCCCGAGACATCGTCAAGACCATATTGCAATCGCTCGCGACTGGCCTTGGTCACCACATACACCTAAACACATGGGGTAGCAGGCAAAGACCAAGCGTCAGAGTCAAGCACCTCCGCGACCGACGGGCGGCAAAAAGCCGACGCAAACGACGCCAGGGTTTGATGCGACAAACCTCCTGCATCTCAAACCCGTGCTTGCAGACCACCTTGTAGCCATGATCGTGTGCACCGGCAATCTTCATGGTCAACATGCGATGCATCTTCTTGGAATGCCGGGCTGGTCCCGGAATGAGGCGCTGTCACCGCGGCGTGGGCCCCCAAGCCAAGGGAAGTGAGCCAAATATGCAGAAATTATTGTCTGTTGAAGCGCGCTACCAGTGCACCTTCACCCTTTAAAAAAAAAAAAAAGGGAGGGGGGGAGGCAGATTGGCACCCATCAGAAGAGACGCAGACTGTCACTTACATCAATGACCTGACCATGACGCGTGGCCAGCTGGTTGAGCGCGTTCCGCAAGCCTGGCAGGCTCTTGGCCGTCTGGACCACTCGGAAAACCTTTTCCGCCATGTTGCCTGCTATCTATACAAACCCCAAGTGCATGGGCCCCCGTGAGCTCACTCAATAACACACAAATAACACACACCATCAAGCGGCACGCTGACAACCCCACAAACACCCCTGCCTCGTCTTTGATCAAGACGACGATGCCTTCAAAGAGACCGCTGCCCGAGCCGGCCGCACACACACACACACACACACACACACACTTACTCACTTGATGGAATAAGAGAAAGTGTGTCAGAGTTCACACGTTTCAATACTTTCCCCCATGCGAGAAGAAGATCAGCTCACTGCATTCGTCTACTGAATTTCTTATTGCACAATCGATGTCAGGTGTTGTTTTTTTTTTTTTTTTTTTTTTTTTTTTTTTTTTTTTCATTTTCATTTTGACAGGGTCATCGAACGGATTGTTGAACATCAAACAAGATGCGGGTGTTGGTGGCAGGAGCCGGGGCCATGGGCTGGTCCGTGGCTTGGCATCTACGCCAGGCATTACCAGCTGCCGCCCGCATCACCGTTGTTGCACCTGAGGAATGGAATCAGTAGTGAGTTTGGACTCGATCACCCCTTGGCCCATCATCAACAAAGTGGTCTGCTCCGACAAGTCATCACTCAACTCGTCGGCCGCCCCGTGAATGCACGCTGGCAGCAAGAGCACCGTCTTAAGCGCTGGAGGCCTGCGACAGCAGTTCTCCATACCCGCCAACGTTGAGTTTTCCCTCTTTGGCCTCGACTTTTTCCGCAACTTTGCCAATCTGGTAAGCGTGTGACATGCAGAACGTCTCGGCACGTCAAACTCACCTGTCAACTTAGATGCCGCGGGTGCACTGGATTGCCTGTTTCATCGCTCTCACGCTCCACTACCTTTCGGTGTCTGTGACCCCACCACGCCACGACGCCTAATCCGCCATTGATTTATGGTAGGATCGCCAGCAACGCGCCCGTACGACGCTCCAACCGGACCACGCCTTGCAGGATCTCCTTCACATCAAGATGCGCGAGAATGGCTACACCTTTCTAGCTTCTACCCCCGAGTCAGCTCAGACTCTCGCAGAACTGGTGGAGATGCAATGTCGTCTGGGTGCGGCGACCCAACTCGCCACCCCCACCCAGCTTCGGGCGCGTTACCCCTGGCTTTGCGTGGATGACATCGAAGCCGGCACGATGAGCTACTCGGGCGAAGGCTTCATCGATCCTTGGGAGTACCTGGCCAACCTGCGGGCCCTCTGTCTCCAAACCGGTGGCATCGACCAGAGGCAAGGGCGCGTTGATCGTCTTGAGCTGGATGCTCGCAGAACTAGCGTGGCCGGTGCCTGGATCAGCAGCCCGACGGTCGATGCCGACCCCGCGTACGAACCCGTGGACCTCTTCATCAACTGTGCTGGGTGCTTTAGCAACGACGTTTTCAAAGGTCAGGCACAAGGCCGGTAGTTTGCCTCTTCCCCTGCCAGTTTGCCCGGCCCTCATCGGCACGGTCTCTTGTGGTATCGAGCGCAGGTACCCACCTGAGCGTACCGGTGCGAGCCCGTAAGCGCTACGTCTTTGCCATTCGCAGCAGTGCTCAAAACGCACCTGGAATAAACAGCCCTTTGTTGGTTGACCCAAGTGGCGTTTACTTTCGTCCCGAGCTGGCCCCGAACACCTACATTACAGGCGTCTCCCCCAAGGTCCGTCAATCCGCCTTTGGGCAGTGAACGCACAGAGCTGGAGCACCTAGCCCCTCCGATCGGTCAGGCCTACGCTCCCCACGCTGCCCTCACTTGCTCCGGGCTCAAACTATAGGCAGACGCCGATCCAGATTATAGCGATTTTAGTACATTGGCAGAACTAGAAGATAGCCTCTTTCACGATCAAATTTGGCCCGCCCTCTACAACCGTGTACCTGATGCCTTTGATGCCCTTCGCGTCATCTCATCATGGGCCGGGTTCTACGACTACAACACATTTGACCAAAATGCCCTCATCGGTGAGTCTGACGTGATGAACAAGTTTTTTTTTTTGTTTTTGTTTTTTGTTTTTTTTTTGTTTTTTCTTTGTCCTTTTTTTTTGGCCCACCTCGGCCTCTGCCTGTGCCTCTGTCCATCGATGAAGACACACTCTCACTTGCATTTGCAACACATGTCGTCACCAGGCTTGATGCCAGGCATGGACAACCTCTACGTTTGCACCGGCTTTTCGGGACATGGGCTTCAGCATTCACCGGCCGCGGGCTACGTTATCTCGCAGCTCGTCACTGGCCAAGGACATAAGCTGGGCAGTGAGGCATTTGCAGTGGAGCGCGTCGCCGCTAATGCCCCGATTCTTGAGGCGGGCATTGTTTAGATGTGTTTCTTTGACGTAGTAAAGAGACGTGTCGTTCGTTGGTCCGTTTGAATTGAATCTGAGGCGCACACTTGCTCGGTCGCGCTCGGAATGAATACGCCAAGATGGCAACTGGCGATATTGAACTATAACATGCAAGTCGGTTTCTTATCACATCCCAAGTTTACACGACATGACATTGTTCAAGTGGCCCTTCAAAACAAAAATAGACAAGAAGGAAATGGTATTGGGGTCAGGTCTCGCTCAATTGTAGGCAAACGTGGATCATCGTGCACGCAACGCACGACTTCCTAAAGTACGTCTAAAAATCAGCAGGTCAACCCTCGCACACAAGCGTGTGCAAGAGTTGGTGCGTTGGTAGGAACGCAGAAGAAAAGAAAAAAACACAACAAGAAAATCAAAAGGGTGATTCTCACCACAAGGTGGCAAGACCGGGAAGAGAAGCTTTAAGACATTCACATCGTCCTCCAACGAGAGCAACAACGACGGCACACAAGGGGAAAACGGAAAAGAAAGGAAATGAAGGCGTTGCCCGTCCGCAAGAGAGCATGTGCGTCCAGACAGTGCGAGCGCCGCAGTGACACGTTGGACAGCATGTACCCACAATTAGACATGATGTGGAGATAGCGCAAAAAGAAAGGAAAGAAAAAACCAAGTAGAAAAAAAGTGTGACTCAAGACAGAAAAGCGCTAAAAGAAAACAGGAAGCATGGGCAAGCCCAGGATGGGTGGAAGAAAATTGGAAAAAAAGTAGAAGTGGAAGGTATTTCGGCGAGTTGAGGGCCAAATAACCTAATAGTAAGTCCAGCGCTCGATGAAGCCCTTGGGGAAACGACGCATGGACATCTTACGCAGCTCATCGTAGGTAAAGATAAGCGCAGAGAAGGGCAGGGCCGTGATCCACCAGCGGAAGAGGAGGGGACGGAAGTTGAGGGCAACATCCGTGCCAGGAGCGTACACGAGGACGCAGGCCAGCGCCGTCTCGAAGAAGAGGGCGAAGATGAGGGTGTTGTTGCGCATGCCCTGCTGGAAGATGGAGAGCTTACGGGTCTTGCAAATCATCAAATCAGCCCACTGCACAATGACAATGGAGACGAAGAAAGCAGAGTGGCAAGTGTACTCGAGATCCTTGCGCTGGTCGTAAGTCCACTCTTGACCGTAAGAGTCGGTGAGATCGTTGATGTCATCGTTATCCCAGTCCTCACGCAGACCAAAGAGGCGGTGAGCCTTGAAGCCGTTCTCGGCCATGATGGTGAAGTAGGTGAAAAAGCCAGCAGCGGCCTGGATGAAGCCAATCTGGAGGTAGGCCATGCAAATTAGACGGTGGTTGACCAGGCGATCGCGCGAAGGATCACGGGGACGGCGGCGCATGATGTCGGCCTCAGCCTCTTCGTAAGCAAGAGAGATGGCGGGCACCATGTCGGTACCCAGATCAATGCAGAGAATGGTGATGACACCGAGAGGGAGGGGCACTGAGGCCAGGATGAAGAAGAGGAAGGGGGAGATTTCGGGAATGTTTGAGGTGAGCGTGTAGGCGATCGACTTCTTGAGGTTGTCGAAGATGAGACGACCCTCCTCAACACCAACGACGATGGAAGCAAAGTTGTCGTCCAGCAGAATCATGTCGGCAGCCTGCTTGGACACATCCGAACCGGCGATACCCATGGCCACACCAATGTCAGCCTTCTTCAGAGCGGGGGAGTCATTGACACCATCACCGGTCACGGCAACAATCTGGTTGGCGCGCTGGCAACCCTCGACAATGATGAGCTTCTGCTGAGGAGAAGTACGGGCAAAGACAATCTCACGGTGGGTGGCGAGAATGTGATCGAGCTGGGTGTTGTCGCCCTCCATCTCGGCGAGCTGAGTACCAGTGACAACAATGGCGCCGGCCTCGGCGGGGTCAACCTCGGATACGGCACAGCCACGCTCCTCGGCAATGTCCTCAACGGTCTTCTCACGGAAAATGATACCAACCTGCTTGGCAATGGCCGAGGCAGTAATGGGGTGATCACCGGTGACCATGATAACCTTGATGCCGGCCGAGCGGCACTTGGCCACGGCGCCAGGAACGGCGGGGCGGGGAGGGTCAATGAGGGCGGTGAGGCCAACATAGACGAGACCCTCCAGAGGGAAGTTCGGGGGCTGAGTCTCAAAGTTGAAGCCCTTGGGGAACTGATCCTTGGGCAGCGAGAGGGTGCAGAAACCAAGGACACGCTCACCACGGCGACCGAGGCTGGCGTTGTTCTCCTCAAACTTCTTACGGTCAGCATCGGTCATGGGCTGGATCTCGCCGTTCTTCCAGATGTGCGAGCAGCGGGCAATGACGCGCTCCGGAGCACCCTTCATGACGAGGAGATAGCGGTCATCCTCGGGGTCCTCGTGAATGGCCACCTGGTACTTGTTGGTCGAGTTGAAGGGGATGTCAGCCACCACGGGGTACTTGGCACGCTCGCCGAGGACGAAAGAACCGTCCGACTTGATGGGCTTGTCCGAGTAACGCTCGAGGTTACGCTCTGTGTACTTGAAGATGGCTGACTCGGAAGCATCACCAGCCGTGTCACGGTTGAGAACGGGCTTGTTCTCCTGGCCACCGAGGAAGCGGGCCTTGTTACAGAGGATGGCAACACGGAAGAGCTGGCGGAAGCAAGGGTCTTTGTAGTCGTAAGAGTCGGCCTCCTCACTCTCAGGGTTGGTGTTGACCTCACGAATCTCCTGGTCGAAGCAAACGTGGGCCACGGTCATGCGGTTCTGGGTCAAGGTACCAGTCTTGTCAGAGCAAATGGTTGAGGTGGAGCCGAGGGTCTCGACGGCCTCGAGGTTCTTGACGAGGCACTGCTTCTGGGCCATCTTCTGGGCGGTCAGGGTAAGGCACACAGTGACGGTGGCCAAAAGACCCTCGGGCACGTTGGCGACAATGATACCAATGAGGAAGATGACGGCGTCGAGCCAGTAGTAACCAATGGCCAGGGCAATGATGAAGAAGGTCACACCCAGGACGACGGCGACAATGGTGATAATGTGGATAAAGTGCTCAATCTCGCGGTGAATGGGAGAGTCACCAGAGTTGACACCCGAAGCCAGACCAGCAATACGGCCCATGACGGTGTAATCACCGCACTGAATGACGATGCCCTTACCAGAGCCTTCGACGGCGTTGGTGGAGAAGAAGGCAATGTTCTGGGTCTCGAGGGGGTTCTCGTCGGTGCACTCGGTGCCACGCTTTTGAGGCTCCGACTCACCCGTCAGCGAAGAGTTGTCGACCTTGAGGTCGGCGCACTCGATGATACGGAGATCAGCAGGAACGCGATCACCAGACTTGACCATAACGACGTCACCCTTGACGAGGTAGCGGGCCTCAATCTCGGTCACTTGGCCGTCACGGATCACCTTGGACTTCTGGGGCGTCATCTTGGCAAAGGACTTCATGATGTTGGATGCACGGCCCTCCTGGAAGTATGAGAAGACACCAGTGATGATGACGACGGCAGCCAGGACAATACCGAGGTACAGGTTCTCCGAGTTGACCTCATCGCCCTCCTCGGCCTGGGAAACGGTGATACCGTGGGCAATGAAGCAGAGAATGGCACCAATCCACAAAAGAGTGGCGAAACCACCAAACATCTGGAGCAGAAACTTGACCCACTCGGGGGTGGTGGGGGGAGGAGTCAGCTCGTTGAAGCCATCCTCCTCGAGGCGAGCCTTGGCAGCAGCCTCGGTCATACCCTTGTCAGTGTTGGTGTTGAAACGGGCGCAGAGCTCGTCGAGAGGCACAACGTGCTCGTCAAGCTTGAGCTCCTTCTTCAGCTCGTTGAGCTTGGCATCGCGATCCTCCTTGGTTTTCTTCTTGCCCTTCTTGCCGCCAGCAGCAGCGGCGGCGGCTTCGGGGTTGGTGGAGCCGGCAGTGGAGGCTGCAACCATCGTGACATCAGAGATGAACCCCAAGAAAAACCATGAGTTGACTACAGCTGACCAGTGATTCAGGCGGGAGTGTGGTGGATTTGGGGTGGTGCTTTCAAAGCAAGACTGACCGGCAACAAGGGGCTGGCGAGACACGGGGCGGTCAACGGCAGCAGGAGCAGGAGCAGCTGCAAAAGCCAAGGAAAAGATTGTTCGACCAGGCCAGTGACCAGAGGTGAGCTCAAGCTTATCCATGAACAAACAAGTTCTTGAAGAAAACTTTTAAGATTTCTTCGTTAATGATGTGACAAAAGATTAAACCCACGTGTAGCCAGTGGGTGAATCCCAGATCGCAACGTACCGCCGTTGATATCGGTGCTGCTGGCATCGCGGGTGACACCAGCCACATTAGTGGTGGTGGTGCTGTTCAGTCCCGGGCCCGCGGGGGCGGGGGCCGCCGAAACCGCATTGCGATACGATTCCGAGCGGACCACATCCTAACCGGTCGCAAAAATCGAAAGACACAAAGACATGAAATATGGCAGATGAGCATGGTCCGACATCCGGTCTACTGTAGCTGACAGTGATGCGTCTGCGCACTGGCTGTCATTGCTGTCAGATGGTTGGTTGTTCACCAGCCTGGAGTTGCCGACCAACACTGAAGACTGGGAAAAAAAACTTACGTCGATATCATCGACGACAAAGCCGGCCATGATGAATTCTGATAAGAGACCAAGGTCAATTCCAAGCGGCACCGGTGAGATCAAGGAGACGGATGTACAGATTGAGTCTGGGGGCGGACCATGGGGTGTTGAAGCGAGGCGCGTTCTTCAAAGGCATCACTACATACCCTAAAGTGCCGACCAAGCGACACAAAGCTGCTCCGAAAAATAAAGGAAATCGAAGGAAGAGAAGTGGGGGGCGACGCCTCACCTTCTATTCCGAAAAAAAAAGAAGACAGGCCAGAGAGAGAAGGGCAGCCACGAAGAAGCATAAAGGTGAGGGGCGGCCGCACGATGCAGCCATGAAGTTGGAGGAGAGCTGAATCAAGACACAAGAACGATGGGCAATTCTTTTGTCCTTTCGAGGTGTGTCCAGGTGCCCCAGAGGTGTGTGTATGTGTGTGTGTGTGCGCGTGTGTGTGTGGCCGATCTCCATCGCATGTGGAGGGGGTGGAGTTTTGTGTGGTTCAGTGTGATGGTAGCATGTGTTATTGGTGTTGTTGTTGTTGTTGTTGGGTCGCTGCCGAATCACCGGATCGCGGTGGGGTCAAAGACCTGACCGGGAGAGGAGAGGAGGGAAGACGGAGCCGGGGGTGGCAGAGGGCAGAGGGGAAAGCGGGGAGAGAAGGTGGGGGGGGGGTTGTACGCACCGACAGCGGCGTTAAAAGTGTCGCTTGGGGCGCTGTTTTCGCGCCAGTCGCTGATCCTGTCGTGTGAGTGTGTAGGTGTGGACTTTTTCCTCTGCGTTCTTCTTTGATCAGTGCATCTGTGTGTGTGTGGTGTGTACGGGGATAGCATTTTAAGTGTGTGCGTTCAAAAGCCGAGTGCAAGTGTCTTTTGTCTTCTTTGTCTTATTTGTCTTTCTTCTTCCTTCTTCTTCGTTCACTGGTCCTTTTGTTCTTTTGTCGTCTCACTCTTTGTGTGTGTGTTTGAGCGCCTGCGGAAGTCAAAACAAAAGGGGGGCGATCATTGGTTGACACTTGGTAGCAGGCGATCGCCAGTCATCGCTTGCAAACAGGCCGATGGTCAATGTGTCTTTTCCTTGACGCGAAAACCTTGGTGGGGGCAATTGGTCTCCATCCATTTTTCACACAAAATCTATACAACTTTTGCTTTTGCAACAATGAGTTGAAGGTAAGGCTGATTGGTCAGAGCAAGGCTGTCACGTCCCGACCAGGGACGAAAGATCAATTTGGTACACGTACCTGCACGTTTCCATCACGAACCACCAACGTGTAGGGGTTTATTGCGCTCAGCCAGGCATGCTGACACGAGAGATGGCTTTTCTGACACAGTGGACACTTTTTTACCCACGTTGATTCCCAAAGTGTGTACAAGTGAGACCAGTGGCAGACAACCGTCAAATAACAATCATTTAGCTAATGTTTTTGTCTTTTTATTAATTCAACATCTTCTCTTGCTTGAGAGCGCTGCTACACCCGACATGCCAGACATTGTATCACCTTGCAACCCACAACCACACCCCTTGTGACTTTGTGACTGATGACAGCTCTCTTCCTTTCTCGCTCACCCCTCGACCAATGAGCTCCTCGATGGCGAACCAGGAGCAGAATGGTGCCGGTTGATACCGCCGCGAGGGAAGCTGACCGGACACACTGAAACCAGGACAAGGTTGATGACCTTGCTCCCACAAGCAGACACACACACAAAGACTCGGTACCGCACAACAAGCGGGTGAATAAGCAAAGCGTCATAATAGCTCAACAGCTCAACATGAATAGGACTCTGGCCTTGGCCTATGGAGCCATCCAACGGGAATAATAAATCGGGACCCCCCTCACTCACATACAGTGTCGTCACCTCCGTGCCCGCCCGAGCTCAACACCCTCGAGAAATCCACCTCAGGTCTGAAGTGATATGGCAGCATCAATCAATTAAAAAAAAAGAAGTTCGTCTCAGGTTTAAAAAGGAATATACGTGGGCCCGCCCAACCGATCAGTCCAACAGCGATTAGCTGGGTAAGGGATCCTCATTCCGCACGGGAAGGGCTGAAGCCTGTGTCAGCATGCCCTGTGCCATGAGGGACGCCAAAGAGACATTGGAGGTAGGCATGTTATGGACGGTCGCTTGGGGGTGTCGCAAAGCCCCAAATGGATCAAGGCTGACAGCCATCTGAGGCCGGGGAGGTGCCACGGCTGCCGTGCGCCCGGGCAGAGCCTCAAAAGCCCCGGGCCTGGCTGGCCCTTCTAAAGGTCGCCAGCCTAGGCCAGCGGGCCTGGGGCGACCCACGGGCGCCGCATTCATAGCCGGGGCCACAGACGTCAGCTCGGACGGGTGGGTGGCTGTCGGTGCATCTTCGCTGCCTGCTGTGTGTGCGACTACGTAGGCAGGTGGCCGAGTCATGCCATCTATGCTGCTGCTCGCATACTGGGGCACAGGGCCCGGCAAACCAGCATCGAGTGGCGCCGGCTCGGCCTGCGGGCTTGCTGGGCCCAGCATGGCGACCGCCGCCGCCCGCGCCGCCGCACTCGCACTCGCGGAGCGACGCGAATTTGGACGATCCGTCTCCATCCCACTGCCATCCAGGATCCCATTGGTCCCAGCACTTGGGTCCAGCCCGGTGTCGACGCAGCCCGTGCCCAGATCGCCCGTATGACCAGCTACGCCGTCGCGCAAGGCCCCTTCGAGCTCACCGCCATCGTGCCCCATTGATGCGTTGGTGTTGATGGTGACATTGGGATCAGAAAGCCAGACCCGAATGGCCTCTTGCACCGCGTCCTGCGCGGAGTAATTGTGCTTGTCGTGCTTATCATAGGCGATTCGCAACGACTGCTGCACGCGCTGCGCATTGGCAGGATTCAGTCCAGGACTCAGTTTGGCAAACGCATCCTTTTGCACCAGTTTGGCAATCTCCACCGCCGTCCGTCCCGCCGTGTCTGCCGCCCTTGGATTGAGATTCATCTTGACGGCCTTGTCCACCACGGCACTAGGCAACCCCTTGAGGATGGTCGAGTCGGATTGCCGAATAGCGTTGGTGGCGGCCGTCATCAGTGACACGACACGACTCTGTCGCTCCGCCTCTGCCGTTTCCTGCTGGTGACCCTCCACCTTGCGCTGCAACTGCTTCTTGGCTTTGTTCTGCATGTTGGTGAGCAAAAACTCACCCGGCCGGATAATTGGCAGCTGTTCAATCTGCAATCGCACATTCGGATTGCGCGCATACGCCGAGTGCTGACGTGTCAAGCTCAGCATCTCGTGCCGCAGGACCAACGTAAGTGCCGGTGGCACGTCCCCAGAAAAGTCGGGGTCCGCCTCGCAAATGTGTTGACGCTCCCGTTTATCGCACAAGTAGCTATGGCACCCCAAGCACGCCACGGGCCAGACAATGAAGGTGCCGCCCATTCTCACACCAAAGCGCTCCACTCAAATCAACCACCCGCCCACTTACCGATACATGTTGCGGTGCTTGTTCCAAACATTCTTCTTGTCCTCCAAGTTGAGGACAGCGTTGACGCTATTGCCAATGATAAACTCCTGCCCGACACAAACGACAAGCACCATGGTGGTGAGAAGGATAAAAGCGCTGAGGCAAATCCACCAAAGGGGGCAGAGAAACATCACACTCTGGCACGCGCGCGCACACACACACACACACACACACACACACACACACACACAAGAAAAAGGCCTCGATCTCCACGCTAGAACGATGCACTGCACACCCCATTTCTTCAACGCGACGGAGGCAGTGGTCGAGACAGCTTATGGGGATCCCAGCCCAGATACGCACCGTATCACGATCAAAGGCAAGAGCCATCTCCGAATGCTGCCAGACTTTTGACTGTTTCACTCCGTCTGGAACCTGATCTCGCCACTGACGAAGCTGACCCGCTAGCTCTCCCATCACCTGTGGCGGGCAATACTGGCCCAAGGACAAGGCTCCGGTGGCTTCGCCCGTTGAGTTGGGCACCACGTGTTCGTATGTCCCTTCGGCAGGCAACACAGCTACATCCCATGATCGCCCGGTGAGCGCCATGACGCGAAGCGTCACGAGAACGCGCACATCAAAGAATCCACCGAGCAGGACACCGTCGAGATCACGACCAATGAGATCACAACCAACGTACTAGGTCCCTTGGCCGTTAATACAATGCGCACACCGTTGGCCAGAACGTGAGCCGTATGCGTGGGATCCAGCAGCTCTGGCAAGATGGAGCGTGGTGGCTCCTCGATGGGTGTAGGCTCAGCTGAAGCCTCGCTGCGTGGTGCTGGTCGAGTGAAACGAATGCGATTGTCCTCGGGCTCCAATGGCTTGGATTTGCCACGTCGGCAGGCGCCCTCGTCATCATCCAGTGTCGGCACAACGTCCAAACTGTTTTGTGCAACCTCCTAGTAATTGCAAATTGAGGAGCATTCGACGCCTTGAGAGGTACCAAGGGGCAACCAAAACAGAAAGAGGGCGGCGCGGCTGCTAAGGCAGATCAAGGTTGGGCTTATTGCAAGACAAGAGAATCAGGCCCTGGCCGAGTGCCAAGACAAAAAGAAAGATTCTCAAACTTGATGCACCATACCTGCAGGCCTTCCATATCAGACAGACTGGCTGTCGAGCGAGAACGAGCTACGCGCCCCGGCTCTCGAGTGCCCGACTTTTTGCGCGGCTTCTCGACACTGCTCTCCACCTTGGCTGGCTTGGGTGTCTTCTCTGGTGAGCCCCCGGCCTTGATCGCTTTTTCCGGCACCGCTGTGAAACAAGTCAGCGGGTAGCAGCGTACAATGACGAAAATCGCACATTTGAATCAGCAGCCAAAAGGATCAGAGGAGAAGGACCACGAGCGTACCGGAAGGTGGTGGTGTGGGCTCCTCGAGGCGGCGTTGCTCCTCCTCATGCTCCAAGCGTTCCTCTTGGCATGACTGAGTTCCCCGACATGGGAGCAGACGGTCAGTAAGAAGCATCGTCGACAGCCACAGGAGAGTGCGTGCAGAACGCATGTCGCATGATGGATGACGGTATGGAGACCAGGAACATTGCACAGTGCCGCCACAGAGCATGAGCCCCACCTTGCCATTGGCTCCCATCATGCCCTCCATAAGGACCCAGGCCCGAATGGAAAGCTCGGCCATTTCGAAGACAGTGCCTTGCATCTCGCTTTGCCCACCAACAACAAAGCGCTTGGCTCCGTGCTTGATGAGAAGCGTGATCAATTCAAGATCATCTTTTACTATTGAGGACAATGTGGCCATGGCAGTTGAAGCAAACGGTTAGCCACAGCACCCGGCAACCTGCGCCGCTGACGACACAACGTCTCTGAACAGAGCCGCCACCAGAGCACGCGCCGTTTGCGAGACCAACGTACAAACAGCCAAGTGCAGCGGTGTCAGCTGGAAAGGACCCGATCGCTCATTCACCTCGGCACCTAGTCACAAGAGACAGTTTTCCAGTCAGGTCAAGTGGGCACAAAAAAAATAAAATTAAATAAAATTAACCACAGAACCCCCCCTTCATTCAGTTGCTGATGCTTGATTGTGTGCACTTGTGGATGCTGTATTGTCTGGCCGGCATGGAAGTGTTCGACGTACCAATCTCCAGGAGGTATTTTGCGATGTGCGTGTGCTGATTAAAAACGGCAATGCCGAGAGGAGTTTGACGATCATGGGTGCGAGAATTGGGCGCCACGCGATCAATCTCGATCGAATGCTTCACCTATTGAGATCCCGAGGGCATCCAAGTCGGCAGCAGGAAAAGTACGAATGAGACTTGTCCGTGATGTGCCGACACAAACAAGGTTGGCTTGAACGAGGTCCTTGAGGCGCCGTGTGGGGGAAAGCTGCGAAGTGTCATACGTCATCCAAACTGCCAGCTTCACAGGCACGATGCAGAGCCTGCTCCTTGTGTACATCACTAATGTTGATGCGATGTCCCGTGCTTCGACCCTCTTGCATCATACTGCCGAGATGATCCGGTGAGAAGAGGGGCGATCGAGGATGGGGAGGTGGCAGGGCAGGACGAGCAAAGCCAGCGCGGGGTAGGCACGTACACCAGGGATTGATGGACCACAGTTTCGGCACTTTCCATGCATGCGCCCAAGACCCGACGAATGTCATTGCGATTGAGCGGAACCAGACCACGAACTGTGTTCTCATTGTGCATGACTCGTTGAAGAAGCGCGCGGGGTCGCTGACATCCCCGACAGCCATGGGCAGGATCAAATGAGCAAGGTGATGTGGCACGGACCACGCGCGACATGTGGTGGAGTCAAGCGCACGAACAAGAACAAAGAACAGGGGTGACATTTAAAAATGCCTCAAAAAAAAAAAAAAAGAAATCAAGACAGCAGTTGGCTTGCGTGGCAGAGCAGGGCACAGAACCAGCAGAGAAAACAAGCCACATTCAATCCCTCAACACATTGCTTTCAACAATAAGAAGGTGGGGTAGAAGGAAAAGGGGCAACACTTGTGGCGAGCGAGATGCAGCAAAAGGGAGGAGCCAAACGGCAACGGGGCCTACCTCAAAAAGGGAAAGCATGGACTTGTCAATCTCGTGTTGGAGGCAGGCCATTTCACGTTCCCACACGGACATTTTGGGAGACTTTGGCACACTGGAGCGACGATTCCGAGGTTTTGACTTGCTGCCAGGCGTGGTGGCGTTGCTGCCATGGCTGGGAGTGCTCTCAGCGGGACTGGCAGCTGGGGCACTCGGCGTCGTGGGGTTGGAGATGCTGGGCCGCCGCGATCGGCGGTCCTTACCGGACGGCTTATCAGCCTTGGCCTTTTTGGGTTTGGAAGCTGCCTTGGTTGCTCCAGGCTGATGGTGGTTGAGGTGAGAGGAGGTGGTCGTTGGGATTGGTGCCGGATTTCCTTCTGGGGTGATCGTTGTGGAAGTTGTGCTGGGAATTGGAGTGGTGGAGGGAGGAGCCGGGGCGGGCGCGGCCGGGGCCGTGGCAGGGGCCGCCCGTTTGGCAGGGGGTTCGCCGTTGCTCGACGAGGGCGCCGTGATGTGGGGAGGTGCGGAGGGGGGTGGCAGGTGAGGGCTTTCAGCTGGTACGTGGTTGGGGGGTCTCGTGGTGTCGAGAGCGTAGACGAGGGGTTCATGGTCTTGTTGCTGATTATCGAGATGCGAGGTGGCGTCGGCGGTGACCACATCCACCGGTCCGGCAGCAGGCGAGACGGGGGCAGATGGGTGCGAGGAGGTCATGGATGACGGTTGTGAGGCAGGCAAAGCCTGTTGTTGTTTCTCTTGGATGGGTGCGTGTGGTTGTGCAGGGGCGATGAGAGGTGCCGAGGGGTGATGGATGGGCGCCGATGGCGGCTCAACGGCTGCCGTGCTGCCGGGATGCACCTCCATCACGACAGTTTGACCGGCGCCAAGAAAGCAGAAGCGGAGCGCATGGATTTGGCGTATCACAGAACACCCCGAAAAGGCCGTATCTCCACCCCAACGTACGGCAAGGCCAAGACCGTGCAAAAGTAGAGGTGGAGGTGGAGGTGGAGGTGGAGGTGGAGGTGGAGGTCACAGAGCCAAAGTGCGAGCCAGGAGGGAAGGACGCTCCACCAAGAAGGTAAGGTGGTGGCTTGATCGCCCAAGGCGAGAGACGCCGAGTCGCACAGTGAAGAGGAGACAATCAGGGCCAAGAACCCAAATTCTCCCCCCTCCCTTCCCTGCTCCCAGCGCCGTCCCTCTCTATACCTCTCTGTCTCCCGCCCAGTGCCTCCGACGACCCCGTATGCTCAACAGCCGAACAAGCGACACGGCACACACACACACACACACACACACAGAGTAAACGCGCCAGAGAGAGAGAGAGAGCAGAGAGTGCACAGAGAGCAGAGAGCAAACAGAGAGACACCGGCGACCAGGGCCTGTGTGAGAGAGGCGAAGAGATCAAGACAAACATGAAGAGAATCAAGAGGAGAACGTATAGGAAACCAGAGGCAGGCACACACACAACAGAGTTACAAGAGACTTTCAGTAGTCTTACAAAGAAAAAGAGAGAAAGAGAGAAGCGATGAACAAAAGAAGATCCCTTCTTTATGTGTGAGTAAGAGAGAGACAGCAGGCTCTCTAAATAATTTCTCTCTCTCTAAATCTCTCTCTCTCTCTCTCAAAATCTCTCTCTCTCTCTCTCTCTCAAAATCTCTCTCTCGAAATCTCGCTCTCGAAATCTCTCTCTCTCTCTCTAAGTTTCTCTCTCTCTGGACTGCCTCTCTACTGTACGAAGCGGATTTAGGTCAAGGCCAAATGGTGTAGTTGGTGCGTGTGGTGAGGGCCTGAGGATGGCAAACAGGAGGCGCTTGAAGAGAATGGATGGCTGATATTGGTGCGTGTAGGGGACGCCCCCGCTTAGGTGCGCATCACTGGGCCAGCGAGTGGCAGCGCTCTCAGGCGTCATCATGACGGACGAATTTGTGAATGTGCGTCGCGCACTCTGCGCACTCGGTCTGATTCTCTGCTACGCTGACGCCCCAATCCCACACGACAACACTGCTGCACTTGTATCCCTGTTCTTTGATGCTCCCTTGGCTTCGGCGTGCGCGTCGTGATTCTGAGGGCTGCTCCCGAAGGACACCGCGTGACAAGCCGCACAACACATCAGAAAGGATTCGTAGGAGAGATCGAGCTGCAGACCCGGTTTCTTGAGTCAAATGTGTCTGCAAGCGGACCAGAGAGAAGAAAAAAAAAGAAAAAAAAGGAGGAATGTCAATCAGACATCAACCCCCCATGAATGGTGGCCGACTGTTTTAGGTGGCTTTGATCTTGTCGGACTGGGGGCCGGGCTTGAGGTAGCGACGGGCGAAAAAGTCGGCAAAAAGGTAAAAGTAGGAGGCATACATGATCAGCGCGCCCCAGGCCGATTCGGGGCGGACTGAGTTGCACACAGTCAGGCGGTACGAAGCAATGTAGGTGCCAACGACCATCTGCAAGATTTGCAAGGAGGTGATCCATATGTCGCCTACCGGGCGATAGCCCAGTGCACGCGCTGCGTAGTAGGCTGCCCAGGTCGACCGTGTTAGGTGAGCTCAATCAGTGCGTCAGAAAAAATAACAAAAGGCGCCGGGCATGTGCATGGTAAGCGACGCGAGGGACGCACAGTACATGATGATGTGAACCAAGCTATTCATGGCGGCAAAGATGATGCCTTCAGTGCCCTGATTGTACTTGGGCTCGTAGAGAATGTTCCAGCAGTAGAGCATGACGGTCAGATGATGCCACCTAGTCACCAATCATGTCAAGCCGAGGTGACCCAAGTCCAACGACCAACAACCCTGACCCGGTCTGGGCCACGAACAAGCACGGGAGGACACACATCGACAACGACCACATACCAGTGCAAAGTGATGACCGGTCTTTTCTTGAGAACGAGAAAGAGGGTGTCGCCCATTTCGGGGATTTTACTGAGGGCAAAGGCAAAGATGGCCATGCTCGTCGGGCCCTGATGGCCCTCGGGCAAAAGATGACAGGTTTCGGGCATGATGGTACCGTTCAAGGCGTGCTGCACGGTGGTGGGGGCAGTGTAGTAAAAGGCGTAGACATTGAAGATGACGAGCAGAATATTCCATAGCACCAGCGGCATCTTCAGCTTGAAGGGCGCGCGGTTGGCCATGAGTTGGCGAAGTCCAAAGATCACGGGCAGGTACAGCATGGCTGCACCGGTCATGTACCAGAACAAACGGTCCAAGAGCTACCGGGCCATGTCATGGGAACATGGGGCTGGGGTGAGTGGGGTCGGAATATGATAACAAGCCACCGTCCGCATTGAACCTGAAAGCGCAAACGGGTCGTATAGGGAACTGAATCGCTGGTGCACATGCCCAGCCAGGTTTCTGGCACTTTCTCGCGGCCAGGGCCTCACCTGTTCACCGTCAACGGCCAGGCGCCATTGGGACACGGTTCGCTCGTACCATGCCGGCAGCTGTACAAAGCCCAGCGGGTAAGTGCAAGGCTGCAAGGAGGACCAACCCTGCCCATAGTCGATAATCTAATTGGAAACCCCTTGCGGCGTAGCGTACCCCAAAAAGGGCCCCGTTGACGTAGGGCGCGACAAAGGTATCCATGTCGCTCAGGAAAGGAAGAAGAAGCCGAGCAGCGCTGGCCAGAGCAGCAGAGACAAGAGACTACACTTGGCGGCAAGCCGTTTCACAAGCAGATGAGAAGGCGGGGCGGGGCGATTGACACAGCAGCCCTAGTTTGTTGGCACAGCGTCTGCGAGCCTTGTTCAATACACAACAATTGGAACAGGCAGGCTGGGCCACCGAACCCAGGCGAGTTTGCCCAAATGCACGTGCCCAAACCAATGCTGTCGTCCCCGATTCCCCTCGAGTGCCACCACACACTCGAATGCATATTACGTCCTGCTCACCCTATGCTGCTCCCCCGGATGTCCGCGCACCCACCCACACGTACACATCCTCTCTCCCTCTTCATCGGGCTTCACCCCTGCCGACCGCCATCTACTCCCAGCCCACTGTTGCTGCGAATCCAAACACCGCATGACATCTGCACGCACCCGTAGTGTGGTGAGTCCTGTCCACAAGCACAAAATGTCCACAAACACTCTTCTCTGTTTGTGTGTGTCTCTCTCTTGTCCTCTCTTCTCTTCTCTCTCTCTCTCTCTCTCTCTCATTCATTTCTCTATTTTCTCTCTTTCTCAGACCGACCAAACCAATTCATTTCTCTCCTCTCTTCTCTCCCTCTCTAAAAAGAAATTGATCTTGTCCGCAGTTGACAGAATTGTGTCATGTAAATGTGGCAAATGTGGCATGCAGTCACATGTTCCTCAATTCGATGGTTGTAGACCAACAAAGTGCCACGCAGGCAGAAGTATCATTTGTCAGATATTTGGCATCATCGATTTCAACGTCGGTCGCGCACCAAAGGGGTCGGACGGAGTTGCATCGGATGGCGGTTGTTCTAAAGGATCGGAGAATGCTCAGCATCTTCACCACCTCAAGAAGAGGAGGTGCCACCTTGCTTAATCAGCGACGCTCTCGTCAACCTGCCAGTCAAAGTTGTAGGACGGTGCGTCGCTGTAGTCGCATATCTCCTGGTTGCGATTATACCGCCACATCTTGTGCTCGGTAAAACGGCGGATTTTAGCTCGAAGGCCCTATGCAGGCACACAAAAATGGTCAACAAAGCACCACGCTTTCGCCCAGGCCCCGCCCGCCTGACGATCCTGCAAAAGCCGGGTCTACATTCCCCCGCAAAGCCTGCTAGGCGCCTACCTTGACCCAGTTGTTGTGGAGCAGCACGAGTTGCGGTTGCTCCACAGCAATGTCTGCAAGGCCCCAAAAGCCGCCCACAGCACCTGCCGGAAAGCGCTGCCGGTCCAAAAACTCCACTTCCAGCACAGCCTGTGTGGGAAAGACGTTGCGCGGCGGTGTATACAAACACTTGTCGTCCCCCTGCGTCGTAGCACCCTCCTTGCCTCCGCACAGGATAATGTAAAAGCTTGGCTGCTCCGTCATTGTGGACGTGGCAGCGTGTGCAACCACCTGCTCCATGGCCACAATCGCCATGGGTGTGGCGCGCACGCGGTAAAAGCCTGCCACATTCAAACTGGGTTAGTTGCTATCCCTTTTGCGGCCCACCCCTCGACAACGGCCGCTGTGGCCAAAGAGATTCGAAGCAAGCCACCGAAAAACTGACCCGAATTGATGCGGAGGGGCCCATTTGCGGCCACTTCCTCGGGCCACGGTGCATTGCTTTGTACCACGAAATCACTATCGCGCGTGCACAACGCAACAAACTTAACATGAAGGTTTTTCATCTCATCAAAGAGGACAAAGCAAGCCCCGCGCACATTCGACGACCACCCGTCCGGGACACACCCACCTCTTCATGTCGGCCAAGATGGGCAAGGGATTCTGAAACCAAAAGATATCCGTGTCTAACAAGCGGCCAAAGAGAAACACCAGCTTGAGACGCCCCGCAACCTCAGGCGCAAGCAGTTGGCCGCCAGTCAAAGTCAGCGCCTCACCTGTCCATGTGACATCGTAGCCCAGTTTCAAAATTTGCAGGACGACCTGAGACTTGAGCTTGGTCACCTACACCCATCAAAGCACACAGCAGTCAAAGTCAGCACCACCAGCCTCGACGCACACGTGCTCAAAAACTCACGCTGACCACCCCAACACGTACACACACATACACACACCTTTTTGAAGTGCTGTGAGCCATACTCCAGGTCATGCGATGTCAGTCCGGATATGTCCGAGGCTTGGTAGAAGAACACGGGTAGTCCCATGCGAAACCCAAACCGATACATGTCCTGTTCGATTTCAGGTGCTGGACGTGAGTGCGGAGGGCTCAATGTGTCCCAGGCGGTCGCTCGTGCCAAACTCTGCACCGGGTGCTGGTTGACCCAGTCGCCGTACCTCGTCAAACGCGGCAATGACAAGTTGATCATAAATACCCAGCTTGCGAAGTTGGCAGACAAAGTTCATGACAACATCGCGATACGCATAGCTGGCCCCAGTCACCAAAACGTGATTGTCACGGGCAACTACAGGCAACAGGTCCCGCAAGGTAAACGGTAGTCCATAGGCAGGCGGATGACCCTCCTCCGTCTACAAGAGCATTTGCCAGTGCCATATTAGCCGCCACCTCTCATTCCTGAGCCATCTTGGAGAGGGCGCGATGCTGGGAACGCACCTTGACGGGAATGTCAAACTTCTCGCGCTTATCAATGCTGATGCTAGCGCACTTGACTAGGTTTTTCTTGCGATCGTTCTCAAAGACCTCGACAATCTTCAGCCGACCCAAATCAACATGATGTAGGCATCACCGTGAGCTCTCAAACATTCTCGGGCATGAAGCGAGAGGCTGCATTAGCAAATTGACAGGCCTCACCTCGGGATCATTCTGGGTATTGAGCGCAAAGGCATTGTGCTCGCAGGGACATAACCCGGGGCGCAAGCGCTTGAGCAGACACATGCCCCCTGGTTCCATGCAGGACACTAGCTTCCAAGGAGCATGTAGTGTGGTGCCATCCTGATTGCGATATGAGCCATAGGTCAACGCTAAATGGGCGTTGTGAAAGATCTGCGCCACAGGACCCATTACCCAGAGGCACATGAATTGAGCATGGCGTGCAAGAGCAAGACAAAAGATTGCGTTCACACTGGGCCAGGGACAAGAGCTCGTACCATCCAATCTGACGTCTTGGATTTCATCCAAAAGGTGCCACCGCCCGTGTTGCGCTGAACGACGCCACTGGCACTTGTATAGTCGTGCTGTACGTGAACGGCAACGACCGACTAGGTGACGAAAAAGACAGACAGGAAGGGAAGACTGAGGCAAGCATGGCGCTCCATCACAACGTGCCCGTCTTGCAATTGGCAAAGGTTGATGGTGGCACCAAGTTTCAGACCTCGGTCGTGTCGACGACGTCGCGATAGCCAGCTTGAATCACTTCGTGCACAAACCAGTTGTCAAACTTGCTTTTGCCTGTCATGTGGGTAACATCGTACCGAGGCGTAAGCTGTCAGAAAAAAAAAAAAAAGAGAGACAGACAGAGACAGACACAGACACAGAGAGGAGAAGAAGGGTTTGTTTGGCGAATTGGTCCGGGAAACGTGTCAAAGCACTTCACCCGACCTCGAATAAAAGGAGGCATGATGCCATGAAAAAGACGCTTGCCCGAATTGCTCCAAACAAAATAATCCTGACCCACGGCCCGAGTCATTTGTGGTGGGTGATTGGTGAACGCAAATCTCAAAGACGCCAGCCGACCCAACCAAGATGGACACAAGCATACCAGACCACCAGCTGTGTGCAACGTGCCCTTGGTCTTGACGTAACCCATGAAGGCTGCCTCATTAAAGTCGGGACGTGCGGGCTCATACATTGGAGGCAACTCGTCGAGGTCGTATCTACAACCAACAAGACGGGGTGGGCCGTGTCAAGGGAATGGGACGCGGAACATTGAACGCCCACTGCAGAGCCTAAGCATGATGTATAGATGCTTTGGTCGAGCGTACCGAGCGCCTGTGATAAACCAGTCGGTAAACTGGGAGCGGACTTTGGCGATGGCATCGGGTAGGCTCTGAGTAAGGAGAATGTCGCTATTGACAATCACGCTCACGTCTGTGTCCCACTCGCTGGCCAAGTGGACCAAGGAGCCAGCCAGAGGCAGCATCTCTAAGCACACAAACACACGCGATACGCAAAGAGACCGTGTGAGATGACCGTGATGCCAAATCTGCAATCGCGGTGTGCGTCCTCGGCCAGTGTGGATAGTTTACGTACTAAAGTTCATGTCAAGATGGCGGGAGATAACGCAGCCAAATTCGGCCGCCACGTCTTCGTACCCAGCACCGTAGCCGACCAGAACAATCTCGGGTTTGGGTTCTAGCTTAACCCAGGACTCGATAGCTCGGCGCTAGAAGAAAAAAAAAAAACACGCAACAACACCATCATGCAAGAAAAAGAAGCATGTAGCTCAATGTGAGAACGGGCAGGTCAATGTGAGAAACGTCAGTATGCTGAGATCGAATGTTTGCGCTTGGTGCCGCCCCCCTTTCTTTTGAGCAGGAAGGGGGGGGGCGTGACCGAGAAGGCAAACACGGGTCGGCCAGAGCGTGCGAGAGGAAGCGCTGGATGTGATGCTTGCAAACAGATACCTGGATGCGCGCGGGAATTCCATCGAACCCTTGTGGAGTAATGAAGATGGTCCAGCGAAAGTTATAATCCCAGCCCTGGTGGCTTGCGGGAGCACCAGACCAAGGCGCCAGAGCCCGACGGCCAACGGCACTCGTGCCACGAGCCGAAGACCACCCGACTGGCACTGCACCCAAGTAGATTGCTGCACAGGCTAGCGCCAGCAGAATTGCAACGGCGCCGACCGTGGGCCGACAGCTGCGGCGTGACATAATGTCGACTCGCTTGCGGCATACAAACACTGCAAGGCAGCTAAAGTTTTGTTCACGTCACTCGCGCTCGCGGAAACGGTAGCTCGCCCGAATGAACCGACGAGAAAAAAAAACCCCAAGACTTGGTCAAAAGATGCTGAAAGGGCAGGTGGGTGGCTATTCAATATAAGGTGACTGCCTTGCTATTTACGGCGGGAGACGGGGGAGTACGGCTTGTTCTGGCCTTGGTTCAGAAAGTCAGGCAAATCAGCGGGCAGCCAGCTGCTCGGGCAGGCACTCGAGAAAAAGGAGCAGAAGCGAGGGCATGCACACAACCCAACATTGCGCGCTTGCCGTGTGTGCAAATCTTTGCTAGCGCGCAAACCTTTCTGTGTTGGGGTCAAGGCGCGCATGAAAGGGATGTATTGCCTCTCACTTCTTGAATTAAGTATGGCCAAAGTTTTGTGCATGCATGCAATCTTTGCTTGTTAGCCGTCAATGTAGGACAAGATCTTGTCGCCGCGTTTTATCGTCGGTTGATGATGGCAAAGAGGGGATCACCACACACGTTACATGCTATCTGGTGTATCGAGTACCTGGGCGGGCCGGAGGAGGTCGTGCACTGAGGACACGAGGGCCACAAGAGCAGGAAACCCGGGATCCAGCAGAATTCCGGGCAAGGCAGCTGCTAAAGCGGCCGGATCCTCCACCGGCGGCGCACAACCAGGATCGCGACGCAACCACTCGAAAATTTGTTCGTGTTCGGTGGTCCAGCGCAAGGTTGGGGCGGCATGGCTGGGAGAGGTATTGGTGGCCACGGTTGTCCGCATCAACGCCATTCTATCACAACCATCAGCAAACTGGCCCTCGGTGCTGTCACAGCTCGGACGACCAAGCGCGAGGCGGCGGCAAGGGCCTCGAGGCACGGCGGCTGCCAGCCCCGGCTGGACCAGAAGCTGACCTTCGGGCTCTGCCGATTCCGACAATGTTGAAGCTGGAGACGTCGCAAGAAGCACGGGACTGGCAGGTGCTGGCACTGACGCCTCTCTAGGCAGGGGCACGGGAGCGGTGTGCGTAGCGATTGCCATTGGATGTTGCGTGCGGCTAGATATGGAAGATGGAGCCGTGTTGACCCAGGGCGGCGAAGCAATCTGGGTGCATGTTGGTCGCTCCATGTTGGAGTCCCGCGACAGCGACAGGGCCGTTGTTGGTAGAGTTGGGTGAGCCATGTTTGAGCCGGGCAGTCTGCCATACCCCCACCAAACCAGCACCAATCGATGATGAGCAAGGTGGGTCAGCTGATTCAGCGGGCATTGGCTCAAGAGCAATGCGATCGAGGCGACAGCAAGGTTTGGAACCTGAAGCCTGGGTGGAACGTCACGCTGGTAGTCGTCGCCCCTGCGCCGAGCGCTGGCACGTTTGGGTAGTACTCAAAGATGTATTCGATTCTGCCGCCGTGCGCACGTGCAGGGCGCCCGCGCCGCCAATGACAGGTGAGGCCCCACCTGTCGATTCGATGTGTGGGATGTGCACCATCAGGACCGAGTCGGATGCAGACACACACCAACTTGGTCGACGCTTGGGCCGAGCTTTGCGCCACTCGGGAGGACCGTGGCGGTGCAGGATAGATCTTCTTTTGTACCTCGTTTGCTGCGCCTACGTCAAAGAAGAATACAATTCATGAAACTTAGAGGCAAAGTAAAATAGCCGACGGACCCAGTCAGCAACAAACGCCTCTCATCACTCCGCATCTACCTCCCCATCGCCATGCCGCTGCCGGTTCTTTTTTCCCCTTTCTTGGCTTCTTTGCCTGGTTTTAACCTTTTTGTGGGTTTTGACGTCGACGAGCAAAAGGGCCGGGACACAAATTTGTCGACAAATCGTCCATCAAAAAGCGCGGGAAATTTTTAAAGTGTGAAATAATGCGTCATTTTAGGAGGGATGCTCGACTCGTGTGCAGCTGCCACACCACACCTCGGCAGCATCCTGGCGTATCGAAACGAAAACGATGATGGCCCATGATCATCGTTCGTGCTCCGTCCCGCCATCATGCAGGGCCGACCGACCATTGTGTGAATAACCTCATTGCCAACATCTGTTGGCTTCTTACCAACCCCCTGGTTCTTATGATGAGGGTGCTGATGATCATCATTGTTCACGACACACAAGGAAATGCTGACATTGAAGCTGTCCGGCGTTTGCGTGTGCACATCAGAGCACGTGCATGTCACGGCAAGTGTCACGCTCTTTGGCACAATGAGCCGGGTGTTGGGTGTCTCGGGTGTCAAGCGCCCCGGTCGCTCGATGTTTAGACTAGGCAGGTGCATGTGAGAGGAGGTTGGAACTTTGTTATTCCTAACTGTAGAACTCAATTTCTTGAACTCGGCTAGCACATGAGACAAGTCAAGAGGGGCAAACGAAAGAAAAGTAAACGAAAACACTGGAAAGATTGTTCTACAAGTCAACGAGTGCCCGGCTAGCGGGAAGAGGAGGGGGAGAGGCGTTGGAGCAACAAGGCCCAACCGCCTGCGCCAGCCTCCTGAGTGTACACACATCGCAACAAGCATTCAAGTACGCAGTACTCAGCCGGACAAAGACTTGATGTTTTCTTCGCATCAAGAAACACAGCAACAAAAAAGATAAACAGAAAGAGTCGAATATAGTCACAGGAGAAGACCGCGGGCCCTTTATAAAAATGATCATCGATAAGAGTACAGCGACAAAACTAAAGGAAGGAACACAAAGTCATGCGACATGACTGCAAGCCCCGGCCCGCTTCGGGCAATGGCGAAGGGAGCCAAGGGGAGTTGGGATCGGTCAGGCCTTCAGTCGATGAAGATCAGCGCGGCAACTCAAGAAGGCAGGGCTCATCCTGCCACCATCGGACATGCCATCAAGAGGAGACGATACGTCGATCATCCACGGTTTTTCTTTAAGAGATGATAACGTGGCGATGCGGTGCCTGAGACTGCACGGAGTAGGCATGGGAGAGCTCAAAGTCCTCGGGGTCGTGGGCGCCGGGGCTATGCTGGTGGCCTTTGGCCTCGGTGAGGTCAAATGTGACGTGTGGCGCATGTGCCGGGTGATCGAGGTCGCAGTAGGACATGTCGCCCAGCGCCGAATCGCAGCTATGGGCCTCGTCGTGATCGACGCAGGTGGGTCGATAATGCGAGGGGCAGGGAACCTCCAAGGGGCTGCTGGTGTGCATCTCAAAGTCATCGAGCGGGTCGGCGTCCTCGTCGTCTGCCTCGCCATCGAGGTCGGATGTGTCGAGCAGCTCGCTGTCAAAGTCACTGATGGGGGTAGCGGCCAGCGCATCGACGTCAACGCCGGGGCGGAAAAAGGTATCCTGCAGCCCACGCCACATGCAGCGCTGCAAGAGCATCTTGCGAAGCGGAGTGTCTTCCTCGCGGGCGAGGGCAAAGTTCTTGTCGTAGGCCACCTGGACAAGTCCACCGAGGGTCTGATGAAAGGCGGGTGCCGAATTGCGGCGGGTGGGGATGGGACTGCGACTGGAGAAGGGCGCTGACGCGCGGCGGGAGCGGGGGCTCATGTTATTGGTGCTGTTGGTGACGGGTGAGGAGTGGCGGCGCAACGATGAAGAAATGACGGGCGCTGGATGATTAGAGTTATCCATGTCTTGTGAACGAGCCAGGGCGTTGTTGCAAGCAAAAGCAGATGACGCGGTGCCGGAAAGAAAAATTGGAGCGACTGCTCTTTGAGGTTTGGTGTTCTTTTGGAGGCAGCCGGCGAGTTGTTGGCGGGCTGCGGTTTTGTTCCGTGGGGCGCTGGGCCACTGAAGCACCACAGTTCAAGGTGGGTGCGGATGCCCTTTTGGCTAAAGCTGTGGTCCAAGTCGTGGTTGAGGTTGGTCCAACGTTGGTCAAAATGGTGTTGTTTCTCAAGGTCAATGTTCAGGGTGTTATCGAGGAGCGGGGCGAGTCGTAAAATGCCACCTCTCCCGTGCCATCCACCACTTCCACTCTCTCTCTCTCTCTTTTTCTCTCTTTCTCTCTTTCTCTCTCTTTCTCTCTTTTCTCTCTCTCTTTTGTTTCTTCTTGTTTTTCTTTTGTTTTGGTACTTTGCCTCTTTTGTCATGCTTGTAAGCCAACGTAGGGTCGGGTAACATTGAGAATCATCATCATCATCATCATCACACGGCTCATCCTCAACTCTCTCTCTGGTTGTCAGATGAAACCAAACTCTGCTGTGTGTGTTGTGTTTCTGTGTGTTTCTGTGTGTGTGTGTGTGTGTGTGCTTGGTCTCGAGTTGTGCGACACGCGACGTGCAGAGGGCCCAAACTCGTTCACCCCTGCTTGGGGGTTGGGGGACAATGGGAAAAGGGGGCCAAACTGCGGGACCGAGACTGGAATGCTTGGTGTCGCTGCCCATGATCCCCACGACACGGCGAGTTCAGGCGAGGGATTGCTCCTGGTGCGGGCTGCGCCGGGCCGTCCGCCCGCCTGGCACATAAAGTCCGCGACGCTGCGCACGTCCACGTCTACGTATCAGGGGCAGGATCGTGATCTCAGCCTTTGTTGACGTGTCGACGGCGCTTCCGAGGCCCTTGTCCCATCACGGCAGCACCAAGGGAATGGGAAAGGGTGAGCAGGACAAGCGAACAGACCAGTTTACAGCCAAACACCAAAACATGTCCCAAGTGCCCCCAAAAGCCCAAGAACGATGCCGCTCGCCATCACATGCGTTCTCACCTCCGGGCGTCCATTGAGGGTACGAACCTGCTCCCTTGCTGCTGCTGGGGTAAGAGCAACCCCGACCTGGTGGCGGGCGTCAAGCTTGACTGCACGCCCACCAACCCGAGTCGACTCTGCGGGGCGGGCTATGGGTAATCTTGTGGGGGAACGGTCTGTATCTGGATCGTGGTGATTGTGAGTGACGCGGCAGGGTCCATGGGGAGTGGCTGGGTGGCCATGGGCGCGCCCTGAACCACGATGCGTGCCTCTGCAGCTCGCGCGAGCGACACAGGGTTGGTTGATGGGTTGTGCGGACTCTACCACGCTGCAGGACTCTTTCTGGCCCTCAACCCCTGAGCCTCCCGACGCACTTGGCGCAATGACGCCCAAGCTTGATCCCTCGGTCTCTAGAATGCGCTTCCACCTGACGACCTCGGGCCGTGTGTTTGGCGACGAAAGATCGACACGATGCCGCGAGCCGGCAGCGGTGTGCTCTTCTGAAGAAGAAACCATGACGCCCGGCTTTTTGGCCCCAGGCAGTATGCATCACCCCACCACACCCCTGGTATGGGCGCTGTGAGCCGACCTTCCCCGCTTTTGAAATCGGTTCGAGTTTTCGCGTGTGTGTTTGGCTTGTTCTTTTGCCTGTGCAGAAATCAGTCAGGGGGACTAGGTGTGGAATAGGGCACCGTAGACGTCAACAAGCATCCTTACAAGAGAAGTTTTGTCCACCTTATGGTCCAAGCCAACAAACAGAGGTAATGGTAATAAACAACACGATGAATGAACGTGTATCTGATGGTGATCATCTCCCTGAACCACTGCGCTTGCGCCTCGCAGTCTTGATTCGTCTTTGGGTAAATCCCCATCACACCCATTGAGTGTGCCTGTTCGCACACATGTCCACACTCAAAAGAGCATGGAGCATGGAGATGTCAGTCAGTTCGTGAAGGCGCCGTTGGAGATGCTTGATCACCGTCGTCGCGATGATGATGATTGCTTTTCTCCCTTGACTCGCTTGTCAAACCCTCTTCCAGTTCGCCCTGCGCATCATGTCCTTCTGCGTCGCACCTGTCCGCTCAAGACCCGTGTGTGGCCGTTGATCACCGCTCTGCTGCGACGCATGATAACAAAAACGCGGAGAACGCTCGAGACATGCTGACGAGGGAGGAAGAGCAAAGGAGGAGCGTGTCACGAGACAGGCCGCCTTGACGCTGTGTGTGTGCGACAGCGCCTGTATTTGACAGGTCATGTGAGGACCTGCCCGTCAAGCACAACGCGCGCTCGCGCGCGCGCGCGCCATCTCCCTGCCATTTGCTCGAACGCTCACAGGTGCGACCATCGAGCATCACCCCAAGCCGTGCCAGATCGGCAGCTCCCAAACACTCGATCCCAAGACTCGTGATCCCCAGACGAGGCCCTTCCCCAACACACAAATGGGTGCCGCCCATAGCGTACGCACAAGTCGCCAGCAACATCCCCAGCCGCATACCATCTGTGCAGGCTTTTGCCGACAACACGGTCGCCGCCCTTTCTATGACAATTGACACCCAGATGTTCAAAAACAAATCTACTGGAATCGTACTTCCACTACGACAAGCATCCATCCGGATGTAGATCAGATTCATGCTGCGCGCTCGCATACGCACACGATTCGCCGGCCTCGAAACGTACAACTCGCCCCATAACCTTAGCCCTGACACTCTTGTCCGCACCTCATGCAAGAACCCATAGGCAGACTGCAATGCCTTGCCCATGCACATTCACACTGGCGCGTTCCACTTTAAAGAAACAATCGATCCCTGGTGTTGCTTTGTCTGCGACCACAGCCACCATAACATCGCCCAGCATCAAATGTCATGTTGCCTCGGTTCGAAACGTGCGTGCGTCACCACCATGATCGGCGTTGAATCGATCACCGACCCCAATGTCTTTTGACATGAGCCGATTGACCATGTGTGCTTGTCCAGTTTTTTTTTTTTTTCTTTGTAATTTCAAATTTGAGTCACGTGTGACGCATCTGAAAGAGTTGTCCCTCACGCTGGTTCATCGGCGCACGGGTCACAACACTTGGCACAATCTGAACAACGAATTGGGCAAAGCATCATCAGACCCATCCATCGTGACGGGACCATAGACCGTGTGCCAACAGACTGTTATTATCGACACAAACACTCGCATTCACCGTTTGCACTATGAAACATGAACAGCATTGCTCTGGCACATTCACATGTCGCCGCACGCGCAGCGTGCAGGGGCCAAATCCAGTCTACAATGCACAAAAACATGTACAACGTGCCTCCCTTCACACCGCCGTGGATGCCCACGTCGCTGCAGCTACGAGGTCATGGAATTGGCAATGGCCACGGTGCAGCGGGTCAAGGCTCGTGGATCTGCCTTGAGCAGCTCATCGACTAACACGGTCTTCCAGGCACGTAGTCCCTGAATTTCTGTCGTCATGTCACTCACCCTATGCAAACAAACAAAAAACCAAGAACAAAAAAAATGAACGCATAAAGTGGCAGTGCACGCCTTCTCCAGTTTAATGCGCACCCAAGCAAGGCCTCTGCAACGCACCGATCGCGAAGATGGGATATTTCCTCGGTCATGCGCTCCTTGTCCCCGTGCAAGAGCTTGAGTTGCTGTTGAAACTTAAAGTTCTCATCCTCCAGCCCGTCCAGTCGATCGTGCAACTCGGACTGCGTCATGCTACGCTGGCGCAACTCGTCCAGCTCTTGCATGGCTTCGGCATAGCGCTTCTTCATGCTGGCAACGCCAGTGGCATTGCGGGCCTCTTGCAACTTCTCCTCCAAAGCAGCCTTTTCCTGGATATGGCGTGCCTCAGCCGCCTCGAGCTGTCTTACCCGCTCCTGTAGCTCATCCACCTGTGAATGCAGCTGGGCCTTGCTGCCCCCGCCTCGCATGCCCGGGAGATGGCGCTTCTTCTTGCCGGCCGCCGCCTCGCTGGCGCCAGCGCCGTCCCCCATCTCGGCCTCGTGCAGGTTTTCCTGGGAGGCGCTATGTGGGAGACCTGTCGCCCGCCCCAAAGCCGAAGTCAACCCTGGCTTGCGCGCTGCACTACGACCGGCACGTGAGGGCACAGTCTCCGCCATCTGCTTGGCCTTGGCTCGGCTGTCGTGATAGCTGATGAGCGGAAACCAGCCGTTGCTGGCGTTGGTGCTTGCAATGGCGTCAAGTGGGAATAAAATGCATCCCAAGACTTCGTTGGCCTTGAGCCGTCCACTATCCCACACTGAAATTTCCAGAGCCGTGTCTTGGTCCACACTGTAGGTTCGCGCTACCGGTATTTTGAACCGCTGCTCGAAGATGGGGTCGTGCTGCTTCTTCACCACCCGTGTCTTTTGTTTACTGGCCCGCACCGAACGGCCCTGACTCAGAAGGTACAGCTTCACGTACGTGTCGCCTGAGGACAGGTGCCGCGCTTCGTTAACGGTCACCATGATCCAGCCCAGATACTTGACGTCGTTGTCATCCGCTGGCTCAAACCAGAGGTTGACATTGACCTCGCCTGCAGAACAAAGGTCAAGTGCGGGGCGTCGCGTGGTGAGCCGGCCAGACCATGCACAAGGCTGTGCGCCACGCGCTCCCACGTAACATGGGCCAAGCCGCGGCACTGGAATTGGGTCGGCGCTTTTGCTGCAAAGCAATCTCACCTTGAATAACGCCGTGTTGCACAACATTGCCCGACGTGATGGAGAGGAGCGAGTCGTTGCTGTTGGTGCGCCGCAGCCCCGCCACGCGATGATTGCTGGGCGTGGTCTCGCTCACACCGCCCGGCGGGTCTGTGATCCCTGAGCTAGTTGGCTGGCCGCGAGAAGCTGTGGCATTGGCCGTCGTGGACGAGGCGGAAGTCGTTGCTGCCAACCCGGAGGAAGGGTTGACGGCCTCTGCCTCGGGATTGAGGACACGCCCCGAGTCGGTACGCGTGATGGAGGATGTCGAGCGATTAGAGTCGCGTCGTGAGCGCGGATTGGAACGAACCTCCGGCCCGCCAAGCTTCTCGCAATTGGCGCGCCCGCGCTGGAACGGAAGGAGGCGAAACCAGCCCTCTGTGCGGGCAGACCTAATGGCGGACACAACCAAACAAACCCCATGTTCGGCGCGAGTGAAAAAGGAGGGTGTTAAAAATGCCAAAGGGATGAATCGTGGTGAATTCAGGAGGGGGTCATGGTTCATGCGTTTTGTGCCGCTTGGACCCATGCGTTTGTCGAACCATGCAGACCGCGGTTGTATAAAGGGTGAATGGACCTACATGAGGAGATCTGCCATGGAAAATGACATGGCGCCGTGACATTCGTTGGCTTTGAGGCGCGCGTGGTCCCAAAGCGAGATCTGCAGGCGATAGGCGGCCGGTTTGTGGTTCACTTCAGCGGGGACGGGCACCTCGAGCTCAATGGGAACGGGTAGGCCAGCCTTGCCGTGCTTGCTCTTGGTCTTGGTGTCCTTCATGTCCGTGCCGTTTCGGCTGATGTAAAATTTGACGTATGGTGCCTTGTTCTGAATCTCAACGGCATCGGTCACGGCCACGCGCAGCATGTTACCCTTTTTGTGTCCAGGGCGCTCTTCGTACACCAGCGAAAGGTGCAGCTGTCCAGAGATATTTTTGGCCGATACCACCTGATCCGGCGCGACGGAGATCATGGAGACGAGCGATTCGGACGAGACTGTGCGTTTCAAACCGCTGCTTTTGTCCGGTGTGCTGGCCACATGCGGTGGCTCATTGGCAAATGTTCCACTCATGACGGGGGCGGGGGCGGCAGTCAACCCGTTGTCTGTGCTGGCCTTGCTTTTAGATGAAGCCTTGGGCGTATGTTCTGGTTCGCCCTTTGGCTCAGCTTTGGGCAACACTTTGGGTAGGGTCCTAGATTCAGCCTTGGCCTCGACCTTGGGCTCGGGCTTGGGCTCGGGGTTGAGCTCGGGCTTGGATTCGGGCTTGGATTCGGGCTGGGGCTCGGTCTTGGGCCCTGCTGTCTTGGATCCTTCTGTCTTGGATCCTTCTGTCTTGGGCAAGGCCTTGGGCGTGAGCTCTGACTGAGCCCGGGATTCAGAGTCTGACATGTCTAAGATATCTGTGCGGATCATTGGAGCGACAGCCGTTGGAGGGACGGCCGTTGGAGGGACGGCCGTTGGAGAGACCCGTGCCGGCTGCTCCGTTTCTGCCTGAGAATCAGAGGGTGCATGGTCAAACGGATTGCTACGTTGGCTCGTCGCACTTTGAGGCACGGGAGTGGGATCTACATATGGAGAGACCCGCACAGAAGGACCACCGTGAGTAGCAGCATCACACACATCCCGAAACAGGGAGAAACGAGCCAGGCTCACAGCATCAGGTCAGGCGCACGCGCCGGGCAGGAAACGACTCTACCTGGGTCGACAGACGCATCCATGTCAAGCTCATCGGGCGGTTCGGACGCGGCAAGGCCGGCCTCAGCCCCGTCCTCGTCGTCTGGGTGTGGGTCATGCTTGACAACGGGTTGTGCAAAGCGATCAAAGGCAGCGGCTTGTGCCTCAAAGTCCTGGGCGGTCGACAGACTGGCGGGAACGGTGGCAGCGGCCAGTTTCTCCTCTTTGACGTCCGTGGTGTCCTTGTGCTTGCGGCCACCCACGAGACCCTTGAGCCCACGCCGGAAGGAGCCAGTGCTTTCTCGTTTGTCCTTGTCCTTGTCCCCCCGCGTGATGGAGTTGAGACTCTCAGAGGAGCCGCCATGCGAAGGTACCATGGTCTCGGCGATTTTACTCGGGGACAATGTGTCTTCCTTGCTCAGCAGGTTGTGTTGCTCGCGGCCCATCACCTCGGGCAGAAGTTGATACCAGCCCTGAAGGCGAGGCTCCGCCTGAATGTCGGGAACGGAGAAGGACATGCCGCCAATGCACGAGTTGCTACCGAGGTGGGATCGGTCCCACAAGGTGATTTGCACGCGCACTTGGGGCAGTTTCATGTTGGGTTTGAGGTAATACGCAAAGCGTTCCTCGTACAAAGGGTCGGTGCCCTTCTTGCTGGGCTTGGTTTTTTGTTTGGTGCCTTTGACATCCTGGCCATTTTCCGAGAGGTAGAGCTTCACGTCTGCAGCCGAAAGATCAGGAGAATGCAGCAAAGCGGGCGGGCAAAAACACGTGTGAAAAGAGGCGTGGGCAAACCCGCAAGGAGGGCATCAGCCAGCTGACACCCGGGGGCTGGAGCTACTGCAGCCATGTCACGCTCAAGATTGCAGGCCGGGTCAAGGAGCGCGTGAAGAGCCGAGGTACCTACAGGGTTCCTTGGTTGAGAGACCGATGCCCTCCTTGACCAAGATGTGAAGAGTGCCTGCTGTTTTCTTGCGCGCCTTGCTGTCTGGCGGAGCCTCAAACTCAAGGTCCAGTTTCAAGGCGCCTAGAGGGGCAACGAATGAGGGAAGGACACTGGGGCGCCAAACCAGACGACCAACTCGGACAATGGATTGATGAACCTTGAATCTCACCTTGGGCGGGACGCTTGGAATGGTGGCGGCGCTCCGACGTGACGGAAGCCAGGGAGGAGATGGAGTCGGAGCGGCGCAACACAAATTTGTGATCTGCCATGTTGGTTCAGTGTAGTCGCGCTTGCCAAGGGTGCAAAGTACTGTGTGCTCGCGTGCTCGGGGCGGCACTGGTAAGCGCAGGTTCTCGTGCTCCTCAACGCAGACTAGACAGTTGTATGAGGATCCACTAGTGTCCACGTCTGCTTGGCCGCCTATCGATCGAATGAGCTGGAGAGCTGGGTGACTGGCCGCCGTCGCTGACAGCCGCGTAGGAGCCGTTTGGCGGTAGCCTCAAACCTTGAAAGACAGTGTGTGCTTCAGTTGAGGTTAAAAACCCCGTTATGTACGCATGGCCTTACCCCACAAGAGGAGGCGCGCACACGACCACAGCAACCCGGGGCAAGCAGCAGCCGCCAACCGTCTGACCTGCACTGCCAAATCACATCAAATCAAATCCAGAACTCAAATCGATGACCGCGCGACAACAACGACGACGACGACGACGACCCGGTGAAATAGCTCGTCAGCGACACAGGCCAAAGGGAAAAAAAAAGTAGAGATGCAGAGCTACGAGTCGAGTTTGGATAGAGAGCCGTGCCAAGTTCAAAATCAACAAGCTGGTTCGCACAAGGTAAATTCAGAGGTTGGTCCGCGGAGGATGCTCAAGACCAGAGAGGGCATGAGTTGCACGATTGTGCAGTGGCTACATTTGCAATCCAAATCTGCAAAATTGTCATGGTGTTTACAACAGCTGTTGTGGTATTTTGTCAGCAATACTTGGCTGTTGTGAGTTAGTGTTCTCAGTGTTTTGTTGTTGTCATCTTTGGATATGTTGGAAGAGCGAAAGCAGTGAGAGTTTTGGTGTGGTGTTGCAGCTGCGGAGAAGACCGGTCCTGCTTCAGCAAGGAGTGAAAGTGTGCCTGGTGACCAAGTACCGGTGCGGCTGCTCCTCTTCATCCCCTCTGTCCCGCTTTGGGCATTACCCCCTTTTCATCTTGCTGACGCTCTCCCCCAGTTTTGGCTTTTGTCAGGCATTGCTTGCGGTCTTGTGCGAGCTATGGGAACTATGGGTGGGTTCGAGCACGATCTTCCCATTCCTGAACGGAGGCCAGCTTGTCTCGAGGGGGGCAGAAAAGGAGCGCTGACCAGAAGATGCCTCCTTCAGAGAGAATTTTTGGCGCGCAGCTTGTGCTTTGAAAAAGTGCCAACAAATTGCCAGTGCCGAGCGCTGCCACCTTCCCGAATGTACGTCGTTTGGGGATATGAGAGCGCCTGACAAACAGGTGCCTGACAAAGAAGGCATCCTGTCGTCGGCAAGGTCGCACTCCAGCGGCCGATACCCCAAGTAATTGTCGTTGCTGAGCCATGCGCTTTGAAGCGGTCAGATTGCGGACGGGTGTGCGCATGTAGATGTTGTTTCCGAACTGAATTTCGTCGAGCGGGCGGGCGATCTTGTTCATGCTCCGACGCGAGCCTGTCTCACTCTGGTCTTCCACGCGGTCAGCGCGTCACGCCGATGATGGTGGTCAAGATGGGAACCGACATCGTTGTATCTTGAGCGTTGAGCAGCGACCACGGCGTCGGCCCCAACGCCACAGCCCCAACCGCTGCGTGATCTGCCAAAGCTGCGCAGGCCATCCGACCTAGAAGAGAAGATCGCAAGCAAGCAAGGCTTTGTCAACCCGCAGACCGAGAACTCTGCCTTTCCGCCGTGAAGGCTTGACTAGTCCAACGCCCCTTCAATTCCCTCCCAACCCCGTCGAGCCCATGAACCAAACCGGTCAGCGCGGGTCCTTGGTGCTGACTGGCTGAGAAGATGCGGGATCGTGGGTGGCAGCGGCAATGGCCACATCCGTCACACAAGGCCAACCCAACTTGTGGACACGCATGTTTCCACATCATGACATTGTACGCATGCGTTACGTGGTGATCGTCTGCTTCGATGCGCTTGGGAGACCTCCTGTCCACACAATGACGCGATCAGAGCAAACCACTCCCAACAAACCCCAAACCGACCTTTAAAGTGTCCCAGACCGTACCCAAACACACTGCGTCCCAAGCCACATCTCAACCCGTCATCCCCCTTGAGCCCACGCTGATGCAAACATGCATGGGCTCACAAACAGCAAGTATGAGCACACGTTGTTTCATGGACCCTGTTGCTCAGACGACCATGAATGCTTATGTGCACACCCCTGATGAGCGGTCATAATTTTCGTCTCATCCCACATACCCATACATCTTCACACATGGGATTATGGGCATGTTTGTTTGGTTTGGATTCAGACCTATCAGCCGTTCGCGTTCGTTGTGCGCTTCCCTACGCACCAAGCATCAAAAGCACGCGCTGGCACGCATGGGTGTTGGCGCGCGCTTGCTGCTGCGATAGAAGAGAGGAACCGTTGACACACAAACACACGAACACACGAAACAGCGAATCAAGAGGGAAGATGAACACTGTTCTCTGGAAGCGGGTGGTCTCCGATCAAGACCTGGGGACACGGGCTCGGTCTCGGTGGCATTTTCCAACCACCTCAACATCCTGCTAAGTACCCCAACACGACACCCGGCCATCATCATCATCTCCTGCAAATTGCACAGAACCATCTCAGCCAGCCCCCTTATTAGCCACTCAGCTTCACTCGACCGCCACCGTTTCTCCGCAAAAGATGGCCCCCCGTCGTCGCACCATGACCCCTGTTCGTGTGGATCGTCGTTCATCCATGCCCATTCTCCGCCGCCCGGCTTCCCGTCCTTCCCGCAACACGAGCACTGCTGTCGCTGCCTCTGCGCTCCTGCGCAATGCTGCCTCGGCCTCCACGCTGCCTCTGCGGCGCCAGCAGGCTGTCTCGCACCCTACTCGGGCCCACAGCCGCCTCCACTCGGCCAGTAGCAGTGTTAGCAGCGTCGACCTGGCCCGCTCCCTCCGCCAGCGCGCCGCCTCGGCTGGTGCCGCTGAAGCTCCTGATGCCTCGTGCGCCACCACCGACAAGCCCACCGCCGAGCAGACTCAGGAGTTACGCCGGGCTCAACTTCGCGCTCACCTCTGGACACGACTCCAGACCCTCCTCAAACCCACTCACGCCTCGACCAGTGCCTCAACCATCCTCCCCGTGCACGAGATGACCATGGGTGACAACACCCAGCTCCTGCACCAACAATTGGAGCGCCAACTTGCCCAGCAGCGCGCCCAGCAACTCTTGCAGACCCTCGCCGCCTACCAAACCCGCCGCCAGCAACAACAACAACAACAACAACAACAGCAGATCAACAACAATAACGACAACAACAACATGCCTTGGCATCAGCCCCTGCCTCGCTCGTGCAACGCCAACACGATGCAAGCTAGCCCCATCACCGTCCAGCCCCGTGTCCTGGAGGAGGATGCCATGCCGACACGTCGGGCCTCAGTGCAGGCCGCTGAAGTGGATGACAACTCGAACATCCAGATCGTGCCAGCCTCGCCCTCGCGCTTGACTGCAGCCCACAACCTGGCCATGAATGAGGCCAACAACAACCTGCCCCCGGCTGGACCCCGTCCTCGTGCTGCTGCCGTCTTCATCTTTGACTGCTAGATCCCCTGTCCGCCGTCCTTGTGACGCTCTCGGTTTTAGTTTTTGCCTCGTAGCGGCGTGATTTGCCTCTGAGCATAGTTTTAGAATGAGTGCCATCCCGAATTTAGTCGGCCTTGGCCAACCCTTCATCCGCCTCTCTTTTTTTTTTTTTTTTAATCTCTTCCTTCTTTTATGACGCCTCGTAACCGACTTGATCCCATTTGACTGACTGCCCCTGTCTCCTTGATTAACATGTAAATTGAGCAAGAATCGCAACCGTCCTTGATTCAAAACCTCCTTCCTTATTCTTGTTGCTGATGGCCCTTATGGAAGAAAAGATCGTTCTTTGAAGCGGTTAGATTTCTCGGAGTGACTTGAAGAGAGGGACCTTGGGCCTGAAGAGGCGTTGCCCACTGACTCACCGGGTCCCATCTTTGTTTTGTTGTTTTTCTCTATTCTTTGTCGATCTTTGTCGATCTTTGTCGATCTTTGTCGATCTCTGCCTCCTCTCACTCCCTTGCGTGCTGCTTTGACGCCTCCTCTGTATGCATGGAACAGCTGCCGCCACACGTTCCCACCTTGCCATAGTGTTTGACATTCGACTCAATTTCAGGCGCTCAGCGCCCCGCCTTGAGGCAGATCAACAGGCCTCGAGACCTGGCCAAGCAAAGACCTCGACAAGTGTCGCAGCCTTGACACCACTGCTGGCAACAGCTTCAAGGACTCGGGTCGCGCAGGCCCAACGCTACTTCGACCCGTTGTAATTGCTCGTCTGCGTGGGCACTGCCGGCCACGTCATCGTACCACCGCGTGAGCTGCCCCGCTTGCCGTACACCAGAGTGCTCAGAGGATGGCGGCCTTCGGTGACTTACATGGTCTGCAATAGAGGCGTAATGTCGCTCATCAGCGTATCAATCTCCTCCGCCCTAACAAACAGTCGTTGCGTCGCACGTCGGTGTCAGTAGCGGCAAGGTGGAGCGACGTGTGCGCATGGTCGTGGGTGCTCCTGGCTCGTTGTTTTGAGATGACGCGTGCGTACTGGCTCATGAGGCCGTCAAGCTCGGCCCGTTGCTCAGCCGAGGCCGCGACAACTTCCCGAAGCCCACTCTGATGCTCCTCGGCATACTTGACCGACAGTGTCGTGACCTGTGGGAGGATGGAGGCAGGCACAGATCGAGGAGGGAGGCGTCAGTCAAGGGCGAGTGAGCGGGCCGTGTGTGTATGTCTGTGTGTCTGTGGGCGGGACTGCGGCTGTATGGCGGCTGTGCAGGCCCGGGTGTCTGTGTTGGCCGTGCCCGTTTGGGGTATGACGTACGGCACGAAGGTTGGTTTTGAGGCCGCCGTATAGGCGGCTCATGTCATCGGCCAGCCGGCGCACGTCGTCCTCGAGGTAGGACATGAAGTTTGGGTTGATGGGTCGCTCGACCTATTGCACCAGACGAGAGACGAGGACAGGCCGGCAAGGAGGGCGGTGTTGCATTCCAATATGCCTCCGAGTGAGTGGCCGGCTCACACGCTGGCACGGTTTGCAGGCCCTGAACTCACCTCGAGCGTCGCACTGGGCGCCAACACCTCCGTCCCACCATCCGGAATGTTGTCCAAGACCGATGTCGAGCCCAGCTGGGCCTCATCGACCGCCGTCGTCCCCGTAGCCGCCATTCCCAGCGTCGCTGCCCTTGTCTCCGTCGCTTCGCCCTGCCCTGCCCTGCCCGCGCGTATCAATTCCCTCAATCCCGACGGCTCTCCAGATCTCCAAACTTGAGAGGATTTGTGCTCAATCAGTGAGAGAGAGAGAGAGAGAGGAAAGCGTGAAAGTGAACGCACAACACCTAAAAAAGAAAGAATTGTTACATGTACATGAAGTGCGTGTGAGTGTGCGAAAGACAAAACAAGTCCAAGTCGGTCAGTTGGTCAAGATGTGGCACCTGCTATGCGGTTGGACTCAGCGGGGTTGGAGCAGCCGCAGGTGGTGAGGGTTGGGTACCGCCCGAGGCCACCAAAGTCGACGCGAAGAAGCCGCACACTGGAGAAACAAGCCAGCAAAGAAAAAAATAAGAGAAAATAGTGCGAAAATTAGCAAGAAAATAGGGTAAATTACAACGACAACTTTAACCAGGCTTACATGGCAGACATCAAGCACACAAAGTTAGAGGGCACTAGTTTATATTGACGTGGCTCAGCCACAAGAGTGGCTTGCAAGCCCTCACGGCTTGTGGTCCACTCCCACCCACAACGAGATGACCAGGGTCACGAATGTCATACTTCGCTACCCAACAGCTCGATTGAGCAATACATGTAGCACCTTTTGACATGTGTGTGTGTGTGTGTGTGTGTCTCACCCCAATGGTGTGCGTCACATCAAGCTCCGTGTGTATGTGTGTGTACTCTCTCTCACCCCTTCACCAACACATGGTCACAACGGCTTCCCTCTCTCTCTCTATCTCTCTCTCTGTCTCTTCCTTACCCTGTAGTTGACGCCCTAAGCATCTGGTTCATTTCCTCTCTCTCCCCTCTCTTTTCCTTTGTGTCTTTGCTCCTTCTCAAACCAATTCATCTCTCTCTCTCTCGCTCCTCTCTCCTCTCTGCTCTGTGCCGTGCTGCTGCGCTTCGTCGGGGTGGGTGTGTGTGCATTTGCTCTCTTGTTCGTGTGGATCGGCATGATGCGCGCCTCGTTTTGGTTGGCGCTCGGCGTCGTGGCCCTCCTCTTTGTTGGTGGCGTTGCGGGTTCCCTGGAGGCACCATCGTGCTGCAGGACGTGCCACGTTCCCATTAGCAAAGCCTGCGGCGACGCCTGCATCCTCTACGACGACTCGTGTCATTCCCCCGCTGGTTGCGCCTGTAACGGTACGCATCGCTGCCCCCCCCGGCTTGCATGCCGTTGATAACAGCGTGTGGTGGCTCATCAACAATTTGCTCGCCACTTGCTCATCTTCCTTCAAACATAGGTACCGCTCCCCCGCCGTCCCCGCCGTCTCCGCCGTCCCCGCCATCTCCGCCGTCTCCGCCATCCCCGCCGCCCCCACCAAGCGACCCCAGCTACGATCATCAGTCCAAGACCTACGTGAGCTCATTCAAACCCCTCACCCTGTCTGGCGTCGACATCAATGTTACCCCCTACTTTTCCCCCGATCACAGCGCGGAGATGCTGGTCAAGATTATCGACGGTGCCAAGAAGACCCTCGACATCTACACACCCGGCTTTAGCAGCTGGCAAGGATGCTCCCCGGTACGCCCTCCCCACGTTTGTCTCCCCGTACACACACCCTGGCGTCCCCCTCACTCCCCCTCCCCGGCCTGGCCGCTCACCTGGGCTCGCTTCCGGATCCCGTCCGTTCTCACCATAGTACTCGGGCTGCGGTGGGTGCAACGTGAGCGTGGTCGCGGCCGAGCCCTTCCCCGTCTTTCCCGCCCTCTTGAACGCGGTCCATCGCGGCGTCGCCGTTCGCATCATCACCAACGACTACAACGTCCACACCTGCGAGGGCGTCATCACCCCGCTCGACTACCTCAAGCTCAATGGCGTTGACATCCGCTATTACACCAGCACCACCTTTATGCACTCCAAGGTCCTCGTCCGCGACGGCGTCGAAGTCTCCATCGGCTCGGTCAACTGGACCAAAAACTCCATCCTCAACGATCGCGAAGCCGCCATGTTCTTCACCGGTGAGTCAACACAGATGACGCACAGCCCCAGGCACTCGGCTCCCACGTCTCCCACGTGCACCTTGACTCATCACTTGACCATTCCTCGCCAACACCCGCGTCCTCTCAGGCACCAATGCCGCCGCCGATCTGGCCAAATACGTGCTCAGCGTATACGAACAGGATTGGGCTCAGACCTACAATTATACGCTCGATCACACCTACTCGCCTCAGGACATGGCCATCATCACCAATACCAGCCTCCAGCCCGTCAACGTGCCGCAGGGCCCGGATCGTCCCTACATCACCCCAGAACCTTCCGCCATCAGCGTCAATACTGACGTCGAGGTACGGCCACACACCTCCACCGCTGCACATCCACCCTTGCCGCCTCAGGGGCGCTGTCTTTTCGGGTGGATGCGCTCTCCTTGTTCCACCCACACCAACACAACCACACACACACACACACACACACAGAGCCACCTATGCTTACTCACAATCATTCATGCACGCTCAGATCTGGACGTCGCCCGACTACGCTTACACGACAATCATGGAAGATATCGACAGCGCCGAGACATCCTTTGCCCTCTACATCTACCAGGTCACCGACAAGCGCTTGTGCGAGAAGCTGATCAACGTCACTCAAGCTGGCCTCAACCTTACCTTGCTCGTGTCCTACCGCATCTACGGTACCACTGACTACGAGCTTGCCAAGTCTTGCTATGAGACGCTCTACCAAAACGGCGTCGTGATTCGCAGCGCATATGCTTTTACCTACAGCTTTTACAACCATCAAAAGTTCTGGATCGCCGACGGCAAGCGCGTCACCCTTGCCACCGGCAATTGGTCTCCGTCCGACTACCCAGGCCCCCCCGGATCCTACCCAGTTTTTGGGCAGGAGGGCTGGCAGTCCGTCAACCGCGACTTTACCGTTCGCGTGGCTAATAAAGATGTGGTCGACGTCTTTGATAAGGTTCTGACCATGGACTACCTGAATGGCACCTACTGGAAGCCCTATATGGGTCTAGAACTCGTGCAGGAGTAAATTGGCCATTCAATGCTTGTTACCATTGAGCACCGAGTCATGTGCTCCCGCTTGCGCAACGAGCCCCATGCGCGTCTCGATCCACACACCCCGTTGGTGTCTACTGTCCGTTCTTGTTTGTACCGTGCGATTCTTGATTCTTTTTCAAAGCAAATATACAGAGTTGTGCAGATGATTTGGAAGCCTTAGTACGCCTTCATATCTCTGCCGTGTACTTGTTGATTGTCATGTGCCTTCGGTTGGTTTCCTTGTCAATCGGGTTAGCTTCCCCAGTCTTTTTTTTCCTTGCCTTCTTTTTTCCCCCGCATCTTGTTGCGCCTGGTCAGCGAGTCGCCACTTGTCATGGTATCACGGTATTCACGAGTACACCACTCCCCGTGTCCCGTGCCCAGCGATTTCAAACTACCTCGCGCCATCTGCTGCCCCCAGACTTCTTTTTTTCTAATAGACCTTTCAAATCCAATAAACAACGGTCTTGACCTCTTCTGGCTGCCATCCGACGAAGCAGCAACACAGCCACGACTCAACATGACGAAAGTGTTCCAGACGAAAGAGGGGGAAGCAACTCAAGGCCAGGAAGAAGATGAAGCAGCAATAGCCTACGGCACAAGATTGAGAAGAACCATGATTTTTTTTTTTCTTTCACACACACTTGACTTCTCTTCGGGTCTCGTTAGACTGCACGGCAGTCACGGCGGCACATACGGTGATCACAAGGAGGCTCCACCTTTTGGGTGGCTGCTGGGCATGTGGGGGCGTTTGAATAAGAGGTCGGCTGCTTCATCAGGCTCGTGGGACGCCGTACGCGAGCCACTGCTCGGTCCATCACAACCAGACGTTTGCGCGGGCGCAGTCAACATGGCAGCCGCAGCTCAAAACTCTCCACGGCGGGTCTCATACGCTTCTACCACGGTTGTGGACGTGGACGCCGCCACGCTGCACTCAGAAGTCTCTCGCAGCAACGCCTCCCTGCGCGAAACGCCCCTCAACTCCACAATCCACAATGCAGATGACGGCAGCCACCTGAGGCCAGCAGACCACGCTGGCTCTAATGGATCAGAGGGTCTACGTCGCGTCGCCTCGACCGAACAAATCCACCAGCAAGATGATATCTTTCACATGGTCAAGGCCACTAGCCGCATGCGTTCCTGGACCAAACGCATCACCACAGCGCCCCAGACCCCGGGCGTGCGCTACCCGCGCCTGCTCGATCGTGATGCCCGCTTCTACCAGTCTCTGGGTCGCTTCGCCGTCCGTCGTTCCATGCCGCTGCATGCCTTTCGCCTGTACCGCTCCGACTGGTTTCACTTCCTCGTCAACCTTGCCACCTGGAAGATTGTTGTCATTATGATGTTTCTCTACGTCGTTGTCTGTGTCGTCTACGCCGGCCTCTTCCACTGGAGCAGCAGTGCATGCGGGCTGGAGCTCAAGACCTTCCGCCAGGCCTTCATGCTCAGCCTCGAGAGCCTCACTACCATTGGCTATGGCGTTCCCGATCCCTACTTTAATGATTGCTTGGCTGGCCCGTTTGTCGTGCTCTCCCAAGCCATCGTGGGCCTATTTGTCGATAGCGTCCTGATTGGCGTCCTCTTCACCCGATTCTCGCGCGGCACCACCCGGTCACGCAGCGTCATCTTTTCCAACAAGGCCGTCATCCGTGCCGTGCGCGACCAGGTTAGCCTTGCAACGGCGTTTGAACTGTTGCACTTGATGCTTTGCTCAGCACTGCCAAGGCCGGCGCCTCGCAGCTGCTAGTCGCACCTCTCCCTTTTGTCCTTTCGTCCGTACTCAATCCTTGGGCTCCTTTTCAGTGGCACTTTATGGTCCAGGCTACTGAAATCCACCCCAATCCGCTCGTGGAGTGCCACGTGCGCCTTTACGCTGTTTTGCATCGTGAGGTTGAGCCACACGGCAAAATCTTCTTCCAAACTCACGCCATGCGCCTCACACACCCGGCCGTACGTTCCTGTCGGTGCTGCTGCCCCTTGTTGCTCTGGCTCTGTCCTGATCGACTTGGCGCCTGCACTGATTATGGCTGGTCCCTGTTTTGGACATCAGGATGAGCTTGGTGGCGTGCTGCTTTTGGTGTTGCCCAACGTGATCACACATCAGATTGATCCCTGGTCCCCACTCATGCCACCTGAGCTCCGCACTGCGACTGACAAAAGTGAGTGCAACATGTGTTCTACTTTCGGAGCATCGAGGGCCGCGCCTTTTTGGTCTCGCCGTGCGCCCAGCTCGTGCGCTCAAGCGGCGCATCGGTGCCTTTTGGTACGCCTCACAGCACTCCTGACATCAAACACACACACTTGCATTCCTAGAATTCAACGCTCGCCGGGACTTTGGCTTTCCTGACGTTTTGCAGCGGGACATTGATGTTGCACAAGGCGGTACGTCCTGTGAAGCACGAGCCCACCTTGCTGTCTTGCTGTAGATACTTCGGTGCTGATATATACTCATGTGTACTGGGTTGCCGTTCTGCCATGTAGCACGCGAGGGTGTTCCGTCCGAGGACAAGTCTGACTTTCCCAGCCTTGAGGCCCGCAAGTACGCACGGTCGCACACGTCGCACGAAACGTTGCACGTACGCCTGCCTCAACTCTCAGGCAGCAACAGATGCTCATGGTTGCTGTTTTTTTTTTCATCTCCACTGCGCAGAGAAATGATTCGCTCCCACCTGATGAAGAATAACGTTGAAATCATTGCCATCATCGAGGTATTGCCGGCTTTCTTTTGATTGCACCCTCCACGTTCTTACACCCAATCATGCTTCTCAACTTTGCTGTCTGATACCGCTCCGCGACATCTCGAACACATGGTCGCAGGGTGTGGATCCTCACACGGCTGCTACAGTGCAAGCCCGCCATTCGTACACATATCGTGACATTGTCTTTGACCACGCCTTTGCCCCTTGTGTGACAAAGGGCTCGGACGGCGCATGTCAGTTGGACATGTACTTTTTTCACGACCTGGTACCTGCCGGGCCGGATGAGTTGCTCGAGCTCACCCCCTCTATTGCCTAAGCAAGCTTTCCTTCTTGCTCAATCCGTGTTCCTTGGGCCTGGCCTTACGTGCCAAGCAGTCAAAGAACCGGAAGTTTGCCGTAGCGAGAGGCTCGCGTGCCCCCATGCAGTTGGCTATTGAGTCGAAGCCAACACTGATTCCAAGGATCACATCAATTGAGCACAGCTGCCATTCACAATGGCATTATGCTTGGCCGTAATTCGTCAAGTCTCAGCAAGTCAGCTCACCACCAAAGAAGAGGAGGCATCAACTCGATCAATTGACTAAGCGCAAGACATAAAAGGCTGATCGAACATCCACAAAGCCGAATTCTTCCCTGCCTCCCTTCCTCCGTTTGTTTGCCCCATCCCCCCGTACTTTTGACACGGGCACGGCCCGTCACAGAGCCCGCGGCCACGCCAATCGGTTGCCCGAGGCCAACGCAAGCCTTTGCTTGTGGTACAACAGACATGACATGACATCCATAGCAAGATGATAAGGAAATTGAAAGGACATGAAGACAAGCCATCAAACATGCATCGAGCACAGACCCAACACAACGCAACAACCAAAAACATAAAGAGCATGGATAGAATGCCCAGGCATTGGGGTACTGGTCCAAACCCAATGCGGAGGGAACACGAGGTTGCACACACGAGTGGCGCAGAACTCGGCCGCAAGGACAGGCGATGCGCTCACTGGAGCACTTGTTCACGGTAGTGAAACTGGAGGCTGTTGTGCTTCATGCCAATCTCGAGGCGCTTGTCGCGCTGCCAGCGGATGCCGTAAGCCTGGTCACGGCGCACCTTCTCACTCGGCAATTCAACACCCTTATGACCCAGGGCTCGGTACTGAGCGACAATGCGACCAATGCGGACCGAGTCACGCTCATCGCGCGCCTTGAAGTGCTGCTTGTAGTAGCGGTTGAGTTCGCGGTGACCAGCCCGGCGACCCGAGGGCAGGACCAAGTCAAAGCCATCGCGGTGCAGTTGGCCTTGGTGTTGATGAACGGCAAGGGTCAGATCAGCGTCACGCTCGGCATCTGTCAGGTTGCTGTCATCGGGGTATGTGGAGCTAAAGTCGTAAAAGTCACCCAGCTCAAGCTGTCCCTCTTCGGAGTAGTCAATCATCTTGTGGCCCTTATCCTCCATGTGTTTGCGGACGCCCTCGAGGTCAGCCAGCTGCTTGTTACAATACAGGCAGGTGAAATAATTGCCGGCCTTGAGCTGCAGGTAGCGGACGAGGCCCTCCAGGTCAACAACAAACTCCACGTTTGGAATGAAAAAACCGTGACGTGAAGACATGTACTCAATGTTGGCCTCGAAGGAATCAGCACGGTATGTGTCAAAGATGCAGTCTTGGGGCTCGAGAACGGGCTCTTCGACAAACTCGGCTTCAGCCTCTGCCTCGGCGGGCGGCTGTTCCTTGGCGGTCTCGGTAGCGGGAGTTAGCTCGGCCTTGTCAGTCTCGACCGGGGCTGCCTCACGAAGCTTTTCCTGAGCGAGTTTTTCCTCCCAGCGGCGAGCAAGCTCGTCGTACTTGCGATTCTGCTCAGCGATGGGTTGACGGTGTGCGTCTGGAATGGATGTGGTGGACGCTGCGGCCGCGGTTGCCATCGGGGTGGGACGAGCAGGGGTGATGGATGCATCGGTGGGGGCACCGGCTTCGGCTGCTTCAGGGGTGCGTTCGCTCGATGTAGAGGATGGCATGATCATCTGAAGATGCTTCTTGGATTGCAGGTGTGACTCGAGAGCATTCTTGCTGCGAAACGATTTGCGGCACGGCGTGCACTGCGGGGGGGAGCAGCAGCGGCAGGCACGGATGCGGACAAGGGGTGAGCCGAGGTGCACAAGGCTTGGGTGGGAGGGTAGGGTGGAGGAACACCGGAAGAAACGCAGAGCGGTCAGAGGTGAGCCACAGTGACTGGTAAGGTCAGGGTCAAACCTCGTAGTCAGCCTTGGCCTGGGCAGCGTTGTCCTCCGCCTCCTGGCGCTGTTGTGTCACGCGAGCGCGAAAGGCGTCGGCGGTCAGCGGGGCCATGCCTGCAACCTTGCGCTTCAAGTTATAACGATGCCATTCCGTCTTGTAGTGCACACGCTGCGCTTCGGCCGTTGGAAAGCCGACCCGGCAGTTGAGGCAGGTGAACTTGACGTTGGCGCTCATGCTGCTGATGGTTGCCGCAACACACACACACACACACACACGC